ACTTAAATTAATTTATTACCAAATTATGTGTAAAATGAATAACTAATGTAAAAAAACATAAAATATAACATATGTATAGTATGTATATGGCTTTATTAATAAACTTAACATAACATATACATAAATAAATTTTAAATAAAAAAGACCCATTTTAATTTGTGAAAAAACACAAAATCAACTAAACATCACTCAACAAAATATAAACTAAAATGTGAAACCATGTACAGTGAAAAACAAAACACAAAATGCGAGTGTCTGTACCCCCTCCCCTCCCCCCTCCTGCTCAGTATAGTCACACAGACGCTGCCACAGCCACACATGTTGACCAATGCGGCTTTAAAAGACAATTAAAAAAAAAAAATCGCTCTCGATCGGGAACCGGCACCCGTCGTTCACTTCAAAGAGCCGGCTCTAATCCGGCTCTCGTTCGCGACCGACCCATCACTAGTCGGAGGCCCCCTGGAGGTTACCATGATGAACCGAACATGACGCTCAGAGCTCAGAGTACAACAGTTAACGTTTGGATATTAAAATCATTTATTTGTATAATAAACATCTTGCGATTCGTAATCAGATGTCAAACATGGTCTGGAAAATCTACTGAGAAGTCTAGAAAACTTGAGTCTGTAGAAATACGGAATTTTGAAATGGATAAATGTGTAGGATCTGCCCTTAGTGTTAGCTACACTGAAGTTAGCCGTTAGCCTACTAGCTAGAAGCAGCTAGTGAGTGAAAAACATCAACTGGGGAACCTCGGCTTGTTGCATATCAACACTTGTTAATGAGTGAGAAACAAATCACATGTGGTCCACGACTTGGTTCATATCAATTTGAGGATCCTTGACATGAAAAGGTTTGACCAATTGTCAGTTATATCAATAGTTGAACTGTCAAAAACCTCAAGTTTTTCTGTCAAGATTCTGACAGAAGATTTCTTTTCACCTCCAAAACATTTTCTTTCACCTGTTTTCACAGATGTTCTTAAGTCATTTGCCTCTCAGGACTTCCGCAGTAATTTATAAGATGACGTAATGATTGTAGGTCAGACTTGTACTGACTTCATGAATATTAAGAATGTAAAGAGGAAGGAATCCATCTTCTTTTAACAGCTTGACTTCTGTCTTCTGCTTGCTGCACTACGCACAGAGGAACATCACTTTTTTCTTATCTAATACGTGTTTTTGATAAGATTGATATTTCTTTCATTCATTGTTCACCAGCTGATTGTTTGATTGTCTCTGGAGTCACACAGAGAGACGAGATGAGCAGCTATGAGTTTAACAGCAGCAGAATAACCAACAGTCCAGGGACTCCAGGGACCAGAAGGTGTCATCAGCCTTTATTGATGTGAGGAAAGGGCGGAAATGGAGGGCAGAGAAAGCAGTGGAGGTGGCAGAGTCACGCCTAAGGCAAAAAGCGCTGATGGGCAGCACAGCAACTGGCAGAGCGGGCTTTGGATACTTCCCAAAGATGCAGGTTTTGAAGGCCCAGGGCAAAGAGAGACACCATCTTATCCAGGAAGAGGTCGGAGCAGGCGTGGAGGAGGAGCAGGTGAGCAGGACGTTGGGGCTCAGGCAGCAGGGAGCGTGGACGAGGTGGGAGAGTGTACTGCAGCGCAGGATTACCTGGTCTAACATGGTGCAGGAAGACTTCCATCACGTCCGGTTCCTTGTGCAAGCTGTCTATGATGCCCTACCCAGCCCAGCAAACCTACACGTCTGGGGCAAGAGTGAGACACCCTCCTGTCCTCTCTGCTCTGGAAGAGGATCCTAGAGCACCTCCTCAGTATCTGCCCAAAGGCCCTTGGGGAAGGCCGCTACCGCTGGCGCCACGACCAGGTGCTCAGGCCGATCAGCAAGTACCATCGTGCCCTAAAGAAGATCTCCTTTGTGAAAGCTGGAGAGAAACACCGTCACAACCAAAACCAGACGGCCCACTCTCTATCGGCCCACTGACTGCAGCTGAACATGTTGACTGGGCAGACAGCTGAAGTTTCCGCAGCACATCGTGGTGAATCACTCCGGCCGAGACATGATCATCACTTCTGAGCGACGAACAATGATATGCTGGAAGTCACAGTGTCCTGGAAGAGCATATGAAGAAGCAAATGAGAAAGAAACGTGCAAAGTACCAGAGCTGTGGAGAAGTGCCGGGACAAGGCTGAAGACGCACTGTGAGCCCATAGAGGCTGTAGAGGTTTGCAGGACGCTCACTCTGCAAAGTCCTCACCAACTGGCGTTACAAGAGGCAAAGAGGAGGCCGTTCGATCTGTGAAGAAGCCCAAGAAAGCACCAGCTGGCTTTGGATTAAGAGGGCTGATCCGTGGGACGGTTGATGCTGTGACGCAAATCGAGGCTTGATCAACCCCGGCTGGTCACCTGGGCGAAGGTGTCTGATGCTAAAGACCCGAAACACCCGATGACCCAGGAACATCACTGGAGACGCGTCCCAGCGCATCAGAAGATGTGTCTTACACACAATGATTATATATTTACAAACTTGACTGTGTTTAACATCAATTACAATATTCATTTCCATTGACTTTTTCTTCACCTGTTTTCACAGATGAAAAAAAGAATTAATTAATTTTAGAAGATTATCTTTGAAAACCTTTTTTTCATCTGTTCTTAAGCTCATTTGTGCCTCTCAGGACTTCCGCAGTAGTTTGTAAGACACTAAATGACTGTAAGCTCAGACTTGTACTGACTTCATGAATATTCATAAGTGAAGAGGAAGGAATCTCTTCTTATCAAGTCTTGACTTCTGTCCTCTCACAGAGGACATCACCTTCCTCTCTTGTAAGACGAGACTCGTTCTTTGATAAGATTGATATTCTTTCATTCATTGTTCACCAGCTGATTGTTTGATTGTTCTCTGGAGTCAACACAGAGAGATGAGAGAGCAGCTATGAGTTTAACAGCAGCATCAAGTGGATTTGTCGTCCTCCTCCTCTCACTGTACCAGGTACTGTACATCTACATTTACTCTGGAGACGTTCAGTAAACTTACTGAGAACAAGCTGAAACAGGATGAATAAATAAAGTGCAGTTAATGTTGTTTTCTAATGTGATTTTTTCTCTATCATCACTTGTTAGCTGTTTTTTTATTGTGGCTGTTAAACCAAAGTCCTTAGATCTGTTCAGTGTTTTCACACATGCAGCATCTCTCAGTATCTTTGACCTCAACATTTAGTGGTGAGTGTTATTGCACAGTAAGAGTTGTGCTTTTGAATTAACTGTATAAATGGAGCTGTAAGTGTTCATCTAAAGATTCAGTAACTGAAGAGTTTATCTACAAAACTGTCTTTACTTCTGTTTAAGAACAAGATAACATCTACCAAGGCTCAAAATGAGGAAACAATGTCAGTTAAATGTGTTACTTGTTGATGTCAGTGTATGTTTCCACTCCCTGTATGGTCAACAGTGACCTGCCCTTCCTGATCTACTATCACATACAGTAGCAACCCACCACATAGCGTACTACATACATACATACATACACAACATACATACTAAACACCAACCTGACCACAGAGTGAACAGAGAGGAAACTAAACAAGGAAATTTCCACACGCTCTAATAATAATAATTGATCCTCTCACACTGTTCATTACAGCTGCATTAATTCACAGGTCCAATGGTTTTCTGTTTACTTCTCCATGTCTGTGTTCACTGTGCTTAATACAGCAATACATCAAGAAGTCACAAACATTATTAACATCATGTTTTAAAAGTGAATAAAAAGGAAGAGACCATAGAGAAAAACATGACTTTACCTCAGTAACATATATATAACAATATATAACAACATGACAGACATCTTTGTCTTAAACTCACAGTGAGAAGTGTTGGAGCCAAGTAGTTTTACAAATGTATTTTAGTCATGTAGCAGGTTTCCATGTTGAAGAACCTCCATAAATTTTCTCTCTGTTGTTGTGAATCTTTGTGTTCTGCTGTGCTCTGTTTTACAGTGATACAGGGTCATATGGCTGGGGAGTGACTTACCCTCAAAACACATCTGTGCCTCTAAAGGATCAACAGTGGAAATAAGCTGCAGCTACAGTTACCCATTCAGAATAAATGGTTACTATACTACAGTTGAGGAAACATTCTGGTTTACTAAATGGATTAAGATGCTGTGGATCTGAGAACAGACTCAGACTACAGAGGTCGTGTGGAGTATAAATGTCGACATTGAAAACAGCTGCACTCTGAGAATCAGAGACCTGAGAGAGAGCGACTCAGCTGAGTACAAGTTCAGAAATCACAACAAACCAAGGTGGGAAATATAAAGGTAACCTGGAGTCACTTGTCTGTCACAGGTAACGTTTTCACTGGAATATTTATCAATTTGGTTCCAATCATTAACGACTGAGAATCTGTGTGTTGCTTCTGATTGTACTTTTCTAGTTTAGTTAATGTCTGTTCTTGCGTCACATGTCCAGACCTCCAGTGCTGGTGGAAAGATCATCAACCCAGACAGAGCTGAAGTGTCACAGCAGTTGTAAAGCAGCTGATCGTCCTTCATATGTCTGGTACAAGAACGGACTGGAAATGAAGGAGGAAACACCTCCCTAGATCTCTGTTTAATGATGACAACAGCATTCCTGTCTCTTAAAGGACATGAGGATCACCGCGCCCCTCCAGTGTGTGAGTTTACTCCACAGTGTCACTAATACAATTGAAACTTAAACCTTCCACTACACAGTTATGTCTAATATTTGAGCAACCTTTGTAAAAAACTAATTGACTCAATAATATTCACTTCCACTTTATAAAGTCGTCCTTGATTTAAAGTTAAAATGAGAATAAAACACATTTTCATATTGATGTTAACGTCTCCTCATATTCCCTCCTCCAGATGCTCCAAAGCTTCTCTCTGTGTCAGTGAGTCCCTCTGGTGAGATAGTGGAGGGCAGTTCAGTGAATCTGACCTGTAGCAGTGATGCTAACCCAGCAGCTAATTACACCTGGTACAAGAGAATGAAGACTCACAAAAGCTTCAGGACAGATCTTCACCATCACTGACCTCAGACCTGAACACAGTGGGAATTATTACTGTGAAGCCCAGAACACAAGAGGACGTCGTAAACTCCACCTTAAATCTGACTGTTGTAGCAGGTGATTACACACATTCATCTACACACACCTGTTTACTGCAGCTTTATTTTGCATTATTTGTACTATTACAGACGGTGGCAGACACACACAACTAACCCTGACCTCAACACCTCTTGGAGATTTTTGGAGCTGTGTATTAAGCTCATGTTACTCAAACATCCTGTAATTCCCTCCTCAGTCGTCAGTATTTCCTTCTGATTATCCAGGTGCATGGAAATCAGCAGCTGCTGGATCAATCACTGCTGTTCTCCTGGCTCTCATCCTCCTCGCTGTCTTCCTGTGGATCAAGTGGAGTAATTCTGTGTCACCTATTTCACTAATGCTTCTAAATGTATTAGTTTATTCACTCGATTGCTTTTCCTCCTGTCTAGAAGAGATAACTCCTTCACACAGCAGTGTAAGTGTGGAGAGAGACCTGACACCAGACACAGGTGAGAAAGAAGAGTTCAGGTTTTCCAGTGCAAAAGATCAATATTAATCAACCTGTGCAATATTAACCGACCTCTGCTGGTGGCCAGTAGGAATTACAACAGAAAGCTTTTTGTTAAGTGTGAGAACTGTTTCCAGAAACTCTCAGTACCTGTTGAAGTAAAGAATAAGAGCTGAAGAACAAACTCCCCTGATCCCATCCAGCAAGTATTTTACTGTACGGTCATTTTGTGCAACAGCACAATAAAAGTCTTGTTATAATTGAGTTCTGTTTGTCCCGTCAGCTGAACGTGGGTCCAGTGTATGACACCCCGTCATCTGCAGCACAGAGACAAGCAGCAGGACAGCAGGGTGACCTTCACTACGCCAGCATCTGCTTCTCACAGAACCAGGGAGATGTTGTCTACTCCAACGTCAGAGTTCATCCCCAGAGAGAAACAGAGGAAGAGGAGGAGGAGGAGGATGGGGTTGAATACTCTGCTGTCAGATTTAACAATGCCAGCAGTGCACCAGGGTGAGCAGCTCCTCTCACATCAACATTTTCATCACTACACTTATTTAACAAGAAAATACACATTAGGTTAAAAACTGTCAGAGTGAATGGTTTATTCTTCCCTTCACAGAACAAGACGTCAAGAAGATGGAAATGATTCATGTGCACTGTACAGCACAGTCAACAAAAACAAAAACACACCATGAATCTGTGCTCTGTTATTTATACTTGGATTTTACAGCATCAAGAGATCAGAAAAAATAAAAACATATAAACAGCAGTGGTTTATGTAGGGTTTGTAAAGACTTGTTTGGTTGCTCATTGTTTTTTTAAATGGTAATTTGAACCAAATTAACTTCTGTTTTTATCAAACCATGCAGCTTTGATTTTATTTGTCCACATGCACAGCCACGTACCACTATAGCTTTACCTTTGTTTTTGTAATTTGAGTGAACTGAATCTTTAATGTATGTTTGCTGTAAAAAAAAAAAAAAAAATCTATATATATAGATATATGTAGATATATATATCTATATATATCTATATATAGATATATATAGATATATATACCTGATACTTCCGTTAAATCATAGACTTACTCACACTTAACTTCAGTTACTTCAGTTAAAGCATAGAAAGAAGAAAGCTCTGCTTGACGTACTCCCATATAAATATAATAGCATGCTACACTTAATAATGTATGTATATTGTACGAATAAAACATTAAAATACAGTCAACATTTGTGTTTTGTGAGTGCTTTCATTGGGTGCAAGTTATTATACATTATTAACATGTCTTTGTTTTGGCTAAAAATATATTTTAATCAGGGCTGATCTCCCGTTAGTGTTAGCTATACTAGCATTATATGGGTGCCAAATATGCAAATCCAGTTACAATTTTTTAGCCGATATATTTTGAATATTTAGCTCACTTTCCTCACATTTAGCTAATTTTCCTTTCATTTGAGACAGAAATTTGTGTAAAACATCATATTACATTTAATTGTTAACAATGTGTATGAATCCTAAATCTAAAAGTTATATTTTAAATCTAAATATTGAATCTGTGTAAATGTTAAATCCATATAAATGTGTAACATTTAAATTTAAAATTTAGATCTAAATTAAATATTTAGATTTAGATTAAATATTTAGATTTAAGATTTATTTTTTCACATATACACATTGTTAATTTAATATAACATGAATTTCTGTCTCAAATGAGAAGATAATCAGCTAACTGTGAGGAAAGTGAGTTAAATATTCAAAACATCGGCTAAAAAATGTAACTGAACTTTTACATTCATCACTGCATAGCGTTAGCTAGTTAGCTAGTGCTTGCTACTAGCTAGTACATCAAATGGGGATCCTCGTCTCGTTACATATCACTTTAGGGTCCTCGACATGAAAAGGTTTGACAATCAGTTGTCTCGGTATCAATAGTCAACTTTCAACTGTTAGCCGTTAGCCCGCTAAGGCTAGTGAGTGATAAGCATCATGGCTAACCCTGTGGGCTAACCACAGTCACGTCATGATGGGTAAACCTCCCAATCTCAGCCTGACGAAGAATCACCATGGTCATACTTAGGCAGTTATTGTGTACAAAACCAAAGCTGACATTCCTCACACTTTCTTATAAATATTCTGGTATCTTATTTGCTTGATTTATATATGACTTCAGAACAAGTAGTTATTTGCAAGTAGCTCAATTGAGTGGCATTTTTTGCCGGGCTGTTAGTTTTTTTGTCTTTGTTTTGTTATAATTTTGTATCACATGTACATTGTCAATTTCACTTTGCCGACATTTACTCAATACATCCCTTCGAACCAGAGATAATAGGACACTGGACTTTTTCATGCTAATGTGAATAACTCAATGAATGTCTGCCCTTTCACTGTCTCAACAACCTCTCATACGATCAACTTCAAGCTTGGTGGATGTGTTGCTGAGGACCTGATGAAGCTCAGTGTCGACTGAAGTTTTTCAGATGAGCAGTTCTCGAGAAAATCCAGAATGCAGCGCCAGGGTGACTGATGGCATCTGTGATGATGTCACAACTGTGACATCACAACTTCAAAGGACACCTAACACAGGGTGACTGATGATATCTGTGATGGAGTCACAACTGTGACATCAAAACTTCAAAGGATTTTTTAGTAAATTACTAAAAATCAACGCCATTCTCAGGCTATGACATCACAGAAACCTCCCAGTCTGGTTCTCAGAATCACATCTGAATCACAGAATCACACACATATGAGTTTCAGACAAACGAGGTGACACACTGAGTGACTTCACCACATTTGAAAGCACAAAAGCCAAACTGAGATCAACAATCTGAAAGACAAGTACAATTACTTGAAGAACTCTTGGTCTTAGATAAGATGGCAGCTAAGTGTGACATGCAAGAAAAAATTAACGAACTCTCCCACCTGCTCCAGAAGGAAAAAGACTTGCGTGTCAGGGAGAAGCAGGTGGCCACCAAGAGGGAGAAGGGCCTTCGTGCAGAGATGAAGAGTGAGAAAGAAAGTCTTACCAACAAGAATTTCATTAAAACCCTGGCCGTGGAGAGGGAAAGGGACTCTTTACTGAAAGAGGTACAGAGTCTAAAAATGGATCTCAGTGATATCACTGAAGAGCACGAGGCTGAAAGGGCTGCAGAAAACGTCAGTCGAGAGCAAAGGGATGAACTGCAACAAGAAGTTGAACAGCTTAAACTGCAGCTTCATGAACAAAAAGACTTGCTTGTCAGGGAGCAGCAGAGGGCCACCGAAAGAGAGAAGGCCCTTCTAGCAGAGATGGAGAGTGAGAAAGAAACTCTTACCATCAAGAATTTTATTACAATCAATGCCCTAGAGAAGGAAAGGGACACTTTGCTGAAAGAAGTACAGAGTCTTAAAAAAGATCTTGGTGATATCACTGAAGAGAACAAGGCTGAGAGGGCAGCAAAAAAGGTCAGAGAGCAAATGGATGAACTGCAACAAGAAGTTGAACAACTTAAATTGCAGCTTGCGGGTGCTGAGAGGCAGCTCAGGGACTCTGAGCGGGAAAAAGAGCAGCTCCAGAGGGAGCAGGACGAGCAGCAAGCTTCAGTTGTGCCTGAACTTGACACCTTGGAAGGGGAGAACAAGGCCTTAGTTGCTCAGACAGAAGAACTCAAAATGAGCTGCATAACTGCAGACGATGAGAAAGGGGCTCGCCCAACGCATACTGTCCCAACCACCTCAGAGGAGGAAAACATTACTGTTGAAGACCTCCAGCCTGAATCTTCCGGGGAGAAGAAGACCAAAAAACGTAAAGGGTGGAAGAAATGTGTGCATTACGCCAAACCATGGAATTGGGGTTAAAAAGTAGAAGTACTTTGGTAATACTTCCACATTTTGAGAATATGTCTGTGAGGATTCTCAGTCATCCAAGTCTCTGAGTGCTCTGGTTTCCTCCCACAAATTTATCAATTCAATAAAAAAAACAAAAATTCAAATAAAATAAAAATGTTGTTGTACTGTTGTACTCATTAGCAATGGCTTTAAAATACTTTAAAATACTTTTTAAAAAAATGTTCAATCACAAGTAGCGGTTACTATAGTTTTTTTTAATCCGTTCACCAGTCTTTAAAGTTGACAAACCAAAATCTAATTGCTAAAGGAATTACAGCTGTTATTTTCCACACATGAAAAAACTTTGGCCTATATGCCAAATACTTATATTAAATGAAAACATTATAACAAACCATCCAAGATACAAATACTAATACTAATACAAATACTGAAAAAATAGGCCCAAATAAAGTAAATACATATATGTTCAGACTACATTAGTTTGATCTATCTGTTTCCACACGCCCAGTAGGTGGCGACACGATACCGGTTTGTGTCAACTATTGAAAACATTACGAAGACGAAGAAGAAGCGGACCGGAAGTGTGTCCAGCCAGGCGTCGTTTTCAAAGCTAGTTAACGGCCGTTGTCTTGGTGCTGTGTCTCTGAACTTGTAAACACGACTTCTGCTAATAAACTTTGCCGTTTATTTCAGCACAATGGATTCACTATAACCGGTCCTCGTGCAGGTGAGAATAAAAAAACATCTCTTAGTGGCTAACGTTGTTTGTGTTTACTGATTATTTGGCTGCTAACTGTTAGCCAAGCTCGCCCCCGTCCAACTCTGTATTTGAGATTAGCATGCCAAACTCCCTTTAAGAAATCAGTGAGTTTAAACTTGGCGTACTTACTAGCAAATGTACGCGTGGGTTAAACAAAACTTTTAGACTCTACAAAAATATTCATAGTGAGCTGGTAAATTCGGCATAACGTAACACAAGCAGCCACAAAGCATTTTAGTTATCGATTCACAATTCTGATTTGTTATGCATTTGGATCAAAGGGTGGTACCATGTAATACCATCTTTGAAAGCTGAAACATAACCTGAGGAAGTCAGCCGTTTGTGCCTTTGTTTGCATTTAGATACAGTGGTGCTTAGGCCCAAGTTGTGGACGTTTGTTGGTCAGCATAGAATAACGTTAGACAAATTAAATTTCCACTTGAGTGAATGGAGGATCGTTGCATTCGTATTCTATAATGGTGGATTAACATCTCAAATCTAAGTTGCTTAAAGTTAGCCTTTTAACAAAGCTGTTTCCTAAAACTTTAATTCATCAGTTTAGTAGCTACTCCTAGTTAAAACTACTGCGATATATTCTACCATAATAAAGATTATAATTCTTAGTCTTTGAGCCCTTTAAACACATTCGTTACTTATAACGCAAGAGAAAACAATAAAATACTAAAGTCATTAGTAAAACCTAAACCCCAAAACAAATTTCCCCGAAAAACCACCTAATAGAACAAAAACATATCGATGACTCAAGTATAATTTCATTTATAATGTGTCACTGTACTCCATAAATAAGAACCTCTTGTTTTACTTCATGTGTGTGTGTGTGTTTTATTTTCTATTTGTTAATACTGGGATGTTTATTTTTTCCTTCAGATTGTACACTACCTCCTTGACTTGAAGCTGAAAATATTATGGACAGTCTGGATTTCTCAGAAGAGGAAATTCAAGAACAGCTGGCGATCCTTGGCTACAAAAACATACCAAAACACAGGCTGCGTGAATTCAAGCAAGGTTAGACTCTGAATCATCCATCCTCCCTCTCCTCTGGGGTTATCATATCGCTTTGTAGCTTGTTTGGGACCCTAAATGTTTATATTATGCCCTGATGTTTTAAAGAATGAACATTGACCAATATATTGTCAGAAATAATTGCATCCCAAAAAAAAAAATGAAAGTACCTCCAATATTGAGTTCCATGTTCAAACTTCCTAAACCTATCCTCTCTGTGTCATGTCAGATCTTGATGGACTGATTCGACATGGAGAATGGAAAACCTTTGCGTCATCCAACCAGATAAACTCCACCCAAACTCATCCAGCCCTATCTCAGCCAAGTCCTCCTGCCTACACCAAAGAAAAAGGTCAGGGCACTTGTCTCACTGTGGGGGAATAATAATTGTGTTTTTATTGTACTTTTTTCTGTGTAACATGATTTAGATTTTCCATTAAAAATGGTCAATTCTTCTTTTTCAACAGTTAGTCAGTGTAACTTCAAAGACTCTGGTCAGGGGTTTTTCCTACATGCAGACCATGAGAGACAGGTAAGTGTTTACTGCATGCATACATACATTTTTTATTTTCTAAATGTAGACAACAGGACGCCACATCCAGGATTTAGCAATGACGTAAGATAATATTGGTGTTTGACATCAAAAAATGTTTAAATGATCTCAAACCTAAATGATAACCGTCAGGCTTTAGTGTCAGCCCATCAGAATCAAGAATGAGGGTTTATTTCTTGACTCGCCATTTTGTAGTAACATTCAGATATTATTCAGGGATAAATCCATCTGTAGAAAGATTATGTACAAGCAGAGATTGTGTGTCAATTTCGTGCAATTTCAATATACCACAGTCTTATCGAACTGTGGAAAAGCAGCAACTTTAGATTGGACAAACAAATATGGAAACAGTCATAGTTTTTAACAGCGTCAGGCACATGTGATTGAGTAATATTATGTGTTTAACACACAGGTGCTCACCACCTGTCAGAACAGGGACTATGGACGGCAGCAGAGACACTGTGACTCGTACGCTCAACACTCGTTGGCTCCAAATCTCCAGCCGCCTCCAGGGGCTCCCACCAGGCTGCAGGTGGAGCCGGACCCTGAGGACACGCTCCACCCGCCGTTCACAGACAGCTACACATCATCCCCAGACACCCAGGGGAGACGCTTCATAAAGAGGAAAGTCCTCAGGTAATTAAGACACACATTTATGAGACCAGAGAGTGATGAGTCTGTGTCCATTAATCCTAAAGACTTTTCATTCATTCATACATTAAAACATTGCATCTGAATTTCTCCAGGTGAAAATAATTCATGTACACTTTAAAGCGTGAAGATGCTATTTGGTGGACAGTTGTCAATTATAGTTTTTAGTATTAATAATACATCAAAGTTTCATTTAATTGAAAAGCAGAACCCAAACTTGTGTTATGAAATATTTTTTTTCTGGCCAGCAAATACATTCAGAGGTATTCAGTTTATTGTGATATGAAATACTGCAACTGCAGGACTGAAAAGCTCTTTTGTATTTTTAAAAAAAAAAAAATTAATAATTGATCTAAGTTGCCATAATTTGTGTTGATTGATTAATCAAATAATCATGTAGCTGTCTGAAAAAGACCATGAAAGAATCCATTGTGTCGTCACTGAAACGGGCCAGAGGAAGAAAAACATCCTAAATCCTCCTCAAGAGTAATTTATTAAACCAAAGCTTTACTGACATTGTGTTTGCTCTACGTGTAACATGAACACGGATGTTTTTTTCAACTCACAGGAAACATAAAGGACAAACTCTTGTCTGTGATGAATCAATCTACAGTGAAGACTCAGGTAAAGACGACTCCACAGTTTGTAGAAATTCTTCCAAAATCTTCTAATCATCTCTTTTAACTGTTTTTTAACCTAACATTTGTATATACTGGTAATAATTATCTCTATATACAAAACACAGACATAAATTGGAGTAGAATAAATAAAAATAAATAATAAAATAGGTAAAACCAGTTCCACTAACACAGAATAAATACATAAAGAGACAATTCAGGTAAAATAAGGAGGAGCTCCCTAATAAAACAATACTGACTGAGCCCACATTTCAAATCCCAAAAATGTTATAAAAATAAGTCAGGCGCTCTAAATACACAGGTTATTTTATACATTTTTTAATCACAAATTAACAGATTACACAAAAAGTTCCATGTGACAAATTCACTTCAGATTTTTACTGTCCCACAAGAAGAAGAAATAATTTTTGCAGTAAGTGGCATGAAAAACAAATGCAAGCAAAAAACACAAGAAAATTAAAAAAACGAATTATTCTGGTGGTTCAGTGACTCGTTAAATATAACTGCTACATCCCTGTGTCAAGTTCCTGTCACTCTACTGTAAAATAAAGTCCAAGAAATACCCTGGAACGGAGTGAATTAAATCTAATTGTGGGATTAAGTGAAATGGAGTTGAAAAAAGGGAATAAATGACAAAAAGCAGAGATGTAATGTCTTTGGCGACCAGCAGGAGGTGCTGTTTTATTAGTAAGAAGAAGCTCCTGGATCCTGGATATGGGCTTAATCCTCTTAGCTCCTTCCTTAAGCCCTCTTCCTCCACGGATCACACACTGCACACACCTGAACAAACCTGAGCGCAACTCGCCACCATGTACAAAACGTCCAACAGTCAGTGGGACAAGGGGAGCGATGATGACAATAGTTCCCTCAACTCCTCTTTTTGGGATGACGGAGGGAAGCAGGAAGAGGAGGACGTGGATATTGAACAAGTGGTTAATGAGGACGACTCCAAACCTGTAGCCGAGGGAGAGGACTCTCCCCAGGAGGAAAAACCTGAGCTGAACAACCAGGGGAACTTCACCGGGGAGAGTTCGGAAGATGGAAGTGAGGAGGAGGAGGAGGAGGAGGAAGAAGAAGAATATGAGGAAGAGGAGGAGGAGGGTCAGGAGCAGCAGGGGGTTAATGAGGAAGACACCAAACCTGTAGTCGAGGGAGAGGACTCTCTCCAGGAGGAAAAACCTGAGCTGAACAACCAGGGGAACTTCACCGGGGAGAGTTCGGAAGATGGAAGTGACGAGGAGGACGAGGAAGGAGATGAGGAGGGGGAGGAGGAGGAAGAAGATGAGGAGGGGGAGGAGGAGGAAGAAGATGAGGAGGAGGAGCAGGAGGAAGAAGAAGAAGAAGAGGAGGAGCAGCAGCAAGGGGTTAATGAGGAAGAATCCAGACCTGTAACTGAGGCAGAGGACTCTCCCCAGGATGAAAAACCTGAGCTGAACAACCAGGGGAACTTCACTGGAGACAGTTCAGAAAATAGAAGCAATGAGGAAGAGGAGGAGGAGGAGGAAGAGGAAAAGTGCAGCAGCAGTTCCAGTAGTCCTGCTCCGAGTCTGATGACCTCCGGCTATGGCACCTACAGACCAGAGGAGCAGGAAGGAGGAGACTACAGGGACGACCACTCCATAACCGAGTTCGACCAGGACAGTCGAGGAGACCTGTCTGAGGCGAGAGACGACGAAGAGGACGATCGTTCTCTTTGCAGCTTCGGCGGGTTCGACATCGAGTCCATGAATGAGCCAGACTACAACGAGACTCGTCCAGTAACTGTGTTAGAGGACAACAAACCTGAAGCTGATTGTGGACTTGATAGTCCGTATGAAGAGGAGAATATCACAGATATAAAATCGGACAATAACGAGTGGAAATTTGAAAGATCAGAGGATCAACACCGCGCTGCTGCGAGTGAAGACAGATTCTTATCAGAGGAGAGGTATTTGGAAGATGCGACAGATTCTGAAGAGGGAAAACAATATGAGGAGCTTGAAGAAGAAGTGTGGGAGCTTGAAGAGGAGAATAATGTGAAGAAAGAAACCGAGGACAAAGTGTCGTCCGAAGATCCTGACGAGTCCTCAAGCAACAAGGACATCAAGTTCATCAACTCCAACGTGGATTCTAGCTGGACGATGTACAACAAGATGTTGGAGAGGGAAGGAAACCTCAGGCAGAAGAAGGGTAAATGGTTTCCTCTCTCGATCACAAACATTTATGCTTTTTGTTTTCTAAACTTTAACTTTGAAAACGCGTCAACATCAGGATATCAGCTCGTTTAAATGGTTTTTAAACGATGACTTCTTTGTCCTAAATAACATCCGAGATCAAAATAAACTTTCTATTTCATTTATTATTTATTTATATTTGTTTAATTCTGCTTCTGCAAGATTTCGTTTTCAAATTTTCTTTCTTTTTTTTTTTTTTTTTTTTTTTTTTTTTTTAAATCTAACAAATAAAAAGCATAAAAATAAACTCAAGATTCAAGGAGTAATCAACTAGTAAATTTTTTATATTCCTTTGAATCTAAAATAATTGATTCTAAGTTACTGTTGTTCTTTGGGACAAGACATAATTGGCTGTTTGTATAAATATCTAGTTAATGGTAAACAATATGTCAGAGTTCAGTGTTATTTTCTATTGTTTACATACAAAGTTGTGTCTCTTAAGTGAATTGATCAATATATTTTATTCTTTTGGAACTAATACAAGTTTATTTGATTCAGAAACTGAAAGTAATTCAGGTGAATATTGATGATTGAGGTGATCAGCACACTGATGTCAGATGTCATGAGTTATACAGTCCTCCAAGATCCTTGATTAAGATCATCACTACTTTGTTCCCACCTTCATCAGGCTATACAACACCTCAGCCAAAGGAAGTGGAGTAATTTAATTATTATTGTTTATTTATTATTAACTGTTATTAACTATTATTATCAACAATAAGCTAATGGACAAATGAATTTCCCCTTGGGGATAAATAAAGTATCTATCTATCAATCCATCCATACAAAAAACATCCATACAAACAAACAAACAAACAAACATCCATGCATCCAAAAAACAAACAAACATCCATACAAACAACCAAACAAACAAACATCCATACAATCAAGCATACAAACATCCATACAAACAACCAAACAAACAAACATCCATACAATCAAGCATACAAACATCCATACAAACAACCAAACAAACAAACATCCATACAATCAAGCATACAAACATCCATACAAACAACCAAACAAACAAACATCCATACATACATACAAACAAACAAACAAACAAACATCCATCCGTCCAAAAAACAAACAAACATCCATACAATCAAACATACAAACATCCATACAAACAAACAAACAAACAAACATCCATGCATCCAAAAAACAAACAAACATCCATCCATCCAAAAAACAAACATCCATACAATCAAACATACAAACATCCAAACAAACAAACAAACAAACATCCATGCATCCAAAAAACAAACAAACATCCATACATACATACAAACAAACAAACAAACAAACATCCATACAATCAAACATACAAACATCCATAAAAAAAGAAAATCTATTACTCAAGAGTAAATTAAGCTCATTTGCATTAAGTATTAGCCATGAAAATGATTCCCTCTCACTGTCTACAGATCCTGTAGCACACTGAACATTAGAGGCATCAAATTGAAGTAAGTAGGCTTTGTTCTCTGGTGATGACCATCATGGTGGCTGTTTGTTTTCAGACGCGGCGAGCTGTCTGGAGGATCGATTGGCGGAGCTTCATCTGTCCACGTCCCCTCGTCACGACTCTGAGACGGAGAACGAAGACGTGACCAGTCAGAGCGACTCACGCAGCTCTGAGCCGGACGGGATCTCGCTGACCGCTTTCGAATCCTACATCAGAGGCATGGTGGGTAATGTAGTCTCCAGGTTCCACTCCCCACGTCTCTTCTTTATCTGACACTGAAGTAGTTGTACAACAGGTTTTATTTAGTATGATTTTGGTTTGTTTTTTTTGTGATTTTTCATCAATGCAACTCGTACCTTATTCTCTATCTTTTTTAATATTCATCCTGAATGTAAAGCCCTCCAATGTCCTTGAAGATGATTTGTCACTAAAAATCACTTTTAATTTTGTTTCACACAGACTCGATCTCAAAGTGATGGTGACCTTAGGCCCAAACCCAAATCCTGTGAGTCAACACCAACCTTTTTATGCCTTGCTATACTATGACTTTTTAATGACATTTTTTTATAACTTACTATACTGTGACGCTTTTTATGCCTTACTATACTATGACGTTTTTTTTTTTTTGGACGCTTTTTTTTCCTAAATATACTATGACTTTTTAATGACGTTTTTTGATACCTTACTATACTATGACTTTTTAATGACGTTTTTTGATACCTTACTATACTATGACTTTTTAATGACGTTTTTTGATACCTTACTATACTATGACTTTTTAATGACGTTTTTTGATACCTTACTATACTATGACTTTTTAATGACGTTTTTTGATACCTTACTATACTATGACTTTTTAATGACGTTTTTTGATACCTTACTATACTATGACTTTTTAATGACGTTTTTTGATACCTTACTATACTATGACTTTTTAATGACGTTTTTTGATACCTTACTATACTATGACTTTTTAATGACGTTTTTTGATACCTTACTATACTATGACTTTTTAATGACGTTTTTTGATACCTTACTATACTATGACTTTTTAATGACGTTTTTTGATACCTTACTATACTATGACTTTTTAATGACGTTTTTTGATACCTTACTATACTATGACTTTTTAATGACGTTTTTTGATACCTTACTATACTATGACTTTTTAATGACGTTTTTTGATACCTTACTATACTATGACTTTTTAATGACGTTTTTTGATACCTTACTATACTATGACTTTTTAATGACGTTTTTTGATACCTTACTATACTATGACTTTTTAATGACGTTTTTTGATACCTTACTATACTATGACTTTTTAATGACGTTTTTTGATACCTTACTATACTATGACTTTTTAATGACGTTTTTTGATACCTTACTATACTATGACTTTTTAATGACGTTTTTTGATACCTTACTATACTATGACTTTTTAATGACGTTTTTTGATACCTTACTATACTATGACTTTTTAATGACGTTTTTTGATACCTTACTATACTATGACTTTTTAATGACGTTTTTTGATACCTTACTATACTATGACTTTTTAATGACGTTTTTTGATACCTTACTATACTATGACTTTTTAATGACGTTTTTTGATACCTTACTATACTATGACTTTTTAATGACGTTTTTTGATACCTTACTATACTATGACTTTTTAATGACGTTTTTTGATACCTTACTATACTATGACTTTTTAATGACGTTTTTTGATACCTTACTATACTATGACTTTTTAATGACGTTTTTTGATACCTTACTATACTATGACTTTTTAATGACGTTTTTTGATACCTTACTATACTATGACTTTTTAATGACGTTTTTTGATACCTTACTATACTATGACTTTTTAATGACGTTTTTTGATACCTTACTATACTATGACTTTTTAATGACGTTTTTTGATACCTTACTATACTATGACTTTTTAATGACGTTTTTTGATACCTTACTATACTATGACTTTTTAATGACATTTTTTTATAACTTACTATACTGTGACGCTTTTTATGCCTTACTATACTATCACGTTTTTTATGCCTTACTATATACTATGACTTTTTAATGACGTTTTAATACCTTAATATACTATGACGTTTCTTATACCTTACTATACTATGAATTTTTAATGACGTTTTAATACCTTACTATACTATGACGTTTTTATGACTTTTTTATGCCTTACTATACTATGACTTTTTTATGATGTTTTTTATGTGTTACTATACTATGACATTTTTAATGACGTTTTTATACCTTAATATACTATGTTTCTTATACCTTACTGTACCATGACGTTTTTATGACTTTTTTATGCCTTACTATACTATGACGTTTTTATGACTTTTTTATACCTTACTATACTATGACGTTTTTTTATAACTTTTTATGCCTTACTATACTATGACTTTTTTATGACTTTTTTATGCCTTACTATACTATGAATTTTTAATGACGTTTTTATACCTTAATATACTATGACGTTTTTTATGCCTTACTATACTATGACTTTTTAATGACGTTTTTTATACCTTACTATACTATGAATTTTTAATGACGTTTTAATACCTTAATATACTATGTTTTTTATACCTTACTATACTATGACGTTTTTATGACTTTTTTATGCCTTACTATACTATGACGTTTTTATGACTTTTTTATGCCTTACTATACTATGACGTTTTTATGACTTTTTTATGCCTTACTATACTATCACGTTTTTATGCCTTACTGTACTGTGACGTTTTTATGACTTTTTGATGCCTTACTATACTATGACGTTTTTATGACTTTTTAATGCCTTACTATACTATGACTTTTTTATGACGTTTTTATGCCTTACTGTACTGTGACGTTTTTATGACGTTTTTTATGTGTTACTATACTATGAATTTTTGATGACGTTTTTATGCCTTGTTATACTATGACGTTTTTTTTGGACGCTTTTTATGCCTTACTATACTATAACGTTTTTTATGCCTTAGTATACTATGACTTTTTAATGACGTTTTTTATACCTTACTATACTGTGACGTTTTTATGTTTTTTATGCCTTACTATACTATGACGTTTTTATGACTTTTTTATGCCTTACTATACTATGACATTTTTATGACTTTTTTATGCCTTACTATACTATCACGTTTTTATGCCTTACTGTACTGTGACGTTTTTATGACTTTTTGATGCCTTACTATACTATGACGTTTTTATGACTTTTTAATGCCTTACTATACTATGACTTTTTTATGACGTTTTTATGCCTTACTGTACTGTGACGTTTTTATGACGTTTTTTATGTCTTACTATACTATGACTTTTTGATGACGCTTTTTATACCTTACTATACTATGACGTTTTTTTTTGACGCTTTTTATGCCTTACTATACTATAACGTTTTTTATGCCTTAGTATACTATGACGTTTATACTGTGACGTTTTTATGTTTTTTATGCCTTACTATACTATGACGTTTTTTTTGGACGCTTTTTATGCCTTACTATACTAAAACGTTTTTTATACCTTACTATACTATGACGTTTTTGACGTTTTTTTATACCTTACTATACTGTGACGTTTTTATGCCTTACTATACTGACGTTTTTAATGCCTTACTATACTATGTTTTTATGATGTTTTTTATGCCTTACTATACTATGACTTTTTTTATTTTTTACATTGACAGGATTTCATATTATTTTTTTTAATTTTATTTTCATTACATTCTCCCTATAATTATATTTATATTACATCATTAATGTCCAATATATTTTTTTCACTCTCTCACAAAAAGCAGATACAGACATTACATATAGACTGTGAAAAATGTGTTTATTATTTTTGTCATCATTTACATGTCTGTCCATTGCGTGTTCTCTTTCATGTCACACTTGTTTTTGTTATGCAAAGTCACTAATTATAAATGAATAAATTATTTGTCATATTCATGTTTCAGTCATCCGACCAGTGATGAGTCAGCAAACCATAAAGAAAACTGACCCAGTGGCTAAGTAAGTTCAAAACCTCTGTGAAGGTTCAGTTCTGGTGTCGGGGATCGTACTCAGTGATTGGAGCATTAACTTGTTTAAATATATAACAAAGACGAATGAAGAAAATCCAACTGTAGTGTAACAAGAGCTGAAGATAAAACACTTGTGTGGTCTTATCGTTGTTGCAGGTATTTCCAGTACAAGCAGCTCTGGGAAATGTTCAAACTCCCTGGAGAGAAGGACAGGAGAGCGCTCCGCTTGGAGATGAAGGTATGAAGACATGTCTGCAGCAGAAGACTAACCTTTTAGTCTTTTTGTGTTGTGCAAATATTCACTCTGTTGACGCACTAACATTTTACACCATCCGTTTGTCCGTTCATACCATAAAATTCATGTTTCTCTCTCAAGTCCCGCTTCTGTAACACATGGCTTTAGTTGTTGAAAACATTGGTGGTCTAGGAAACTCAGTTGTTGCTTAATGTTTTTATACGTTTTTCTTTTAATAAGTTTTCCCTTTGTTTTCAGGAACGTCTTGCATACCAGCCTCCACCAGTAAGTATCCCCTAAAAGTTTCTCTGTAAAGCTGCACTAAGCAACATGTTTCATGGAAAGTTTTACTGCAGTCACAAGCAGTTAGACATAAATACTGTGAAGACATTTACGGCTCGTTAAATCACAATTCAGTGTCCGTTTGTCTCTCTCTGTCTGTGTGAGAGAGAGGTCATCCTGAGTTTCAGATACTGTAGATTTCCCAAATGTAATTATAGAGTCTAAGTCTGAAGTTCAGCATCTCCAAAAACACACACTGTGAGGAGGTTATTTACTGTTCATACAGCTGAAGTTTTAAAGCTAAATGTGATGTTATTTCTTACTGTCATTTGACATTTTCTAGTGTAGATTAAAAATCAGTACAATATGTATGTGTACAGAACTCTTGTGTGTTTGGAGTGTACAAGACAAAATTCGTGTTCATATTCAACCGTCCCCATTGTATTTTTACATAGTTTTGTAGGAAAAAAACTTCCAAACTCTTCTGTGGACTAAGAACTCTGTTAGTGACAAATATTTAACTTGTATTCATTGTTCTGCATTGCAGCCGAAACCTCGGAGAGTTTATGTGCCAAACACCTACATTGTGCCAACGGAGAAGAAACGCTCTGCGCTCCGCTGGGAGATCAGGAACGATTTAGCAAATGGCCTCCTCCCTCACAAATTCACTTATCGATTTTAGGCCTTTTGCTATCCTTATGCCTTTTTAGACACTTTTAATAAAACTTTACATTGTGTTTTTTTATCATTGGCATTATTTATTAATTACTTTTGTTGTGAAACACAATAAACACATTAAGAAAACAACTGGCTCACTGCAGTGAATGAATATATTACAGGTAATATCACGTCATTTATGGGAAGTCAGAGTAGGGCAGTTTAAACGGGTACAGAGGTGTATAACGCTGATCATGCCAGAGCAGCTTGTCTTCAAGAAACCGGACAGTGTCCAGAGTGAGGACGACAGCTTCATGTTTCAGCATGCTGTGGACATTCAGACCTGAAAGAGAGACAAAAACAGCTGCTGCTGACAGATTCTTTTCACTTCTACAGAAGATGGAAGCCATGCAGCTCTTTGTTTTAGAACACAGACTCAGTATATGAGTCCAGGACATTTAAATTTCTTCAAGATGATGTTTGTTGAATATTATTTCTAGTGTTTAGCTCAAACCTGAGACAATTTTCCTGTTAGCAAAAGTATAATTTTCACATAACATACTACAGAATTCGATAAATTCCACGAATAGTAAGGCATAAAAACGTTGCAGCATAGTAAGGTATAAATACACCAAAAAACATCATAGTAAGGGGTCAAAAATGTCATAGTATAGTAAGGCATACAAATGTCATAGTATAATATAAAAACATCAGAAAACATCATAGTATAGTAAGGCGTCAAAAATGTCCAAAAATGTCAAAGTATAGTAAGGTATAAAAACATCATAGTATAGTAAGGCATCAAAAATGTCCAAAAAACATCATAATATAATTAAGTGCCAAAAATGTCATAGTATAGTAAGCCATCAAAAATGTCAAAGTATAGTAAGGTAATTAAAAATGTCATAGTATAGTAAGGCATACAAATGTCATAGTATAGTAAGGTATAAAAACACCAAAAAACATCATAGAAAAGTAAAGCATCAAAAATGTCCAAAAAACATCATAATATAATTAAGTGCCAAAAATGTCATAGTATAGTAAGGTATAAAAACACCAAAAAACATCATAGTAGAGTAAGGCGTCAAAAATGTCCAAAAATGTCATAATACAGTTAAGTGTNGTGATGTTATTTCTTACTGTCATTTGACATTTTCTAGTGTAGATTAAAAATCAGTACAATATGTATGTGTACAGAACTCTTGTGTGTTTGGAGTGTACAAGACAAAATTCGTGTTCATATTCAACCGTCCCCATTGTATTTTTACATAGTTTTGTAGGAAAAAAACTTCCAAACTCTTCTGTGGACTAAGAACTCTGTTAGTGACAAATATTTAACTTGTATTCATTGTTCTGCATTGCAGCCGAAACCTCGGAGAGTTTATGTGCCAAACACCTACATTGTGCCAACGGAGAAGAAACGCTCTGCGCTCCGCTGGGAGATCAGGAACGATTTAGCAAATGGCCTCCTCCCTCACAAATTCACTTATCGATTTTAGGCCTTTTGCTATCCTTATGCCTTTTTAGACACTTTTAATAAAACTTTACATTGTGTTTTTTTATCATTGGCATTATTTATTAATTACTTTTGTTGTGAAACACAATAAACACATTAAGAAAACAACTGGCTCACTGCAGTGAATGAATATATTACAGGTAATATCACGTCATTTATGGGAAGTCAGAGTAGGGCAGTTTAAACGGGTACAGAGGTGTATAACGCTGATCATGCCAGAGCAGCTTGTCTTCAAGAAACCGGACAGTGTCCAGAGTGAGGACGACAGCTTCATGTTTCAGCATGCTGTGGACATTCAGACCTGAAAGAGAGACAAAAACAGCTGCTGCTGACAGATTCTTTTCACTTCTACAGAAGATGGAAGCCATGCAGCTCTTTGTTTTAGAACACAGACTCAGTATATGAGTCCAGGACATTTAAATTTCTTCAAGATGATGTTTGTTGAATATTATTTCTAGTGTTTAGCTCAAACCTGAGACAATTTTCCTGTTAGCAAAAGTATAATTTTCACATAACATACTACAGAATTCGATAAATTCCACGAATAGTAAGGCATAAAAACGTTGCAGCATAGTAAGGTATAAATACACCAAAAAACATCATAGTAAGGGGTCAAAAATGTCATAGTATAGTAAGGCATACAAATGTCATAGTATAATATAAAAACATCAGAAAACATCATAGTATAGTAAGGCGTCAAAAATGTCCAAAAACGCCATAGTACAGTAAGGCATAAAAACGTAGCAGCATAGTAAGGTATAAAAACACCAAAAAACATCATAGTATAGTAAGGCGTCAAAAATGTCCAAAAACGCCATAGTACAGTAAGGCATAAAAACGTAGCAGCATAGTAAGGTATAAAAACACCAAAAAACATCATAGTGTAGTAAGGCTTCAAAAATGTCCAAAAATGTCATAGTATAGTAAGGCGTCAAAAATGTCAAAAAATGTCATAGTATAGTAAGCCATCAAAAATGTCCAAAAATGTCAAAGTATAGTAAGGTAATTTAAAATGTCATAGTATAGTAAGGCATACAAATGTCATAGTATAGTAAGGTATAAAAACACCAAAAAACATCATAGTATATATAGTAAGGCGTCAAAAATGTCATAGTGTAGTAAGGCATCAAAAATGTCATAGTATAGTAAGGTATAAAAACACCAAAAAACATCACAGTATAGTAAGGCATCAAAAATGTCCAAAAAACGTCAGAATATAATTAAGTGCCAAAAATGTCATAGTATAGTAAGGTATAAAAACATCAGAAAACATCATAGTATAGTAAGGCATCAAAAACACCATAGTATAGTAAGGCGTCAAAAATGTCCAAAAATGTCATAGTATAGTAAGGCATCAAAAATGTCATAGTATAGTAAGGTATAAAAACATTAGAAAACATCATAGTATAGTAAGGCCTCAAAAATGTCCAAAAACACCATAATATAGTAAGGCATAAAAACGTTGCAGCATAGTAAGGTATAAAAACACCAAAAATGTCATAGTATAGTAAGGCGTCAAAAATGTCCAAAAATGTCATAGTATAGTAAGGCATCAAAAATGTCCAAAAATGTCATAGTATAGTAAGGCATAAAAACAACAAAAAACATCATAGTATAGTAAGGCATCAAAAATGTCCAAAAATGTCATAGTATAGTAAGGCATAAAAACAACAAAAAACATCATAGTATAGTAAGGCATCAAAAATGTCCAAAAATGTCATAGTATAGTAAGGCATAAAAACAACAAAAAACATCATAGTATAGTAAGGCATCAAAAATGTCCAAAAATGTCATAGTATAGTAAGGCATAAAAACAACAAAAAACATCATAGTATAGTAAGGCATCAAAAATGTCCAAAAATGTCATAGTATAGTAAGGCATAAAAACAACAAAAAACATCATAGTATAGTAAGGCATCAAAAATGTCCAAAAATGTCATAGTATAGTAAGGCATAAAAACAACAAAAAACATCATAGTATAGTAAGGCATCAAAAATGTCCAAAAATGTCATAGTATAGTAAGGCATAAAAACAACAAAAAACATCATAGTATAGTAAGGCATCAAAAATGTCCAAAAATGTCATAGTATAGTAAGGCATAAAAACAACAAAAAACATCATAGTATAGTAAGGCATCAAAAATGTCCAAAAATGTCATAGTATAGTAAGGCATAAAAACAACAAAAAACATCATAGTATAGTAAGGCATCAAAAATGTCCAAAAATGTCATAGTATAGTAAGGCATAAAAACAACAAAAAACATCATAGTATAGTAAGGCATCAAAAATGTCCAAAAATGTCATAGTATAGTAAGGCATAAAAACAACAAAAAACATCATAGTATAGTAAGGCATCAAAAATGTCCAAAAATGTCATAGTATAGTAAGGCATAAAAACAACAAAAAACATCATAGTATAGTAAGGCATCAAAAATGTCCAAAAATGTCATAGTATAGTAAGGCATAAAAACAACAAAAAACATCATAGTATAGTAAGGCATCAAAAATGTCCAAAAATGTCATAGTATAGTAAGGCATAAAAACAACAAAAAACATCATAGTATAGTAAGGCATCAAAAATGTCCAAAAATGTCATAGTATAGTAAGGCATAAAAACAACAAAAAACATCATAGTATAGTAAGGCATCAAAAATGTCCAAAAATGTCATAGTATAGTAAGGCATAAAAACAACAAAAAACATCATAGTATAGTAAGGCATCAAAAATGTCCAAAAATGTCATAGTATAGTAAGGCATAAAAACAACAAAAAACATCATAGTATAGTAAGGCATCAAAAATGTCCAAAAATGTCATAGTATAGTAAGGCATAAAAACAACAAAAAACATCATAGTATAGTAAGGCATCAAAAATGTCCAAAAATGTCATAGTATAGTAAGGCATAAAAACAACAAAAAACATCATAGTATAGTAAGGCATCAAAAATGTCCAAAAATGTCATAGTATAGTAAGGCATAAAAACAACAAAAAACATCATAGTATAGTAAGGCATCAAAAATGTCCAAAAATGTCATAGTATAGTAAGGCATAAAAACAACAAAAAACATCATAGTATAGTAAGGCATCAAAAATGTCCAAAAATGTCATAGTATAGTAAGGCATAAAAACAACAAAAAACATCATAGTATAGTAAGGCATCAAAAATGTCCAAAAATGTCATAGTATAGTAAGGCATAAAAACAACAAAAAACATCATAGTATAGTAAGGCATCAAAAATGTCCAAAAATGTCATAGTATAGTAAGGCATAAAAACAACAAAAAACATCATAGTATAGTAAGGCATCAAAAATGTCCAAAAATGTCATAGTATAGTAAGGCATAAAAACAACAAAAAACATCATAGTATAGTAAGGCATCAAAAATGTCCAAAAATGTCATAGTATATAGCAAGGCGTCAAAAATGTCATAGTATAATAAGGTATAAAAACATCAAAAAACATCATAGTATAGTAGGGCGTCAAAATATCCAAAAATGTCACAGTATAGTAAGGCATCAAAAACACCATAGTATAGTAAGGCGTCAAAAATGTCCAAAAATGTCATAGTATAGTAAGGCGTCAAAATTGTCATAGTATAGTAAGGCATAAAAATGTCATATTACAGTAAGGTATAAAAACACCAAAAAAAGGTGTCAAAAATGTCCAAAAATATCATAGTAAGGCATAAAAATGTCATATTACAGTAAGGTATAACACCAAAAAAAGGCGTCAAAAATGTCCAAAAATATCATAGTAAGGCATAAAAACATAGTATAGTAAGGTATAAAATTGCCAAAAAACATCATACATAGTAAGGCGTGAAAATGTCATATAGTGAGGCAGATAGGCAAAAGAATTGTGTATTTTAAGACTAAATCACAAAAGTTTGTGTATATAATCTATATACCCCATGGTTTTATTTCAGATGTGGAGGAAATGTATCTGATCTCTGGTGACGTTGGGAGCTAATTGACCTCAGCATTGCATTTTTCCAGTTTTTGCCCCATTAATCCATTATAATCATGTTTATCTTTGCCAAAATTGAATAAAGATGCTTATCTGCTGCTTTGCAGGGGGGCTGCAGACCCCACCATTTCCAGGCACTAGTGCAGCAGATGTGTTTGTATATGGAAGGTTATTGAGCATTTTATGACTAAAGCGTGAAACTTTCTCCATGTTTCTATAAACCATGAAGTTTGTTTTTCCGACGTAGAGGCATTTCAGATGTGACCTCTAGGACAGGGCGGAGCCACCTGGAGTAATGAGTGTGGTCCGGACCAAAGTAGCATGTAACTTCTGATTAGAGTGTTTGCTAATGTGCTAGCTAGTCATGTAATTCCATAGAACACACAGCAGAAGTTGTCAACGTTTTTAACAAGCTACAGCTACCTGAACACCTGGAAATGGTGGGGTCTGCAGTCCCCTGCAAAACTGGTGCTCTCAGCAAAATGATGTTACACAGCCACAGCAGCAGATAAGCATCTTTATGAGAAAAAAATGCAGTTTTGGCAAAGATACGCACGGTTATAATGGAGGAATGGGGCAAAGACTAGAAAAGTGTAATGCTGAGGTCAGTGACCTCCCAAGGTCACCAGAGGTCAGATACAAGTTGTCTCCACGTCTGAACTAATTCTCTCCATCAAGGAATCAGTTAAAATTCAGATTTTAAATCGTGCCAAAACAGAAATTCATCTGTTGGTGAATATTTCCACAGTTCAAATGTGACATAATATTACACAAAATATTATGTCACACTGTGTTAGTACTAGAAAAGAAGCATTTCATCATCACTGCTGAAGACTAACTCACCGATGGCTGGAATGATGTTCACTGTCTTTAAGTTTGCTGTGGCCTGAAGAATGTTCTCAGGAAACTCTTCACCTCTGAAAAGAGCAACAACAATTGAAAGCTACATATTTTCCTCTTCTCCTGTGTTTTAATTTGAAGTGTTGATTCATAAGAAGATATATCTGTGGTTTTAAGAACCAAAAACCATCTCAGTGTAGTTTTACATCTCCTCTCTCAGGCTTCTCTCTGGAGCTCTAGTAACAACAGGTCGGTGAGCCAATCAGAAGAGAGGAGGCTCTGAGCCTCTCTTCTGATTGGCTGACTGTTTTCTGAGTGATCCAATAAAAATATAGCAGATTTCAGGTAAAAACACTCAGAGAAACCAAATTCCGCAAGGTTTGGATGGTGGGTCCAGGTGGGCGGGGCTTGGTGACTGCTTTGTTGTGACATCACAAAGTTCCAGAAGTCCTGACGGCTGGTTTTAAGGCTCAGTTTCTGAATACAGGCTGTGTGCATTTCTCTGTGGACTGAGGCTTTGATACTTTCACAGTATTAATATAGAAGCTAGACCTGATCTATAATCACACTACACATGGACAGAGACCTTTACACTGGATGGGACCTTTAAAGCCCTGAGCAAAACGACAGAGCAACAAACTTAATTTAAAGTTTGATATTCAGTTAAAGAAAAAAAGCCTTGGTTGATGATACTCACACGTCGACTATTAACACCGACTCTCCCCAGTGTCTCTGTCTGATGAGGTCCAGTAGATACTGAGAGTCCGGTGTGGGGATGTTCAAGGAGTCCACAATGTGAAGGAAGTCCTGGGAAAACACAACACTTCAGGGTCAACACAAGTAAAATACATTTTAAAAACAAACAATTGTTGCGAGAAAATTGATTCACAATTATCTTAGTCGTTTTTTTTTTTTTTTATTGAAAATGCCAAATATTCAGTGGCTCCAGCCTCTTAGAAGACATTTGAAAGCATCACCTTTGGCTCTGTGAAGGTGTCATCAGAACTTTTTTGACATTTTAGAATAAACAATGAATCAATCAAATTAAAGTAGTCCCTAAAATAATCAATAATGAAAATAACAGTGATTTTCAAACTACAGATTTTTTAAAAAGAGGTCTATGAAATGTGTAATAAATGATCTCTAAGATTCAAAAAGATTGACACCTGTCTTATTTCCAAGGTTCTGGTTCTGTGCATCACAAAGACTATTAACTCAAAGACTCTGGACAAACAGTCCAGATCATAATTATCTGGACAGTTACACATGTTTTTGCTCAGATTCATCCAAATTAATCAAAACTCAGCGGACGATGTTTCATCTTTCAGCAGGACAATGACCCCGAAACACAAACCAAAACAACCACAGAGCTTTCCAGGGAGTGTTGAGTGATTCCACTTGTTGGAGACCAGACTAAAGGCAGAGAGATCCCACAACAAGTAAGAGCTGGGGCTGCAGCGAAGCCCTTTCACTCCACACAGTTCTTTCTAATATTGATGTCAACCTACTCCATTCAAAGCTGAGAATTGGCACGTTAATGTTGTATCCTTTATTTTATGAAAAACAAACAATGTGTAACTTTCCAAATACTTCAGGTCTGGACTGTAAATGTTAATGTTGTTTTAAGCACTGACGAATTAAACAGACACTTTTGGATATTAATTTAAATTAGTTTAAATTCTTAGCTTCCTTTAACAGGTCTCAGTTACCTGAGTCATCTTGGAGCTCAGCGCCACTTTGAGTCCTTGCACTCGCACTTTCATGGGTAACATGTAGTAGTAACTGGTTGGCCCTCTGGGTCCGTGAGACACCCCACCTGAGAGAAGCACATCACCTGTCAGACTTCCTCTGATTTCATCACATCACAGGCTACCTGTACCACAGTGATCTTATTCATATTAAAGCAGAAGAAAACAGACGAAGCATAAAACCTTAAGACTTCTCACCTCCTCTCCATATCGGTGATCGGATGCTTCCGTGACGAGCTCTTCCACTTCCTTTCTGTCTCCACGGTTTCCGGCCCCCACCTCTGACCTCTGACCTGATCTTTGTGTTGGCGTGGCTCTGAGGGAAAGAGACGATTAGTGAGGACAGGTTTTCAGACTCTTCTGTTCTTTCAGCCACGGGTTTCATCCATAGACAGAACTTGAAACATTTATTCCAACTAGCTTAGTGGCAGACACGCATTAATGTGACATTTAATTGTAAGATTATTATAACAGGACAAAAATAATCAATGTCTTTTTAGATATCTGATCACTTTCCGGCCTAATCATCTGATAATGACATTATGCACCACTTCATGACCACTAATAAATAATAAACAAGACTTATAATAGAATATAACAGAATGTCACTGTCTCAACATTAAAAGCAACAACACAATAAAAAAACAAAAACAACAATTAAACACACACATGGTCAAACATCAGCAGTTACAACAGTTAGAACAAATTAAATAGGATCCTCCATCGTGGGTATGATTGATCCACATGCACTCAAGCTAAGCTAAGCTAAGCTAAGCTAAGCTAATGCTCCATATGTTAATGCAACTGAGTCGTGTTCAGGCTTTTTTAAAAAAAAAGGTTGTGACAGTTAAAACCTGCTGCTAATATTGCAGGTGACTTGAGAGACATGACAGACGCCATGATGTGTAGTTTTAGTCAACTCAGTGACTATTCTATTAAAAAATAAAAGCTTTAAAGTTATGCACATCAGGTTAGAGTTGAAGATGTCCACAGATCATCTCACAACAAAACAAGTTACAACATGGAGCCACCTGAAGACGCACAGGACAAACATCTCACAGTAAATCTGTAACTTACGATTCTCTTGTAATTTCTCTGCCATATTTCAACGTCGTGCAGAATATCGAGCCTGAGAGGAGAGAAAACAAAAGACGGATTAAACCAGGATTCACACAAAGTTTCCACTTCACACAGACTTTCCTCTTGTGACTGAAGATTTCAGTGGGTATTCAGCAGGTTGTAAGTTCTGGATTTGTGGAGGTGACGCCTGATCTGCTGCAGATCTAAACACTCTCCTGACAGAAGGTGAACAGTTGCATGAAAACTCTGAATTCCACTTTACCTCGGAGGCACCGCAAAGACATCAGGGTGGAGCTGAGCCAAACCCAACGGCTCACTGTCCTGCGTCTCCAGAGTCTCCACCCACGTCTGGACGGGGCTCAGGTGAGCAGGAACGACAGCATCACACTTCCTCAGGAGAGGCAGCGAACAGTCTGCAGGAGGAGGAGGGCGCTCTGCAGGAGGAAACACAGGAGTAGTCAGTGATGGACGCTGTACGAGCCGTCTCAGTAGAATTTTAATGTGAATTTTCTAGCAGCTGAAACTGTGTAAACTGTTAACACTAAAAGTATTTGATGAGTCTGATTTCATACAGTTTTATTTGTCCCTTAATGATATAAATGCTCAATGCAAACAAAAACCCACGGGGAAAAACATATTATTTGATGCTTGAATTAAATTTAAAAGACACTGTTATAAAACATCAAGTAAAACAACTTTGAATACATTTTAAATTGAGCTCCAAACACCAAACATCAGATTAAATCTAAATTTCTAGTTTCAGACTCACTTAATCTGGCAGGATCCACGAGGTTAGTGGGCAGCAGTAAATTCGGAGGCAGAGCGCTCTGACCAGAGAACGACGATGCAAACTGAGGACGAGAAAACTCTTGAGTTAGAAAACGAGACACAACAGGGAGTATGATTATGAGTAGACCTAATATCTGACAGCTGTGCAGCCTGAGAAACTGTAATTAAAACTTCATGTTTAAGCATGGCTGAAACAATTATAACTCATTACAGGTGAGTCTATGAGCTGAAAACAATGACTCTTTATATCCATCGTTTGCTCCAACAGCCAAGAGTGACGTCTTGTTTGTTCCTGACAGTAAAAACACCCAAAATATTCACAACATGAAACTGAGCTGCAAGAATTAATCAATTAATAGTTTGACAGAAAATTAATCTGTGACTACTCTGATAATCAATTAATCGTTTTGATCAGATTTCAAAGAAAGACTGTCTTTGTTTCGTTTATTTCACATATATTTCCTCTATTTTCATTCATTTAACTGACAAAATTATACAGTAAGAAACTTTTGAAATTTAAAAAAAACACACGTTTAATGGATTATAGTAAGTAAATCAACATATTTATCCATAATTAATAAAATTTGTTTTCAACTTTTTTTATTCAGTTCCAAAAACATTCAGTTTTTTGTTGTAAATTGACACATTGCTGTTAATTTACCGTTTTTTAATGGTTCTGATACAAAATTTATTGCTTCGTCTTTTTCTATGTTGCCCTTCCTGTATAGCGCTGTGTGTCATACAGACATATTGTCATTATATATGTATGAGCTTTGAAGTGATAAACAGAAGATAAAAGACTGTAACTGTGAATATTATCTAATTATCTCATAGTTACAGCTGCCACGTGACTTTAGCCCACCTTAGTGGAGCTAATTAAAGTAAATATTGTACTGTATGTTACCATGTGAAGTAAGTGTGCTTCGTTAATGTTGCTCACCCTTTTAGCGGCTCCTCTGCCACAAACTACCAGAGAAAAACGAAGCATCTCGGTTCGGTTTTCTTCCTCGGTTACAGTCACTTAATCTCCTCTGAAATATTTGCAAATAAACATTATAAACGGAGTAAGACCGAGTGTCTGTCGCTGTTTCGAAGCCTCACTGTTCGCTGCACGAAAGGTCGCGCCTAGTGTGTTGGCGCATTTCTATGACGTCACGTATGAACACACGGATGCGCTACCCAGCGGTTGGAGGTGGTCAAAGCTCCGGAAGCAAAAATAAAGCGGATATTAACAAAATAAAAGCAGAGATGTGGAGGGAAAACATACAATTAAAAAAATAAAAGCAGAAATCAACTAAATTATAAAGAATGAATGAAATACATTTTTGAATAAGAAATCAACAATTTAAAAAAGAAAATGAACAAGGTAAAAGCAGAAATCAACATAACAAAAGCAAAAATGACAAAATAAAAGTGGAAATCAACAAAATAGAAGTAAAAATGAACAAAATAATAGCGGAAATTACCAAAAGTGGACACAGATACTAATAATATCCAAAGAACTGGACTAAAAACTTAGAATTGGTAGCAAAGACAGGTGTGTGATAAATAACAAAGTAAACAAGAAAGTTGCATATAGTGGGTAAGAGGGTTTTGAGGATTTTCTCACAAATAACGCCATGAGTAGCTTTTATTTATCTGTTAATGTCATACAAAGTGCAGTAAATAGAGAAAACCTAAATCAAATCAATACTTGCTGTGACATCCACTTTCTTTGCCTTTAAAACATCACCAGTTCTCCTCAGTACACCTGCACAGAGAGAATTTCATACCAAAAAGATTGAAACTTTGATGATGCCTATACTTGATCTTATATTGATATAGCATTACAAGAAGATGTCTTTGACATTACCAACCAAAAACTGTTGTGATGTTCATATGAACATGTAGGTATTGTTTTAAGATAGATGTTAAAAAATGTTGACCTATCCTTTAATAAACACATTATTAGTTATTTTTAATTGATTTATGACCATAATCTCTCTCTCTCTCTCTTGTACTGCATATTGTATATGAGTTATTGATATTTCGTGAGAGAGTGCAAAAAATCTTTGTTTTTAAATGATATGTTTTGTACCTGAATTCTTCTTCAATTAAAATGCTGAACCCAAACACTGTCAAGAGTATGTTTTTGAATTATTATGTATATTTTAAAATTTCAATATATTAAATATTTTTGTAAACTGAACACACAAACATTTGTATGAGATGGCAAATTTTATTTAATTTTAAAAATAGAGTACACACACTTAGAGATTTAAACTTGATAAAACCACAAAACATCATAACAATATAAAATATAGTGTGTACATTACATCAAATTTTAATTGCTTCACAGTCACCTTTAAAATGGCCTGACAAAGTTTATATAGTTGATATATACAGCACAGTAATCTCCAACTATTTCATTATTATTGCTCCAAGATGTCAAACAAAAATGCTTATAACACATCTCAACTATATACATCCCAATGAATATAAAATATGGTGGGCTTTTCAAAAGAATAAATGCACAATATAATATGTGCAAAACTTTGGCAAAACCTTGAGTGTCATAACAAAATCAGAAGGTTTAACTTTAATATATATACAAACCTACTTTTCAAATACGTATGATGTAGTATAAACACTGTGAAAAAGTTTGAATTTACATATGAAACAAGTGCAAGGATGCTGCATTGTAATGTAATTTACATCATTACAAAGCTACAGGAGTGGCTTCATATACAAAAAAAATAATTGAGGCATTAAGGGCCACATTTCTTACAAATCATAAATCATACAACAATATACAATAACTGTCACAATACAACAAAAAGCAGACTAAAAGAAACAGTTGACACTGCTTGTGGAAACATGAGTGATTTGAAACCTACACAAGGTTGGAGAGAAAGATTTTTGACCCTTTTCGGTTATTTCCATATGGAACTTCAAGGTCTATGTTTCCTGGATTAAAATCAAGCCCTCCAAGTGTGTTATATTTACGATTTGGCATCCTTTGATTTTGGGTTTGAGCGGGAAAAACAGTGACGTAGTATCCATCTGAACTGCTGGGTACTCTTATTCTTGAATCATGAGAAAAATGTGGCAAACGTCCGTTAGGTACGGGCTGCATTGTTCTCTGATGCTTTGAATATGCATCACCAGCTGGAATTCTTCTCATGTGTCTGGGGTCCCTCATGTCAATATTAACACCTGATGGGCGGATCACGTGTCCATAGTTATGTGATGTCTGGAAGTCCAGTTTTGAACCTCTGGCTCTAAGTACATGTTCCTTTCCCGTGAAATCATCAATGTTGAGATCTGAACGGTTGAAATCAATATGGTGGCCAAAATTTGAATCCACCGCAGGGTAGCTGGACCTTACTTTGGTTCTAGGTGGCTTAAGTCTGATATCTCCATCTACGTCCATGGCAGGCATTCTCATATTAACACCTGTCATATCTGATATATGTACCTTCTTATAAGAAGGTCTTTTGAAATTTAGTGAAGGATCATCAATGTCAAGATCCGGAGATCTGAGATGCAGCTGTGGACTCCGCATTGCCATGGGCATGCTGAGGTCCATGTTTGGAGAACTAACCTTTGGACTTCTGATAATCCTCGTCAACTCTGGTGGTTTTACATTCACTTTTGCATTCGGAGGAGAAATATCCAGATGTGTTGGCCTCAGAGATGCACCAAAGTCAATATCAGACCCTGTCCTCTGAAGATCTGGGCTTTCAAACTGAGGCAGCTTGAAAGATGGGAGTTTGAATTTTCTGTCTGCCAAATCAAGATCAGTGTGAGGACCCTGGATGTTTCCAGAGGGGACATTCATGTCAAAGTCTGGACCTCTTATTCCTCCTCTGACCTCAGGGGCAGTAAAGTTCATGTCTGGTCGCCCTATATTTGGGCCATTAATATCTACATTTGGTAAATTCAGGTCAGGTAGGTCTCCGTTTATATCAATATTGGGACCTTCTGGCATCTTGATTTTTGGCTTTTTGAACTTTGCATCAGGCAAACCAATGTTGACATCTGGAGTGTTCATATCTAACTTTGGAGCTTTAAGGTCCACATTTGGTAAGCCCAACTTGGGGGCATCAAGTCCACCTTTCATCTTTGGAGCTTTGAGATTCAAATCTGGAGTTTTTAGGTCTGAATTTATGTTCAAATTTGGTCCCTTTGGTAACTTAGCATCAAAATCTGGTGACTTGAGGTCAAAGTTTGGGCGATCTAACTTTGGACCAGAAAATCCCACATCAGGCATTTTCAGATGTGTCTTTTTCATTTTTCCAGAAGGACTGCCAAAACCAACATCTGGCATTTCAAAGCCAGGTTTGGACCCTTTGAGGTTGACATTGGGCGCATTGATGTCTGGGCCACTGAAATTGCCGTCAATTTCAGGTCCTTTTAGGCTTGGTAGACTAATTTTAGGCATTTTCAATTTGGGCATCTTCATCTTTGCTTTGGGTGAGCCAATATTGAAATCTGGTGCATTAACATCTAACTTTGGAGCTTTAAGGTCCATGTTTGGTAAGTCCAAGTCAGGGGCATCAATTCCACCCTTTATCTTTGGAGCTTTGAGACTCAAATCTGGTGAATTCAGATCTGTGTTTAGGTCCATATTTGGTCCTTTTGGCAATGTGCCTGAAAGGTTAAATTTTGGCATTTTCAATTTGCCAGAGGGAGCATTAACATCCCAGTCTGGAGCATGAAGGTCTGCCTTTGGTTTTCCAAAATTTGGCATTTTCATTTTGCCAGATGGCATGTCTAAGTTGACCTTTGGGGCATTGAGGTCCAGTTTGGGGCTTTTCAGGTCAACCTTGGGCACGTTTATGTCTGGTGCATTTATTCCACCACTGAGGTTAGGACCTGAGATATCTAGGTCTGGTGATTTGAGGTTTAAGTTAGGGCCATCTATCTTTGGACCAGAGAGCCCGAAATCAGGCAGGTTTAAGTTTGGCTTTTTGAATTTTCCTGATGGACCGGCAATATCAAGATCTGGAATTCCTACATCAGCTTTAGGACCTTTAAGATTGACACTGGGTACATTCACATCAACATCTGGGCCATCTAAGTTTCCGTCAATTCCAGGTCCTTTTAGACTTGGAAAACTAAATTTAGGCATCTTCAATTTGGGCATTTTAAATTTTGCTTTGTGTGTGCCAATGTTGACATCTGGAGTGTTTACATCTAACTTTGGAGCTTTAAGGTCCATGTTTGGTAAGCCCAAGTCAGGAGCATCAATTCCACCCTTTATCTTTGGAGCTTTGAGACTCAAATCTGGTGCATCCAGATCTGTGTTTATGTCCATATTTGGTCCTTTTGGCAATGTGCCTGAAAGATTAAATTTTGGCATTTTCAATTTACCAGATGGCATGTCTACATTGACCTTCGGGGTATTGAGATCTAGCTTTGGGCTTTTGAGGTCCACTTTAGGCATATTTAGGTCTGGTGCATTTATTCCACCACTGAGACTGGGACCAGAGATATCTAGGTCAGGTGATTTCAAGTCCAACTTAGGACCATCTACCTTTGGACCAGAGAACCCAAAATCTGGCAGGTGCAAGTTTGGCTTTTTGAATTTTCCAGATGGACCAGCAATGTCAACATCTAAGTCAGCTTTAGGGCCCTTGAGGTTGAAATCAGGTGCATTAATATCCATGTCTGGACCATCTAAGTTTCCATCAATTTCAGGTCCTTTCAGGCTTGGAAGGTTAAATTTAGGCATCGTCAATTTGGGCATCTTCATCTTTGCCTTGGGTGAGCCAATGTTGATTTCAGGATTATTAATATCTAACTTTGGGGCTTTGAGGTCCATGTTTGGTAAGTCCAAGTCAGGAGCATCAATTCCACCCTTTATCGTTGGAGCTTTCAAATTCAAATCTGGTGCATCCAGATCTGTGTTTATGTCCGTATTTGGTCCCTTTGGCAATGTGCCTGAAAGAGTAAATTTTGGCATTTTCAATTTACCAGATGGCATGGCTACATTGACCTTCGGGGGATTGAGATCTAGCTTTGGGCTTTTGAGGTCCACTTTAGGCATATTTAGGTCTGGTGCATTTATTCCACCACTGAGACTGGGACCAGAGATATCTAGGTCAGGTGATTTCAAGTCCAACTTAGGACCATCTACCTTTGGACCAGAGAACCCAAAATCTGGCAGGTGCAAGTTTGGCTTTTTGAATTTTCCAGATGGACCAGCAATGTCAACATCTAAGTCAGCTTTAGGGCCCTTGAGGTTGAAATCAGGTGCATTAATATCCATGTCTGGACCATCTAAGTTTCCATCAATTTCAGGTCCTTTCAGGCTTGGAAGGTTAAATTTAGGCATCGTCAATTTGGGCATCTTCATCTTTGCCTTGGGTGAGCCAATGTTGATTTCAGGATTATTAATATCTAACTTTGGGGCTTTGAGGTCCATGTTTGGTAAGTCCAAGTCAGGAGCATCAATTCCACCCTTTATCGTTGGAGCTTTCAAATTCAAATCTGGTGCATCCAGATCTGTGTTTATGTCCGTATTTGGTCCCTTTGGCAATGTGCCTGAAAGAGTAAATTTTGGCATTTTCAATTTACCAGATGGCATGGCTACATTGACCTTCGGGGGATTGAGATCTAGCTTTGGGCTTTTGAGGTCCACTTTAGGCATATTTAGGTCTGGTGCATTTATTCCACCACTGAGACTGGGACCAGAGATATCTAGGTCAGGTGATTTCAAGTCCAACTTAGGACCATCTACCTTTGGACCAGAGAACCCAAAATCTGGCAGGTGCAAGTTTGGCTTTTTGAATTTTCCAGATGGACCAGCAATGTCAACATCTAAGTCAGCTTTAGGGCCCTTGAGGTTGAAATCAGGTGCATTAATATCCATGTCTGGACCATCTAAGTTTCCATCAATTTCAGGTCCTTTCAGGCTTGGAAGGTTAAATTTAGGCATCGTCAATTTGGGCATCTTCATCTTTGCCTTGGGTGAGCCAATGTTGATTTCAGGATTATTAATATCTAACTTTGGGGCTTTGAGGTCCATGTTTGGTAAGTCCAAGTCAGGAGCATCAATTCCACCCTTTATCGTTGGAGCTTTCAAATTCAAATCTGGTGCATCCAGATCTGTGTTTATGTCCGTATTTGGTCCCTTTGGCAATGTGCCTGAAAGAGTAAATTTTGGCATTTTCAATTTACCAGATGGCATGGCTACATTGACCTTCGGGGGATTGAGATCTAGCTTTGGGCTTTTGAGGTCCACTTTAGGCATATTTAGGTCTGGTGCATTTATTCCACCACTGAGACTGGGACCAGAGATATCTAGGTCAGGTGATTTCAAGTCCAACTTAGGACCATCTACCTTTGGACCAGAGAACCCAAAATCTGGCAGGTGCAAGTTTGGCTTTTTGAATTTTCCAGATGGACCAGCAATGTCAACATCTAAGTCAGCTTTAGGGCCCTTGAGGTTGAAATCAGGTGCATTAATATCCATGTCTGGACCATCTAAGTTTCCATCAATTTCAGGTCCTTTCAGGCTTGGAAGGTTAAATTTAGGCATCGTCAATTTGGGCATCTTCATCTTTGCCTTGGGTGAGCCAATGTTGATTTCAGGATTATTAATATCTAACTTTGGGGCTTTGAGGTCCATGTTTGGTAAGTCCAAGTCAGGAGCATCAATTCCACCCTTTATCGTTGGAGCTTTCAAATTCAAATCTGGTGCATCCAGATCTGTGTTTATGTCCATATTTGGTCCCTTTGGCAACGTGCCTGAAAGATTAAATTTAGGCATCTGAAGTTTGCTTGAGGGAGCATCAATATGCATGTCAGGAGCACTCAAGTCAAAATTTGGTTTCTTCATTGCTGGGAGTTGTAATTTACCTGAGGGCATATCTAAGTTGACATCTGGGCCAGAAAGATCTAGTTTGGGTTTATTAAGATCCATCTCAGGCAGATTGATTCCCCCTTCAAACTTGGGAGTAGACACATTCATGTCTGGAGTTTTTAACTCATATTGAGGGGCTTTAACTTTAGGCCCAGATAACCCAAAGCCTGGCATTTTGAATTTACCAGATGGGCTTGCAATGTCCAAGCCAGCCGAGGGTACATTTAAGTCAACATTTGGGTCTGCAATTCCAGCTTTGAGACCAGGTCCAGCCAACTGCACATCTGGTCCCTCAAAATCTGGAACTTGAATGTCCGGTAAATCAAATTTGGGCATTTTAAATTTAGGAGCCTTGTACTTTCCAGATGGACCTTTAATGTCAACTGATGGAGTCTCCGTGGCTAAGTTTGGTCCTTTTAGGTCAGCTCTGGGCAGACTTATATCAGGTGCATGAATCCCACCTTTTATATTTGGTGTTTTGAGACTTAGGTCAGGTGTTTTAACATCAGCTTCAAGTTTGCCTGGGAACCCAAATTTGGGCATATTGAGTTTACCAGCTGGAGCATCCACATCTAAATCTGGAGATTTAAGATCAATCTTTGGTTTCCTTAGTGGCACTTTGACTTCACCTGAAGGCATGTCAATGTCTGATCCATTTAGATCGAGCTGTGATACATTGACACCTGGCATTTCCAGGTCTAAGTCAGGGGATCTCCCAGTCAGCCTAAGCTTGGGTGATTCTACATAATAGGAAAGATCATCCACATTTAGATCTGGCTTTTTTAGTTTCTTTGAATACTTGAGATTGAGTTTATCTGAAGGTACATCTGGTGTCTTGATCTCACATTCTGGACCACCAAGAGAAGGTCCAGAGAGGCCCAGGTCAGGCATTTTGAATTTTGGCATTTTGAATTCTTTGTTTGTTCCTTCAATGCACACTTTAGGAACGCCAGTGTCAAAGGATGGACCAGTGATATTTCCCCCATTAAGGTTTATCCCCATTTCAGGGGTTCTAACATCTGAGCCTCCTATTTCTGGAGCTCTAAAAGTTCCTTTGTCTTCCAGTCCAATATGAGGTCTTTGAAGATTTGGCATTGTCAAGTCAACTGATGGACTGTCAGTGTTTGGCAGTTGTGTACCACCTATCGCGTTTACATTTGGACCTCCTGCTACTGTCCCAGACAGATGGAAGTCTGGAGTGTTAAGCTGTGGACTTCTAGCATCAACTTTCAGTCGATTTCTTGGTACCTGAGCTCCGCTTAAAGCAGTGCCACTCAAGCCAAGACCCAAAGGTGGAAGGTTCAGGTTGCTGCCATCTGTTAACTCTCCAGCTGCTCCAGCCGAAAATGTTGCAGATTCTGAATCAGCATCAATGTCTGTGCTCAGAGTCTTGCTTTTGAGAAGTCCAAAGTCAACTCCGAGGCGAGGCAACCCCATATCTTGTTTTAGGTTAACCTTGGATGAGCCTGCTACAGTTGGCTCACTGCTCTCACTGCCGTCCATAAACTTCTTGATTTTGGCATTGTAGAGTTTGCTGTAGGAATCCTTCAACATCTAGAAACATAAAACACAACTTGGTTACGGGAAAGCAGCTATAATAACAATTCTCTAGCAATTGGGCTAGGGATCAATTTTAGCATTGCTTCTAACAATCAATATAATGCAGATTACAACAAAAACCTTTTGTTTATGGTGGAACCTGGACTAAAACATATCATGGATCACTGCTCCATGAAGGTATAAGAAAATCCACTAGCTCAGTTTGACTTGGCAGTATTTGTAAAAACACCTACTGTCTCGGGACTCTTGGCACACTGGTCCAGATTGTCAAGGCTCCTGCTCAGGTTGCTCCTGGTGAGGACCCGGACCTTGTCATCAAACGGTTCCATTACCTTCAGTACTTTTATTACTTCCTCTTTTGACAGTTGGTCAAAATTGATTGTTGCCCCCAAAATTTCATCCCCTGAAAAGGAAAAATCAAGTGTCTACGTAAAGCAATAGCTTGTTCCAGACCATTTCCATTTTGTCACAGGTGCAAATCATGCTGTGCTATTTAAAGGGTAGTATTTATTAGACCCTAAACTAGACACCAGCAATACCAGTACATTGGGCACTGGATTTTGTGTAAAGGAATCACAACAGGAAAATCAGCAGAGCAAACAAAGTTTTTAACATTCGACAGAAATGCAATCCATCACAACACCTCTGTAATATATAGCACATTTCTGAACCTTATAATTTCAGTTGATTGTTACTGACTGTTAAAAATTGGACATTTGAAAATTCTGTACCATTTGCCTTAAAGCTTCACACATAAACAACCAAAAACAATTAATTTAGGCGATACATATAGCAGGACTATTACATCATATAATGTTTCTTCCGTGTGAAACATACACATTAACACAACCTCTGATTGAGGCAAGTGAACAAAGACGTCCTTTAATTTGAAATGCATATTCTTGCGGGGACAGCTAATTAAACTCATAGAGACTTTTACATCTCACTTTCAAAACAGTCAAAGGCAATACGGAAAAAAAGCTTAAGACATAAATGAAGAGTCATACCTTCCCTCAGACCCTGATTGGCTGAGGCCTTGTTGACGCTGGAAATGACCAGCCCACCTTCTTCTGATTGTTCGAGAGTGAAGGCCTCAGAGAGGCTCCGTCCTCTCTGGTGAGACGGCTGCAAGCAAAGACATTTCATAAAGTGTTTACAACAGAAGCACTTCTCCAAACCTGACTCAAATATTACGAAACTAAAACAATATGTTGATGTTTCTTACCATGACTCTTGCGTTTCTGTCACACTGGCATGGAAAATCCCCTTTGACTAAACCTACAGAAGAAAATAAAATATTCAGTTAACACATACAGCCACTAAGGGAACATGATATCTGGAGCTTATGACATACTGTATGTTTGTAACATGTTAAAGGTTAAAACAAATAAAACAAAACAGCTGGAACAGAATTTGGCCTTTAATGACACAGATGAACCAGGAGAATCCAGAAAAACAGATCTTGTCTTGAGAAAACTAATTTTTCCCATCTGTACAACTGCACACGAACGCACCACTCTGGTAGACTTGAGAGGTTCAACAGTTTTAACTGCAATTGCAAAACTTTGAAAGGAGGAAATAAGAAATACAAAATAAGAAATACACAAATAAATTCTGCATTTGGGGAACACTAAAACTTTTATTTTATTAATGTCATTGCTGTAATTACAATTACTATTTAATACCATTATACAGTATATCAAGGACACGGTATCACTATGGGTTTATCTACCAGTATTTTTCTATACATTATTCAAAGAAATTTACATTTTAGACATTTCTTTAAAGAAAAAAATGTTTTCAGTCATCATTATGTTTTACTAATGTTTTTGTTGATGTTTACATCTCAGCTCAGTATATTAAGAGTTAGTTTAGACCAATATAAATAAATGTATCATGAAATTCTCATATTAACACTTGCCCTGAGAAAAAGACATTTGTTCTGAAGATTAAAAAAAAAAAAAGTAGCACAAAACACTAAGCCTAAAAGCGAGAGGGTGTCAGTGTTACTGTATACAGGTAAATAAGCGATACACAGGTAACTCAGCAGGTGCATCTCTCAGGTATTTGAGTTATGGCCTCAGGGCTGTTGTGTCATAATGCAGGACAACCACGAACAGGTTCAACGAGAGTGCTGCCAACAGGTGTTCTGTTGTTGGGCGTTTCACTTTTGAAAGCACACAAAGTCAAAATCACCGCACCCACTGCTTTCGAGTACAGAAATCCTGCTGGAGCGCTGGCAGACATTCAAACCCGACACAGTTTGTTCTATCAGGATCAAGTGAAGTGATTGAAAAGATGAACTGGATTAATGAAACTTTGCTCTGTGGCCTCATGAACATAAAACTATTAAAATTAGAATGAAAATCTGTGATGTGACAGTTTAAATTCAGTATTAAAGCAGACAAATTCACAATATAATCACTGTCCCACTATAGCAACAGATATACCGTGTGATCAGCCAATAAATTAACACTAACGATAATTATTGCAGTAATGATCTCAAAATCAATATATTTATATACATTTACCACATAAAATTAAAAAATAATGTTCTTTTTAGGTGAAATTATAGAGAAAACTACAACACTTTACAGAAATAACTGCAGTCAGGTATTTAAGATGTCAAGCTGGGACAGATTTGGGTAAATGGCAACTCAATGATGAACCAGCACATCCCCACATGAGAATTTTATACAGTTATAATTGTATTGTAAGACAGAACAATGATGACTGATATTGAGTCAATGAAACCCCCAATATAAAAATGTATATATGAAAGGTTCCTATATACTGAAAAATGTAGTTTTAAAGTTTACAAAACTTTGTTAATTGGTGGTTTTGTGTAAAAAATGTATCATGTGTCTTCCAGACTAATTCCCCTGCATTTATTATGTCACACAAAATATTACCATCAGTCAGAATTTGGTATTTAGATCATGTTACACACGGCTGCAGCTGAGCAAAGGCAGCTTCTGATTTATGACTGAGAAAGTTAAACATTAAACATGTACACACAGGTAAAGCCAAAGTGCACGTGCCTGCAGTTATACAGATGAAAACGTTCAGTCGGAAAGCAGCATGACGTAAACAGGAGGTGGAAGAAGAGAAGGAAGTTAAAACGGACTGTGTGTGTGTGTTCGAAATAAAAATTCATTTTGTGCCACAATAAAGTGACATGCATCCACAGAAGGAGCAAAAGCCATGAGAGTCGAGGCTGAGGCTTGACAGAAACCACCTCGATGATGACACCAGAAACTGGAAACGCCGCCCACTGTCAACCGGCACCGCACAAGGTGAAGCTCACAGCTGAAGAGAAAACTTATAAACTGACCTCAGGATCCCATCAGGCAGGTGTTTCGGTCAACATCTGGCTTCCGTGTCGTTGAAGCTGTCTTTCTGTCAGTCCATGCTGTTTGTCTCTGCAGGTTGAAACTGAGGAGAGGAGCGCAGGTCAGGTGTACCAATACCTCACCTGAAGCAGACGAACAGGTTCAAGCCTTAAAGGTCCCGCCTCCATTAACTGTCAGACACAGACACACACCCATTCACATCACACGCCCTCATCCTAACACACCTTGACTACCCCATGCCCGCGGCCCGTATGCATACAAACACAAACACACACGTAAGCAGACAATCACACAACTTGAATCTCGGGCGCCCTTTTTCCTCATATGTCAACTCACCTGTTCCCACATGCACATCTATGCTTTGTACACACACACACACACATTAAAAACCAGCATTAAAGCTGAAACCTTGACTTTGAAGAACCACAAATCATGAAGCAAACACTCCCCGTCAACATGAGAAACATGCTGACCTGAGCCAAGGGAGCGGCAGGCATTCCCTGTGTGAGTCACTGATTACAGGCACAAAGACAGCAGTCTGATTGAATCTGGATGGACAGAAAAAAATTAAGTTCAGCTGCATTCACACAGTCATTATATAATCTCCATATGGGCTCCGATGTTGTGTAAGCACATCAGTGTTCTCAGGTGACCCTGCTGAAATAAAACTGGTAAGACGACAATGTTTTATAACCAATTAAGCAGTTTTTTAAATTATCGTTATAGTTTTATTACTAATGTGCACTTAATTATAAAGTACTTTGTTGACAGGACAAAAAACAACAAACAAGAAAATTATTATTAAACATTTCGATGTAAATATTTCACACAGTATCGTCACATTGCACAAACAGTAGGTCTGGTGGCTCTGAGATATTCATCTGACATTGCAACACCAGACAAACAATCCTTTCAATCAATGCTTGAATTTAAATAATTTAATTCAAAGTTTACATCAGAGCTGCAACAATTAATTGATAAATTGATTCGTCAATCAAAAGACAATGAACTCTCAATTACACACTAATTGTGAGTCATTTTTCAGGCAAAAATTTGATCTTTTCGGTTCTCAAATGTTAGAATTTGCAGCTTTTCTTGGTCTTAAAGTGAATATTTTATTCGGTTTTGACTGTTGATGAGACAAACAAGACATCTAATGTCTCCTTCTGCTCTAGGATATTGTGATGGGCTTTTTCCGCTGTTTCTTTTATAGACTGAACAATTAATCAAAAATAATCCTTAGTTGCAGCTCTAGTTGGCAAACTGTATGTCCCTGAAACATCCCAATACAGAATAAAACAGTCAGGGTAATAAAAAAAAAAGAAAATGAAGAGCTTCATATTAGTATCGAAGGCCTTGAATTAAGCAGTGAATTAAAGGCTTTTCAGCGTCTTGCAGGACTGCACATGGCTGCACGCTGGCGATACATCTGACATGAACCAAAAGTTTTTCAAAATCGTCTCTTTCAGCTATAATTTACTGTTAAAGAAAAAGTAATTACTCATACATTTATTGACTGCCTACACAGAAATAGACCGGGTAACTTCATGCATTGCATCATGTTTATCAACAGAGATGTAGGGTAGTGTGTCATCACCATGGCAACAGAAATCAACATTATGTTCACTGAAGATATCGACCAATAAATACATGTTTAACTAAAAAGCAGGGGACCAAAGCAGCTTCCCTGAGGAACACCAAATTACACTATATGTTGTTATTTCTATGACATTCAGCCTGATCTCCAGGACTATTACTTGTATTTATAACAATGTTCAGTGGCTGGCCTCAGAGCTGAGGTAGCTAGAAATGATCCAGGGTCAGGTAACTGTGCCCTTAAATCCATGTTGCTCCAGGTGGATGGATGAAGATTATTTCAACATGCAAAACGACAACACTTCATTGAGGATAGATGTTGATTTAAACCTCATTTAACATGAAAAAGAATAAAAAATACTATATAACAGTACGTTTAGAGAGACTATCTGACCCATCATTAACTCCCACTTTAAATGACCAACATTGAGAATACAGATTACTGACATACAGATTCGTATTAGAGTTGGACTGATGTTGTTTCAAACCTGCAGTGTCATCTGGCCTCTCCTTTACCTGTATGCTGATATTTTTCTGCATTAAGAGCCGCAACAAATCCAGCTGAGGATTTTAAATAAAACTTATTTCTACAGTCTGGGTTTCAGTGGAGAGCGTTACACATCTGGATAAATTAGATTTAAATGTAACATGCCAGGCAGCAAAATTCCCCCCTCAGCTAACAGAGGGAATACATTTTTATATTTCTTCCTTTTCACATCTTAAATTATTTCCAAAATATTCCAAGATGAGCACAACTACTGTTCCCCTTAAGAAACCATATAAAGATTAAAGGAGCCTATGAAACAGCAGAACATAATGGCCCCAAATAAAACAATAAACAATCCATACGTTAAAAAAAGAACAGACTGCCAGAAAGTTTTACATAAGTTACCTGCTTGTACTAATAAATTATAACAATTCTTAGCAAGAGAAATATGCAGTGTAACAAGCAGGTAAAAAATGTTTAAGGAAAGACAGAATATCTTCCACCTTGTGTAGAAAAACAAACCTGTACCACTTGGAAAGCCACACACTCGAAACTTTGAAACAATCATTTATTTCAGCTCATAAAGGTCGAAGCTAACGATCTAAGGACGGCTCAGTCTTTTCAAGCTGAAATACACGATTACATTGAAGTCGTGAGTGTGCAACTTTCCAATTATGATATTGTAATTTTTCACTCAACTCAACAAGAACATTAAAAATAATAAATTTAAAAGAAACTAAATGTCAAAAAACATATTAGAACATATAACAGGAAATGTTGTCAATTTAAAGATGTGATGCTTAAGTTGTAAATGTGCATGAAGAAGGACGGCGCTGACAAAGGAAGCGAGTTCTCAGCAAACCTCTCCCGGATCAAGTAAAAAAATATATCTTCAGATTTCTGAAAAACTCCCTCCGCTCAGTGTCTCTCGGTCGTCTCTCACTGTCCCCTCCCACCGACCAGCCGGTGGAAGACGGAGCGGTCACTTTGGCGGAGAGCGGCTGGCGTGTCAAACTCTGCCACCTTCCCGCCTTGCATCACCAGCACCCTGTCGCAGTCCATGATGGTGTTGATCCTGGAGACACGGACACGGACAAAAATGTAATTATCTTTAATATATGAAATAAGAATTCTATTGTTTAAAATCAGTCCCAGTTTGAGTTTGTGATATAACATCGGAAATGACTCTTTTACTGCGGCGACGTATCGACAGGACTGGACGTCTGAACTGGAAGACGTTTCACCTGTGTGCGATAGTGAGGACGGTCTTGTCCTGAAACGTCTCTCTGATGGTCTGCTGCAGCAGCTTGTCCGTCTTCTGGTCCACGCTGGCCGTGGCTTCATCAATACACAGGACCTACATGACGGGGAAACAGTGTCTCATGTTCCTATGTTATGTTATTTAGCTATGTTATTTGATTATTTCAACAATAATCAACAATACGAGATGGACACAGAAAACATTTATAGCTGGGTTTCTGTACTGAACTGCATTAGTGTAATTTCTTTAACTTCATTGTATGTATATACTGTTTTTAGTGGCATTACTGTTTGTTTTTTTTACCTGTATCAAATGTTTTCCTGTTTAGATAAAGAGTAGGAACTTGTCCTTGTTGTTATTATTGTTATTAGTAGTTCCCTCTTTTGTCGTTGATTTTAACTGATATTATTGTTTTGCATTATGACGTAATGTTTACTTGAGTGGAGCCCAGGAGGAGTAGTTGCTACCTTGGTTGTAAATAAATCAAATTGGAAAGCACATTGGCAAGTGAAGGTTAAGAAGATTTAGCAGCAGCTGTGAATTAATGGACCTGCTGAAACTTAAATACAGACATGTTTATATGTTTGGGTTTAGTCTTGGAGGTTCGGTGGTTCACAATCAGAGTAAAAAATATTCTTTAGCAGCTCACACCTGCTGCATCGATTCCTTTCTGTAGTGCAGAAGTAAAACAAGCACAAAAACATTAAAGCTCCTCCAGTGTGACGGTCTCTGTCCATGTGTAGTGTGATTATAGATCAGGTCTAGCTTCTATATTAATACTGTGAAAGTATCAAAGCCTCAGTCCACAGAGAAATGCACACAGCCTGTATTCAGAAACTGAGCCTTAAAACCAGCCGTCAGGACTTCTGGAACTTTGTGATGTCACAACAAAGCAGTCACCAAGCCCCACCCACCTGGACCCACCATCCAAACCTTTACAGGATTTGGTTTCTCTGAGTGTTTTTACCTGAAATCTGCTTTATTTTTACTGGATCACTCAGAAAAGTGAGAGAGGAGATGTAAAACTACACTGAGATGGTTTTTGGTTCTTAAATCCACAAATATTTCTTCTTATTGATCAAACTCAGGAAAAGTGTAAAATATGGAGCTGTAATGATTCTCCTCAGTGTGCAGGAACAGAGCTGCTTCTGAACGAGCACAGTCTCATAAAAACAGAGCAGAGAGCTTAAAAAGGTGTGGCTCATCTGATCCTTCAGATCTCCAATGATTCAGTGTCTGACTCTATTTATAGACGATAAAAGGTGTTTTGTGAATTTATTTTTGTTTTTATTGTTAGCAGGAAGAAAACCTATCTTCCATTTAGTCTTAGTGGCGCGTCGACAATCCCTACACTGGATTCAAATATCAGCAGTGATGCAGCATGTTATCCAGTGTTACTGTTTGTCATTTTATCTCATTGTTTAATCGTCACTCTCCTACAGCTGGATATCATATTAAAGTCATATTAAATTACTGCTGTTGTGTGGAAAAAGTCGGACGAATAAAAACTAAAAGAAACTTTAAAATTTCAGTGTGTGGGCGTCGTCTCGTTTTGCTGTTCTCCGTCCTGCACCTGCACCAAGCTGGGGCTGGACGTGCACACTGTTCACCTCGCTACTGGCACCAGCAGATCGATCACTGACCGACTTCCATATGAAAACAACATGAGTTTGTGTGTGTGGCTGTGAACAGAAACACCAGCTGCTCCTCTGATGTGTTTCTGATAGCAGCTGCTCAACAGGTCTTTTCTGTTCCGCTACTGTTGTTGCCGCCGGTAACCAATAAAATAGATGACAGTAAATAGTTCTTAGAGCTGTGAGCTGGAGCGAGGACGCGACGTCAGTAACTGAATCTATTATAATACAGGTGAGTCTCACCTTGGCCTGGGTCAGCAGAGCTCTGGCCAGACACAGCAGCTGTCTCTGTCCCACGGAGAAGAATTTCCCCCGTTCTCCGACCTCAGCATCCAGACCACCTGACGCACACACACACACACACACACACACACACACACACACGAATGCATGAGAGAGGAAGGCTTAATCATCTCTTTTTAGATGAAACTGTGCGATGTGGCACAAAAGCAGCTGCAGAGACGACACATGTTTATGTTCATGTTAACAGCCCGACAACATCTTCCTTTTTGGTTTGCCTCCATTTTCTCCGTGCACCTCTTCACTGTGCGACCGCAGAGACAATTAAAAACGCACGAGGTTCAAAATGTTCCCTTTGAACCAAAAGGAACATTTTGTAACTTTGCCGCTCGGAGAGTTTTCAGTCACGTGTCGAGACGGGAGCGGTGCAGGGTGGAGTGAGCTTTCTGAATGTGAGTCAGGTGTTTTCATTTAAAACAGACACGCCTTGGCTCACAAAACATCACTTCTGTTCATCTGTTAATTTGCAGTGTCAGCTCATCTTCATCACCCCCCCCCTCTGTCTCTCACCCATCCTGTTGACCACAGCGCTGAGGTGACACTGGTCCAGGACGTCCAGCAGCTGCTGGTCTGGGTGTCGGCTGCACGGATCCAGATTCTCCCTGATGGTCCCGCTGAACAGGAAGGGGTCCTGAGGGATGATGGCCAACCGGGACCTGCAGAGGGCGCCACCAACACACACACACACACGCACACGCACACGCACAGTTTCGAGTCAGTTTAGATTTTGGTGAAAATCCAGGATTTTTTTCAGATTGCTTCATTTTTTATGATTTGTAAACAAGTTTTTCATTATTTTGTCATGAACTTCAGCTGAGACGCGACTGGAACAGAATCTGGCACATTACCCGTGGGTGTCTAACACAGCGTGTGTTTTCCTGCAGATTAAATATTTCTTCACAATTTCTCCTTTTTAAAATCTAGAGGACTGTGCAGCCTGGTGGAAGAATGTGATGCATTAACATTATGGTTGGAAAACAACAAGCCTACCTGAGCTGACCCAGGCCCACCGTGCTGATATCCAGCCCGTCCAGGAGGATCTGACCCTGGTTCAGCTCCACCATCCGGAACAGGGCCAGGAACAGGGTGGACTTGCCGGAGCCCGTGCGTCCCACGATGCCCACCTTCTCCCCAGGTCGCACCACCAGGCTCACCCCGTCCAGGGCGTTAGGAAGACCGTCCCTGTACGCCAACACCGCGCCGCGAAACTCCAGCCAGCCCTGCTCGGGCCACGAGGGGGGGAGCTGATGATGAAACAGACAAAATTAACCCTCAAACAAAACTTTGTATTGTTGAACAAAACTGACAAACGACATCAATATTTTGCATTTTTATTCCCATTTTCTTACTAGTGAGAGAAATCACACTGGAGTGAATAAAAGTTCTTTATTTGTACAATTAAAAATATTCAGAGGAGTGTTTGTGATCACATTTAATAAACAAAGATAAATATTAGTTTCATGTTACATAACTGCGAAAGACGAGTCGAACCGTGACTCAACAACGTTGGGAATTTTTCGAGCAGCATTTTTATTATTGAAAAACCGTTTCCTGCTTCCTCATGAGAGCCGCCGCTACAGCGTGAAGCCTTTCGTTACAAGCAGCCTATCACTGTCAGCTCCGTTGGTCATGTGACCGTCACCTCACACGTCTGATGGCTGAAGCAGACTGAGGAGAAACTCGTTCCCGCCACAACAGACTGAACACAGATTGTATCATAATATATATATAGTTGTTTTTAATCTGTTTAGATGTAATTCTACCTTAGTTATTTACCGCTGAGTCAGCTGCTTCGATGTTTTTAATGTTTATGTTTATAATTGTAACTTCACTCTCTTGCTGTGATTCTTCGTTTTAAGCCCTAAAATTATTTGTTGTTATTTTAGTGGCAGTCAGAGCCGGAGCCATGTTGTTTTCAGGTTGTCCCGACACGATGTCTCAGTAACGCCTTGAGGGAACTTCTTCAAATTTGGCACAAATATTCACTTCACAGGTCAAAGGTCAAAGGTCACAGTGACCTCAGAAATCACCTTTTAGCCATTAATCAAGACTTCACACAGAGATTCTGACCAGATTTCACACGAATGGTTCATATATTATTCGACTCTGGATAAACAGGGGCGTAACCTGAAACTAGTCTGAGTGGCGGAGGGATACGACCCTCAGGGTTTGAATCCAGTGATGGAAATAGAGCAGTTAGTGGCCACCGCTCCACACAGCTCATGTTCTCCTTGTTCCCGCCTCTGAAGCTGCCGTTGTGGTGATATCAGTATCAGTGTGTGGCAGCGCAGCAGCTGGTCTGACCTGTGGGTTGTGGTGCTGCGGCTCGGCGGGCAGGCCGGTGGAGTATTCCTCCGTCCGCTCCACGCTCACCAGCTGCATCTCCGTCTGAGTGAAGCTGAATATGAGGCCGGACAGCAGGGTGGTGATGGACAGCGCGTAGGACAGGGACAGACCCACCAGACCTGAGCGGGACCACGACACGACCAGCAGAGACACGTTAGGGAATTAAGACATCTCATGTACAGGTGCACGGCCACCACACGCAGGTGTTGCCTCACCTGGATCCACGGAGTGAAACTGGTGCTGGACGACGGCGATCACCGCGAGGCCCGTCACCACGGCTACTCCAATCAGCTGCAGGCGGATGTCCAGCCACTGCATGGCGGCGTTGCTGAGGAACAGGCAGCGTTGGTTCTGCTCCAGACGTTTCGCACTCTCCTCCTCAAACCTGGAGGAACAGAAAGTAGTCCCTGTCACGTTTTTTTTTTTTAAGACACAGCGAGAGCGGCAGCTAAAGCATCTGTAGCTTCTGTAATGTGAAGTCTTTCCACGCGGGGACGGTATCGTTTTGGGAGACTTCTTCTTGACGTGACTTGGCGAGCGTGGAGTCTCTGGAGAAGCGCACAGACGGTACGGAAGCCCTGGAAGTTTGTTTTGTTTTTTTTTTTGTTAATCTGTGAAAACAACCCAGAGAGGCGAGTGAAACTAGACTCACCTCTTCGACGTCGTATCCCTCCGCCACTCAGACTCGTTTCAGGTCACGTCCCTGTTTATCCAGAGTCGTATAAAATATTAAACATTCGTGTTTTGTGAGGTCACCGTGACCTTTGACCTTTGACTCCCAGAATCTAATCACTTCATCCTTGAGTCTGGATGAACGTTCAGTCAAGGTGTTACTGAGATATCATTGGACGGACGGACAACCAGAAAACAACATGGCTGTTTTGTTTGTTTTCACAGATGAAAAAAAAAAAACAAAAAAAAACTTGCTGATGTGTTGATGTAAGAAACATTAATCAGCTGATCCATCCTGCCTCGATCATCCCCTATTGGTCGGTCTCTAATGAGGTTATGTTGTTGTGTCTCACCTGGCAGAGCTGCCGCTGGCCCGGATGGTTCCCAGCCCGGTCAGCGTCTCGGAGAAGTGCGAGTAGACGGGCGACAGGGTGACGCTGCACAGGCGCTTCAGCTCCCGGGACGTGTGTCGGTAGAAGTGCTGCGTGCGGTGGTAAAGCAGAGCCAGGGGCAGCAGGGGCAACAGGACCCAGGGGAGGCCGTAGCTTATCACCACCAGCATTCCCAGCAGGCCGAAGACGTTGGCCAGCAGGATGTTCAGGATGAACGGCAGGCTGTCGTCGACGCTGTACAGGTCGGAGGAGAACCGGTTGAGCACGCGACCCAGAGGGGTCGTGTCGAAGAAGGTCACGGTGGCCTGGAGGGGCACAAACGAAAAGTCTTTGTTGAAATCCACTTTCTGCTGCTCTAATCAATATTTCATTCATCAACAACGGATCACATGACTCGTAGTGACGAACCTACAGAGGATTATCACCTGACCAGGTCACCTGTAGCTCTGTGGAGCGTTTGAGCGTCTTTCAGCTCATCGTGTGAAACTTTACTGTCGTGTCTCTTCGCTCTCAGTGTGTCAGTGAAGCAGGAAGTGGTTCCCAGCATCAAACAGCAGACAGACACAGGTAGAGACGAGATGGTCGAGCAGATATTTTCCAGGTGACCAGACACACAACTCCAAATGAAAGCCAATGTCGCTCTGTGCATGTTTGTTCATTACATCAACTTTATAAGGTGATAATGTGTCATGTTTACAGCGTGTTTCTGCTGCCCCCAAGTGGCCAAATACACATTTATGGAGGTTTAAAGCTGTAAAAATGGATTTTTGGCCAGTTTTGTGAGGGGGGCGGAGGAACTCCACAACAGGCAGGTCTTATAAAGTTGTCAGGACCAACATGTCAGCCACATCCAGCAGCCGCTTCCTGCTCGAAACAAGGTTGATGAGAGCAGCCAGACTGAGCCATCATCAGCTAACGAGCTAAACAGAGTTCATCACTGGGAGAAACACTCACATGTGATTTATTGTAAATACAAAACTGACAACTCTAATCTTTAAAACTGCACAGGGGGGGGGGGGGACTTATTATATTATGTAAAATATACAAATTATGCATATTATATTGTCATAATATTACTGCACTATTATATTATTTTACCTTAGCATATTCTCTGTTGTAAGACATATCATTATCACTTTCTTCCTACAAGTATATTCAGGTTACACTTTCACTCTCTACCCAATAAACCATCGACCCAGGATCACACACACACACACACACACACACACACACACACACACACACACACACACAGTCTCTATAACGGTCTATAAGTTTCTGTTGTCATCTACCTGTCTGTCCATTATGTCACACCTGTTTTTGTGACGTTACCAATAAAGGAATAAAAATAAATCCTCCCATCAGCTCGTCCGGAGTTTCATTCTCGCCGCCTCTCAGTCACCAGCTTCTCTGACCAGACACACACTCAACCTGCTCGGCTCTGATCACACTGTCGGCTCGGACGACGCACCTTAAGGACCCGGTCCAGGAGTCTGTTGTGGACGGCCGTGGCGGCGCAGATGGCGCCGTAGGCAAACAGGAAGGCTCGGAGGGCGGTGAAGACGGTGTTGGCCGCGGCGATGGAGGCGTACACCGTCAGGTAAAACTTGACATCGGAGCTCATGTTGCTCGACGGAGACGTTTGCACAGAGGAGGAGAGGAGAGGAGACCTGGACGGAGAGACAGGAATATTTTATTAAAGATTTCAGTGGAAAGGTTTCAGGAAAAAGTCCAGTTAATAAACCTGACTGTTTCTCTTCAATCGTTACCATGACAACAGGCTTATTGTATGGTAGGGAAAGAGTTTCTGCTCTTAAATTATAGTTGAGTATAGAATAATATAAAATATAGTGCAGAAGAAGTCGCATCTTTATCTGCCTAATTTAAAAGATTTTTGTCCTAATGACATGTTATACTGTAAATATATTTATATATATATATTAATATGTATTAATTATTATTATATAGTATATAATAACAATAAAGATTCTGTAATTATTCCATTGCTGAATTACAAATTGCTAATAAAAGGAAATGACAAAACAATTTCAGTTTTCAAAATCATTAATTGAATCTTAAGTAATATCAGTTCAAAACCATTTCTAACTATATATGAAAGAAAACAAACATAATAATATAAATATAATAAGTATATAGTAAATATATACATTAAATAAATAAATAAACATTTTACCCTGACCGTCTCCTGCACAAAGCCCTAGTTGATCTCATTGAATAAATAAATGTTATTGACGGGTCAACGTACATTAATCCTCCAGGTGAGAAGAGCAGCAGGTGAGACGAGCCGAATGCACCTGTGAAGGAACCGCTATCTGCGGAGGAGCCGTTGTTCTTCAGCTCAGAGATCCAGTGGGAAAGCCACCAGTCAGAAACGTTCTTAGAGACTGAATCACAAAAACACATGTAAGACAGGAAACTCGGGGCATTTCAGAATCACAATATTTCATCTGCAGAGCTTCGTGAGTGAACGAGGGTCGCGCTGGAAGGACGAGCGCTCGATCCAAACCTTGCATGAGGAGCAGAGACACGAGGATGGAGGAGGCCAGCACGCCGCCCACAGCGACCCAGTAGGTCTGGTAAACTCTCCACGCCAGCCCGCCCGCCTGCTTCTGCTCCGCCGCCAACAGGTCGGGATCATCATCCACACACAGATCAGGGGGTGAACCCGCCTCGTCCTCATCCTGCTCCACGCCATCTGCTTCAAACCAACGGCGGGAAAATAATCAGAGCAGAGTGGACAAACGCTCAATAACAAACTAAAAGAGGCTGAACTGGAGGATTTACACTGGATTTCTTAACCAGCTGTAAAGAAACAAACCACAGAACATCTAAAATATCTATAACAAGGAGGAACTCAGTTATTTCTACTTAATATTCCACATGAAAAGTGAAAGTCCTGTGTTTTATATCAGCAGCAAGGCAGACCAAGCGTCAGGGGAATCTGCTCTGCAGACACCTGCACCAAGAGGCAAGGACATGAATCCATAAATAAATAAAATAAAATAAACACTCATCAAGCTCATGGTGGAAAAGTCAGGAATTTCGGTGAAAATATGTAATTATAAAAATAAAAATATAAAGGTTTTTAAATGTTTTAAAACACAACTCTCATTGTTCTTTTCTTCTCTCCTCACACTAACACCTGAGCTGTTTTCATGTCTCACCACCAGATCACGTCCTTTACTCCTTTTTTTCTCTGAGTCTGATTGTGTGTTTTAATATTATTTCCATGGCAACAACTGGTGAATCAAAAGCGAATGGCTGGTTGGCAACAGGAAGAAGACTGATGGTGAATCTCTCTCACACATTATTCAGCCTCTGTATTGTTACGGGGTCGGATGAGGGACGCCAACATTTTGGAGTTTGTGTTTTGTGCCAATTCATCCATCAGCTGTTGAGACATTTCCCTCTGGACCGACCAACAAAACTGGTTCTTTTCTCCTCGTTAGTCCAACAGTCGAACTTTACCTTTCTCCTTCGCGTTGTGCTCATTCTTCCGTTTCTTCGGCACCGCCTCGACCAAAGGAAGGATTTCTGCTGGTGTCCCTGTTCAACAGCAACATGGCAATAAATAAATATCATAACTAGAGTCTCAACATTTAAAAAGAAAAGAAGGAATTTACTTCAGTCAATCACACTTGAGACGTTGCTGCTTGTTTCCTTTCTCACGGATTGTTTCTGGTTGCGGGCGAGATGCCGTCTAATGAAGTAAACTAAATACAAAAGCTGAAAACAATATAATATAACGTAAACAATCAGAATACAGGAAATGAAGTTATTATTTGGAAAGTAGAAAAACGATTCCTGTTTTGCTCCGTGACGCCCTGCAACAGATTTCCTGCCTTTGTATAAGGGCTGCGAGACGCTGAAGCACTTGGTTACAAACTTTATCCTCAGAATTAGCATAATAATCCTTGTTATTAAAGGCCTTTAAATCAAAAAGTTATTACAAATTAAATCAGTTCTGAAATTTAGCAAACATATCTTGTAGTAATCGGACACTTACTGCAGCGAATAAACTGAGTACTGCAGAGAATACTGAGTGACGTGATGTTATATTAGGACATGATGGATATTTAATAATGTGGAAGTGTCTGTCTGTCTGTCTGTCTGTCTGTCTGTCTGTCTGTCTGTCTGTCTGTCTGTCTGTCTGTCTGTCTGTCTGCAGCCGTTCTATAAGGGAACCATTGCTTACAGAACGGGCGATGAAAGCACGAGGAAAATGTTTGTTTCTACCTGTTTTGATTATTGTGCCGTTGTCCATGAGCACCATCATGTCAGCTTTGTCCACGAACTCGATACGGTGCGTGCAAAGGATTCTGGTCTTTCCCCTGAGGAGTTCCATGATGCATTTCTGCATGAGGTGTGCAGCCACGTCTGTATCGACGGCTGCCAGCGGATCGTCGAGGAGGTAGATGTCTTTGTCCTGACGTGGTGAGGAGAGACAGGCGTCACATGACGTTACGAGGAATGATCAACACTCCAACTCACAGACGGCACATTCAACTGTGGGGGATCAAACCTGTGACAGTCCACTAAACCTTGAACCTACCACCTGACTTATGGACTTAAATATATTTAAACGACTGCTTGTGTTTGCTGTAATATCGTATTTTGAAGTGCCGTCATACGGACGATCTCTCTGCGTGTCTGTGAGCTGGAGGCAGACGGCTGCTTCGTGCAGAGGACTGACCATGTAAACAGCTCTGGCGAGGGCGAGCCGAGCCTTCTGTCCTCCGCTCAGAGTCACTCCGTTCTCTCCCACTTCTGTCTTGTCGCCGTTTGGCAAAACCTGCAGAAACATTTCACAACAAATTTATTAAAAAATGTGAAACAGTCACATAAACTGTTTGCAAAGCACCGACCTCTGCGGCTGACAGCTGCAAAGCTCAAAAAAATGTTTCTATCAGTTTAGAGTGTTAAAGAATGATGCACTGATGATTATCTGATGGTGGCATGAAGAAGAGATTGTCAGCAGGGATCATCCTCTGGGAGACATGAAGATCCAGATGTGTTTCCCTGTCAGCCGCCCACAACATCAAACAGAGGCAGTCATCATGTTAATGTGTAGAAATACTGCGCAGAGGGGACGTAAGAGTCGTACGTTGAGGTCATCTGAGAGAGCGCAGGCCTCGATCACGGCCTGGTAGAAGGTGGGGTCGTAGTCTTTGCCAAACAGGATGTTCGCCCGCACTGATGCATGCTGGATCCACGGCTCCTGAGACGCCAGGCCGAAGCCGGCCTCTCTGTCCGCAACATAAACCACTCCGCTCCGCCTGCAGAGAGAAGAGGAGGAACATCAGGAGCTCCAACACACAGTTTCCAAATCTCTCCTAAAAATCAAGCAGGAAAATACTGAGTGAGTCAGAGGAGGCGTACCTGTTGAGTTCTCCTGTGAGAGCAGCCAGTAAGGAACTCTTTCCACAGCCGGCCTTCCCAACCACAACGACCAGAGAGCCCTGAACCGCACAGGCACATGCTCACAAAGTGTTCCCTTTAAACTCTTTATCACAACAACAACATTTCATTTCAAACATACGACTGTATTTTCTTATTTTACAGGACGATAGAAGAAGGTTTGAGCCAAAATTACCCATTAGTGTTGGTGTGCCAGACCCTAGGAATGAATCAAGAAAGACATAAGATGTATAAAGGAAATGAAACCAGATGGTTTGTACCTTAGTTATGTGCAGATTGAGGCTGTGCAGCATCAGACTTCCTTTAGCAGCTCCAGTTTCAGTTTCTCCCTCTTTGCTGTGGTCGGGACCGACGGGCCTCTGCCAGGAAAACGTCCCCTGGTTCAACAGGACCGACGTCTGACTGTCTTCAGGACACACTGCGGACACATATGTTGTACTTCAGCACAATGGGACAAGACGTATGAAATATAACGACATTTAATGACAGCTGAAAAGGAGGTTAGTTTAATTTTGATCGTCCCGTAAAGAAAATAAACAGGATTCAGTGATTAATCTTTAATAATAACGTTTAATGCAGCAGCTTTGGTTTAAATGCAGAACCACAGTGATTCCTAGAAACACACAAACACCTGCTCCCTCTGTTCCCTGTTCCCTGTTTTTGGTCACTGTTTAAACACGAAAACAAACACACCCACGCACACACTTGAAAAGCAGCAGCGTACCCAGGGCGTAGTACGCCTGCAGGTCCTGGTTGGTCAGTTTGAAGAAGCGCTGGATCCGCTCCAGAGATACTTTGGCCTCCAGGATGCCGTTGAGGACCCAGGGGAAAGCGTTGAGCGGGATGATCAACATTCCCACCAGAGCCAGCGTGGTGAACACCTGCAGAGGAGGAGACGGACCCGTGGCGTTACACATGAACCCACAATGGTCGCGCTCCCCACAGCTCAGAGTTACCAAGCACCCACCTTGGCTGCAGTCAGCTGGTGTCCCAGCATCACGTACGTCACGAAGGTGAGGATGGAGATGACCACGGGCAGCGCGGCCCAGGTGTACACGCACATGGCGTCCAGGTATTTGATGGCCTTGAGGTGGGACAGCTCTTGTTTACGGCAGTCGGCGACCTTCTGGGTAAAGTGAGGCTCCCAGTTGTAGAACTTGATGACACGAATGCCGAAGAGGATTTCTGTCATGAGCTGAGAGAGAAACGTCACAGACTTAAGAGAATGATCTGGATCTCATCATCTGGACCAGTAGAGAACAAGTGGAAAAAAACAACATGATGTATTAATCTTGTGGTAACCATGACGATAGAGCAGATTGTTATAAGGGTCTTAATGTTTTTAATTCATATTCACAGACTCTACCTGGAGAAAAATCGGCATTTTTGAGTTTTTAAAAATCTGATTATAATATTTTGGCCTGTTTTGTTTCATAATTACAAACATGAGGATCTTTGAACTGGGTTCTTAAAGGCTGAATCAATATTTGAACATTTAAATTTCTAATAATTATCTACTGGCTGACATCAACTTTTTTACATGTGACATAAAGGTGCATGAAATTTCTCAGCTCAGATCAGAGTGTCTTTCAAACAGTTAATTCTGCTCGAAAATTAATATAATTAATAAATAAAAACTAATATTTTTAGCCTGAATTAAGAGAAAACTAAGGTCAAAAATACAAAAAGCTAAATATAAAACATTAAAGTTCCTGCATTTTTTTTTAAATACCATGACATACAGTGTAGTACAAGAGTTATAGATTCTTTAGATGTTTAGATTCTGATCCATCAGGAGGCGTCTGATTGGTCCAAATCAGCCCTGGGCGAATGAGAGGCTTTATAAAGTGTCCATTTACTGTGGACTGTGATTTCTTTTCAATTCCTCCTAATGGGATCAATTATTATTCTTATTATTCTTATTATTATTATTCTTATTATTAGTATTAGTATTAGTATTATCATCACTGCTCCACCATCATGTCCACAGATACTTTTCCTATCACAGTATTTGTACAAAACAATACCTGTATAAACAGGTCTCACCTTAACACGGCTGTCCTTGTGCCTGAGCATGTCTTTGTTGTTGCTAAGGATACGGGAAGCGAGGAACTTATTGAACGGCACCAGCAGCAGGGCCACGCCCAGCCCCCCGAGGAAGGCCACGCCCACCTGCAGGTACAGCAGGTAGAGGGTGATGGAGAATCGGAAGGGCAGGCTCCACAGCTCGTGGAAGCTGTTGAAGAAGTTCCCCACGCGGTCGGTGTCCGTGCTCATCAGGTTCACCACCTCTCCCAGAGTGCACCCCGCCAGGCTGCTGCCGCTGACCTGCAGGGCTTTGCTGTAGATGGCCGACACGAGAGCGGCGCGTGCTGACAGCGACACCTTGGAGACCTCAAAGACGAAGATGTTCCGGAGAACGGAGGAGAGAAGGGTGGTGGCAAAAAGCCCCAGTGCGCACCAGGCGCCCGTGCTCACCGGCGCCCCCTCCTCCTCCATGAAGTTCACCAGACTGCTGAGCAGCAGGGGACCTGCAAAGCTCAGCATGTTGACCACCACCTTCAGCACGCCCAGCATGTAATACCGCAGCCCAAAGGCCTTGTGCAGCACCCTCAGCAGTCCCACGTCCCCCTCCAGCTCCAGTGGTTCCTCCAGGTAGTGTGAACTCCAGGTGCCGTTCAAGAGGTTCCTGCTGACCGGCCTGGGCCACTGATCCCCCCCGTCACTGACTGCTCCCCCCCGTCGGCAGGCTTCCCAGCACTGGTGGAAGTATCGACAAACCACACTAGTCCGAAGTTTCCGGGGAAGATGGTAAACGTCAGCCGGTCTGTCCAGCTCCCCTCGCTGCCCCCGTCTGAGGAGAGGAGTCAGCCACAGGTAGAAGAGTCGAGAGACGCAGCCACTCGAGTCCTCGGCCACCATCTCACCTGTGTCTGGCTGGGCGCTCCCCGAGATGAGCGGCGATCCGTCCACGGCGTTAATATACAAGGTGTATCCAGCATCGCTGATGCAGGGAAACACAAATGCCAGGAGGTAAACCAGGAGAGGGAGCGTCCGGGCCGAGGCGAGGACAAACCGAGCCAGTTTAAGAGGCTCTGTAAGATTTAAATATCCTTCACTTCCACAGTAAATCATCAAGGTGAAGACGAGGTTGGGGACTGACAGAAGGACCAGCAGAAACAGCAGTGGAGGTCCTCTGGTTCTCCTGAAAGCAGTTTTCTGGAGCACTGTCATGGCGCTGAAGTGGACCAGCCAGGCCAGGACGGCACAGCTGTCGGACAGAAGATCCAGGTACATGTCCCCCTGCTGGAGGACGCTCACCAGGACGACGTCTGCGGTGAAGAGCAGCGCGGCCAGCAGAGCTGACACCAGCCTGAGCGTCCAACCACAGGAAGGAGACGTCTGAAGGAGGCTGCATCTGAGGAGCAGAAATCTGATTACTCAACACAAACACAGACATCACGTTAAAATATTTGTGTGTATTCAGGTGTTTAGAAACAGCTTAAGTCAAATATACGATAACACAAGACTGTGACTAATGAAGTGAAATCTACCTTGTGCTCACAGGTACGACCTACCTTGCCATGCCGAGGTAGCAGGCGCTGAAAACTGCGATCCCAGCATGAGGCAGCGCTCCGAGGACGAGCTGGTTAAAACAGGGGCTGACGAGTCCATTCTGCCACAGAGGGAAAGGATTCTCCCCGTCTGTGTGACAGAGGCCTGCGATCAGCTCTGCTGGTCCGAAGTCACTCATCCCTCCTCCTATTTGACTGCTGTCATTCTAGAAAACGTCTGGAGATAAAAAAAAAAAACAAAACAACATGAATTACCAGGATTTTAGAGGGAGTAAACGGACACACTAGTTAATCTTCAAACCAGCGTTATGAGAAGAATCAGATCTCCCAGAGGTGTGTGTCTGCCTTAGAGGCTGAGATGTGAGTTAAAGTGCAGGTAAAAAAGTGGGAAACTACGATACCGTATGGACGGACCAAAAGAAAAAAATCCCCGGCATTCACTATCAAAAATGTCAAGTATTAAAGGTTGGCATCAAATTCTTAGTCAGATACTTTGGTTTTTTATCCTTTAATGAGATCGTTCATAACTTAGCTTATTTTTGTTTTATTACTTTTATTCAAGCAATGTTCTTTTACAGCCGATTGTGTTGGAAAAACTTGCCACATTTTGTTAATTTATTGTCCTAGGTAGAAAAACATGTTTATATTCCTGAGACTAAGGCATCGATAAATGTTTTGACATTTTTATTAAAGCAGGATCTCCAGCTCTGCTCCGTTCATTCTCAAAAATCCTCAGTTCACATCGTGTTTGAAACTATCAGTTAATACACTGATATATACAGTATCTGAATGACAATAAAAGCCCATGTTTTGATGGTTTCCATATTCTTCTCTAGACTGTTTAACTAATGTAAACAGACTTTTCCTGATTGGCCTGTTTTTCTGGTTCATCTTTTGTTGTAAGGAACTCAGGTGAGTCCATCGGGCCACAACTGGTGGCCTACAAATACAAGGTACCGTTAAGATTTAACCATTTCCAAGCAGAGGACAGGGTTAACTTGAATAACAAAATTAAAATACACATCTACAGCGACCACGGTGTTAATTTTCCGGGCTGCATGTGTTTCAGCACTGACCTTTAACCAGAAAAGCAGCAAAAGAAAGAAAGAAAGACACAGATATCAGAAGGTTTCTCTTGACTGGAAGTGACCTGCTGCAAACACAAATGTAAACAGTGAGGCTAGCTAACTAGCTTAGCTAACAAAATATCAAACTGTTCAGCTTGTTTAACCAGCGCCGCCATGTTAACAATATATAATATAATAATACTACGTAAGTAAAACACTAACGAGTCCGACCAGTGCAAAATAAAACTCAATGATACGATATAATTAAGATAAACAACCTTTAACTATCACCAGCTCTCAACTAGCTGACAGCACACACTCCCGTCCATCCCTGATGACGTACGCGACTAGCTTTTCAAAATAAAAGTCAAACGGAAAAGGAAAGGGTTAGAGTTAGCTGCAGCATTTAAAAAGGAATAAAGCGAAAAGGTAATAAAATAAATAAATAAACGAATAATAATAAAGATACATGGCGGAACAAGCTCTTACAAAGAAAAGCTTAGGATTAAACTCTCAAATTCAAGTTTTTTTTGATAATTTATATCAAAAGTGTGTGACAGCAGAAATTAAAAGAGGCAAAAATGGTTTGAGTTCTTTATTGAGGGGGTGACTGTAAAAAAGGAGCAAACTTTATGTTTTAGCACCTTTATACAAGTTATAAAATGAATTGCTGGTTCTCTGGGTTCTCCAGATGTACACAAGAAATTGGCTGCAGAACATTATATGACAGACGGGCTCGGAGAAGGAGAAGCATTTAATTCACAGAAACCAAGCAATAGAAATGTCTTAATTTGGAAAATCTTATTATGTTTAATTACAATCAAGATTAAATTTACAAATTTTGGAACCTGGGATTTTAAACAGTGCACATGACATTAGCATGTAACATAAGTTAAAAACACAAAAGGAATTTTATAAATGTTGTTACCTGGAATTAGACAGAAAAAGAACATTATTAAATACTGGGTGCAGCTATCTAAGGCATCTTTAATTCAATAGAAAAAAGATCTAGAAGTCTTATACAAAGCAGGAATGAAGCTATACAATGTCACATTATATTTTATTCCTTACACACTGTACAAAGTCCATTTCCTTCAGGGCTGGCCACGCCAATCACAACACTAGGCAGCTTAACTCTTGTTTTTCAATATCCTACATTTACTGTGTCTACCAGACACACACTGTATTTACATATTTAGACATGAAATACAAACATAAATATGAGCAGGCTCTGTCTATCCATCCCAATGGCATCGCATGTCTTCAGACACATTTAAAAAAATACACCAAATATTGGCCACCTAAGCTTTACATTGACTGTTGCCCCCCTTTGAAGCACTTCACAAAACTGGTTCAAAGTGCTTTAAAAGTAAATCTGACTTGACCTGAGCTTTTTGGTCAAATTTCTCTGTTGTGTAAAGAGAAGTAGTTGTTGGATAGTGTCTAGCAAGGCTGCACCATCCATTGAACATGTATGTCACAGTATTAAAACACGCCACAGTGAAAACTCAACTACCTGCTGTCTGATGGCACCGAGCTAATTTGACCAAAGAGCTTTTTTAATCGTCTGTCGGTGTATTTCCTCAATAGAAGGAACTCTGATACAAATCCAGGCTTCAAACTGACTGATGACCTGTTAGTGAAAGGTCAGTACATCTTCATTATATCAAAAACGATATAAGCAACAGTATGTTTGCTGTAAAGCAAATTATATTTAAGTAACTTGTGTGAATACTGTACAGTAGGCCTAATGCTGGTCATCAGTATATCAACAAAAACTTCTCAAGTGTAAATTCAGAATTAAAGCTATCACATAGCTGGAAAAAATCATGTACAAAGTAACTGATCGAAGGCCTGAGAAAGCTTCTTTTTTTTTTCCTTTTTTCTTTTTTTTGCATTTTGTGACGTGATTGTCAATTCAGGCCAAACAATTGGGAATTCAATCATATTTACAGCAATGCATAGGCTACAAATCACCAAATCAAAACTGTAAAGCAGAATAGCAGTTACCCTGGAATTTTGTTGTTCTTTTTTTTATAAGTACACAAGGAGTGGCAAGTACGGCTGAGTATCGTTTGGTACAGGTACCAAGTTTTCACTTTTTTTGGACACCTTTCTTTGAGAAGTCAAACATTTTTTTCTAAAATAAAATATACGCCACGATAAAAAACTTCTTCGGTGAACAAAAGAAGTAGAAGTTGTTGAGTTGATATTTAAGATAAATGTAACAAGAAACCGTTAAAGAACTTAAATAGAATACTGTCTGAAAGTAGAAAAATGGGATTAAACAACAAGTAAAGAATATGGATTTGGCCGAACATTTGGTGCCTCATTACTCCACCTCTCAGATACACACAGACACATTTCAGTACCAAAAAGAGTTGAAGTTTGACACCCAGCCCTTGATGTGAGCGTACCTGTTGTGGTATCCAAGCTGGATAACCAACTATACAGCAACCTTGGTTGGATCTCAGAGAGAAAAGAGTAGTATGAGCGGGTTTATCACCAGGCGACAGACGCCTCTAATCACTAATATTTCACTGAATTTAATCCTTAGCACCTGGAGACTCAAGAAAACTCTTAGATCTTGTTTCTCAAACTTTTAAAAACTCTTGGATTTGTGTAAGGGGTATTAACTCAGCCCCATCGCCCTTGACAACACAGGAAATGAAGGTGTTTTTTGCAGCACTTCTCTAAAGGTAGAGAATTTTAGGTAGTATACATACTGTTTCATACGTCAAAATCATCATTTTCCTTGGACATCATCACGACCACACAACTTGGACTTGTTATTGGTACAGCCTGCCACAAATGTTTCATCTATAGAAAAACATCAACAGAAAAAAAGAAAACCCAACATGGATCCACGTAGTCTTATCGGTTACAAAACTGTCCGTAAAAACCCCAATTTTTTATATTTATGTTTCTAACAGTGCCTCCTTCACATCATTAGGTAGATAGAGTCCTCCACTCATCTGAGACGTTATTAATGATCTCTTCCTTGTGGTTAACAAAAGGTGACATCCTACTTTCCTTGATCACAACAAAGCTTTTGATATGGTTTATTAAACACTGCATAATCACTTGGAAAATTTGGTGGGGCAGGTAAATTTAAAATTCTCTTAAATCTGGTGTTCCACAAGGATCAATCCTTGGTCCTCTATTATTCTCCATTAGTATATATTCACTTTGTGAAATCATTCCTAATCATAGTGTTGATTTTAAAGATATGAACATTTATTTGGTGTACCAATAAAAACTTGGAAAGTCAAGTCCCTTCAAAAGCCTCAACTTTTTAAGATTTTAGATTTATTCTTTAACATTTAATATCCTTGAAATTTGCTCTGTACCATCATTTTCGTTGCGTTCAGATCACTGCATGTGGCTCTTCCCCAAGATACCAACACAATCCTCCATCTCCAGCAGCTCTTTGCTTGTGGCATGTTTGTTTGTAAATTGATATTAACAACAACTTTTAAGGCACAGTGACTTCTGGCCCCGAACTGCAGATTTAACCCTTTCCAAGTCTGAACTGAGTGTTGCTGTTTTGTTCTGAGGTCTTGGCAGCCACTTGACTGTATCTCAGACTTCACCATCAGAGATACCAGACCTTGTATCGCCTCATCTGTACCCTCAAAGCAAATTAGTACATGTGTTAAATGTTTTTTTTTATATCCTCTTCATATTTCTGCTGTAAATTTTTTCACCTCGTTTTTTAACTTTAACGTTCATTTAGTCTTTTTCTTTTTTTTTTTACATGCCTACTTTGTAAATCAATTTGTAACAATTGTATGGAAAAAATGTTATAAATAGTTTATTATCATTATTAATATTATGTTTAATAGTATGGATTTACACACTTTAAAAATAGCCAATGTAAACTTCTAATGATCTTCAAAAGTCTTGAGGTGGGGAGTTTTTTATAACGATTCTCAACTTTTTTCAGTAAAACACAAATAACTTAAAACAAAATTACCAATCCACTGAGGTAAAAACACATTTCTCACATTTCTGATAAATTTACAAAACACAGTGTTAAATTATTTTCCTTTTTTGGTTCTTGTCGGCCAATTTCTCAGAGCTCTTGTCCAAGTGTTCCACAATTAAACCAAAAAAAAAACAAAAACAAAAAACAGGCAGGATTTAGGGGCAGAAAAACAAAACCACAGAGATGGAAACTGTGACTGGAGTCCTGTGGTCTTGGGTGTTGGTGTCTGAATAATTCTGTGTATGTTCTTCCGCAAGAGAAGTTCATAAATAAGCAAGAAGAGTTAAGCATCTCAATCTGAAGCCTCGCCGTCTCGTCTTCTCGCACGTTCAGTTTGAGCTGGTTCTGGCCTCGACTCAGACCAGAGAGAAAAAACAAAACAAAACAAAAAAAAAAAATCTATTATTAATAAATTTGCTGGATCAGTTTGAAGTCCACCAGGAAGGATTTCTTTGTACACCACTCTACACAGTGTCCTAGAGGAGCGAGGGGGAGGGGGGGTATAGGGACTGTTATTTGGAGTAATTCCCATTATGGGATAAGTCACACACACTCCATCGGTGTCGTCTCCTCTACGCCTCCTTCCTCTAACTCAGTCTTTAGTCTCCGAGAGTTTGTCTGCGTATATACTCAGTATACAGCCGGCTCACAGGTTCTTGGTGTTTATGTGAGTCTTATAATGCTTCGCCAGGTGGTCACTCCTCATGAAGCGTTTCTGACACTGGCTGCACTCAAAGCGCTTGTCTCCTGCGGGGGAAACAAAGGAGAAAGTGAGAGGAGTCATGTAATGTTTTAACATCAGATTAATGGGGGAAAGTTTCACTACCATTTCACAGAGAGGGTGAACATGCAGCGTCTCAACTGTGTAATTAAGCCTGTTAAAATGAATAATTATTTATTCTCATTTGTAAACTCTTCTTCCATATTTTAACTTCCGTTCTTAGTTTAACCATCAGATGATTTTATAATTCTGCATGTTTGTGTTTACATGTGTGCTTCAGTGACTACAGCACCTGTGTGCGTCCTGGCGTGCCGCTGCAGCTCGTCGCTGCGTGTGAAACGTTTGCCGCAGAAAACCCAGTTGCAGACGAAGGGCCTCTCGCCGGTGTGCAGCCGGACGTGAGCTCTGAGCAGCGACGTTTTCCTGAACGTCTTCTCACAGCCGGGGACATGACAGATGTGCTTCCTCTTCCCTACCTCCCCGGGCCTGCAGCGTGCCCAAACACACAAACACATTCAGTAAAATACACAGATTCCAGGGTTACGCTGAAGTCATTTAATTCTGTTAATACAGAAAGTTTGATTTTCAGAAGCAAAAACTTTATTTACAATGTACGTTTCAACAAAGAAGAATTGGAAGAATTGTATTCATAAGGATAACGATGACATGACTCTGTCTTTACTGAGTATTTCACATATTTGTCCGTCTCTTGACGCGCTCACCTCTTGTCTGCGTCCTTGCAGTTGGGGCAGGTGCAGGCCATGCGTCTCTTCTTCTCTCCTGGCTGACCGGGCAGCTCCAAAGTGAGGGTCTGGTCCACCTGGATGGTCGGCTGGCCCTGCGTCGTCGCCAGCTGGAGCCCCCCGCCCTGCATGGTCTGCACCGTGAGGTGCTGCTGGCCTGACAAACCCGGAGACAGACACACTGTCAGAGACACAGCAGGGCTCCTACGAGAGCAGCCTCCAAAAATCTAATTAGACTCCCAGCTGAGTTATGTTCACCAGAAATTCTAATTAATGATTAATGGTGACATTAACATAATACAGACACTTGAAAGCAGAGAGCTGACAATATATTCTAACCAGATGGAGCTCGTATCCAGACTTCATTAAGAATTTGAAGTTTTTTTTTTCCATTTTTCAAACGTGGCTGTTGTTGATCTTTGCACTTAAATAAGAAGAAAGATGTTTTCTGTTTGCATTAATACTGTGTTGTATTTTATCAGAGCTTGTCTATGTGTTTCTAGGTTTTGTATTTTATGTTGTGTGTGAGGTTATAGTGTCTGTTGTGTTGTTCTTGTTGCATGTGGTCATGAGATGTGACAGAATTTCCCCAGGAAGAATAGTTGTGGTGATACAGCAATAATCTTAAATAAACACTAAAAAATAAAAACATCATCATCATCATCATCATCATCATCATCATCATCATCATCATCATCATCATCATCATCTAACTGTCATGGTGGATATTTTCTGCTAATTTTGCCCCTAGGCTGGACAATAATTACATTTTTTCTGTATTGATTTTCAGTTGTATTATATTGTGATTTACAGAAGCACAAAATGTTTAAAAAACTTCAGTTTCTAACAAATAAGAAAAAAGTGCTAATTGAAGTTTGAAGGGCAACTTGACATCAAAAATATCCTACTGATATACTGTGTGTTCAGAGAATGGTCATAGTGTTGAGTTTGAGTTCAGTTTCTAGTTGCAATTTTAGTTATTCACTTTTGTTAGTAGTTTCCTTCTTGGTAAATTATATATACAGTCAATTTTATTACTCTACCAAATGGTTCTGGTTCTGGTCTATAACGTTCTTTGTCTTCCTCCAGAGAAAACCAACTAACTCCGTCCTCTAGGCCAGAGAGAAAAATGTGAGAAAGATCAGTGACACCGCCTTGAACTTAGTCTCAGTTGGGTTATTCTTGTTTTTAATCAACCATCAGACGACTTGGAAACATGCACGTCGACTCACCCCCTGCGTTGGTGATGGTGACAGGAACTCCCTGAACTTGGACCCCGTTGATGCTGATCGTCTGCACCGCCTGAGTCGCCGAGGGGAGCTGCGACGTATTCAGCGCTATCATCCCCCCTGCCGGGGCGATTTTTGCCAGAGTCCTTTCCTTCCGGCCCCCTGCCGGCGTCTTTTTGGTGCTGGCCGGCGGCGAAGTCGTGACGGTGGCGACCGACGTGGTGGGGGTCGTTGTCGTGGAGACCGAGTCCTGGAGCAGAACTGACTGCCACTCGCCCGACGCTGTTTTGAAGAGGATCTGAGGAGAGAAAACGTCAAACATCCTGTTTCTGTTTTCAAACAAATATTTCTGCTCTGTTGTTTAGGAATGAAGATGTTAATGTTAATTAACCTTTTTAGATTGATTGTAAATTAGTTTTAATCTATATGATTAAAGTAGTTGAATGCTACGTCCCAGCTTCAGCTCTGCTGTGATTGGTGAGTGCACACGTCACTGGTGTACATTTACTACTGTTTAATAGCTGTGAATGGCAGCCAATTAGAAATCAGAAGTTTTGTCAAGGCTATAGTTTTGAAGCGAGTGTCTGAATGGATACCTGTGTTGGTGACGGCTCTGTCGGAGTGACCTGCAGGTTCGAAGGGACCGACTGTCTCTGTGGGACGGGCGGCAGCGTGGCGGAGGCGGCCTGCACCACTTTCAGGGCCTGCTGCGGGATCTGGACCACTTGAGATTCGGGTTTGGGCTGGACCAGCTGGACCTGCTGCACCACAGCCGGCTGCCCGGGACTCTGCACGATCAGTAGGTTGTTACCAGCCTGCGAAACACAGAGACAGGAGGAGGTTACACCTGTGATGTTCAGGTGTTGATTCGGCTTTTAGCCAACACTCACATCTGGAGTGGTGCGGCTATAACTGAGGAGGAAGGGGTTAAGGCTGCTGGAGTACAAGGAGGCTGCCGGGAAGTCGGCCACCTCTCCTACGAACAGGTCACCACAACACCACAAGTTAGTAAGATCGTTTTCCATCAGCTGAACTTTTGGCCACATGGGGGCAGCAGAACAGAACAAGTCCTATATTCACTCTCCTGCCAAATCCTGAGGAAAATATCCATCTCTTTAGTTGCTAAATGCACCACTGTGTCCACCAGCTACTCCCTCTAACTGAGTGTGTGCCATTGGCTGCTGGGCAAGTAGCATACAGTCAGTTTTCACAGCTAAACAGCTGCCTGCAGCATCTGGAAACCACGCAGAGAGAGCGAGTACACACCACAGAAGAAACCAAAATAGCAAAGTCGTAAAAAAAAAACAAAACGAAACAATGAGCTGAAAGATTAAAATGCTCTGCAGATGTGACAGGAATGCAGTCAGATTAAAAAAATGACACTTTTATCGATTGTTAAAATAAAAATATGTATTAGAGAAGCTTCCAGTTTATCGTGTAAAACACAGGATGGATCACGTTACGATTCAGCAGGAATGAACTGAATGAATTCATCCAACAAATACTATAATAAATACTAAGGTTAGGCACCAATGTTTTAATTTTAAAGCCTTTTTGTTTAATAAAGATTATTTGTTTGATTGAAGAAGTGTTTTCACTTCTGCAGCTTCTCAAGGACGAAGCTTAAATGCTGTTATCTGTTTGACATTCAACATTTTGTGTTTGTGTTTTTAACCGGATAAAAGAGCTTCAATATCCGTCATAACAAAGTTCTAAACTCAAGGTTCACTAACTAAATTTTTCTGGCACATTCAACAAAACCTCATCGACACAGAATACAGTAAATTAGCATCCCGATTGTTGGCTGAATTAACATCCTTCAGCTAGTAAGTGACCACAGATTGTTCAACACAGCACGTCTTATTTGTAGAGCAGTGAAAAAATCTAAATCTCGAATCAAAACTCACCTTTTCAGAACTTTTAATATTTAATATTGTTGTGTGTTGTATATTTTTTATGATCTTTTTTGTAACTTTCTTACAATTAAAATGTTTTATTATTATTTTTATCATTATTATTATTATCGGTGTTTTTGCTGCTACAGCAGATGTACCTGTATGATGTTGTCACCAGCTTCTATCAGGATGGTCTCCATCTGCTCTGGGGGAGGGGAGGCAGCCTGTGCAGGAGGAGGAATCGGAGGCTGCGCAGCCAGAACCACTTTCTTCTTCCTCCCTCGTCGTCCCTTTCCAGGGGTGGGAGGGGCGGCTGCCGTCTCTGTGACGATTTGAGCCCCGCCCACCTCTCCGGTCGCCACGTTGAGCGGCAGCGTGAGCCCGCTGGGCAGCTGCACCATGTTTGCAGTGGAGTTGTTTGGCTTCCGTAACTTAGGGGAGGGCTTGATGGCTACAGTCTTCTGAGGCGTGATCGGAGCGGTGGCGGGGGCCGGTACAGTCATGGGGGTGGTGATGATGGCCTGGTTGGTGCCCGGTATGAGCTGGATCTGACCACCCTGTGGCATCACCTGGATAGTCTGGGGACCCTGAATCTGCGGCACCACCTGGTACTGGATGTTGGCGGGGGCCGTGGTGTTGGTGCGAGCTGGGCTCTGCTGAATAGTGAGGACGATGGGGCTGCCAGGAGCCGTGGAGCCCAGGCCAGCAGGGAGCTGGATCACATTGCCCTTGGCTGATAGAAAACCCAGGTTTTTGGGCGGAGCAGGGGCGATTGGAGCCGGCTTTATGGGGAGGAGCCTGCGAGGCTGGGGCTGTGCTGGAGGAGAGGTGACAGGAGCCTGAGCAGCAGGAGGGCCGATCTTACTACAGGTGGCAGCCAGGAGCGCCAGAGGGGAGGGCTGGGTGTCCTGCAGGGAGAGACACAGTCAGACACAACAGCTCAGATACAACTCACACCGTCTGCACGACAACCAAACTGAGCAGAAACAGGTCAGCACGAAGAGAGACGGAGGAGGTGATGGTGAGAGGTACGAAAATAAACCAACAGGTAAGCCTCCAACTACACATGCAGAATCATAATCATGGTGTAGTAGGCGTTGAGTTTCCTCCTGCAAAGCTTTTGAGCCCCTCAGTGATCCATATGTGTGATCCTCAAGCTGCAGGAGAGGAAGCATTCTGCATGAATGTCAGCTTCAGCTACTTTAAAACCACAGTGGATCTAATGAACCTGGGCCATCACCTGGGATGAAAAAGCCCGGCTGGATGATACTGACATAATCAATCTAGTAGCACAATGCTTTTGGCCTGATTTGATCTTTTAATGACTATTGGTGCTTTCAAAAAGACACACAAGAAAAATTACGACAAACCAAAGTTTGAAACTGTTCGACAAACTTCAAAATCTGTCGCTCAGTGAAAATGTTCCTGCAGTGTGCAGCGGCATGAACGTGTGACGGGTTAATGGAGTGTGATGACGTCAGGAGACTTCAACAGTGCGACCAGAAAAAGAGCAGAGAGCGGCGACATCTGGCTGTTACTCACTTGCGTGGAAGCGGTGGAGGGCTGAAGGTATTCGCTGGGACTGACAGCAACAGTGGTGGCCATACTGTCCTGTTGTTCTGAGAAAACACACAGACACAGGAGAGTCAGAGTCAGGATGCCTGCAGCATCTACGTTCAGTGGTTCAAGGACATCTCAGGACAGTCCTACAGAACGGAAACAGAGCTGAGAAAGACAAGCGCTGTAATGCCTCACTGTGCTCAGCATGTGATGATTTATCAGCATCTGTTACACCAATTAAGCCTTTAGTTACACCAATTAGTGCATTAACGTTAATTTATCCTAACTGCACATGGGGGTATTTTTTAGACTGACATTTTTATTTTCACAGCCAGCGACATGTATTCATTACTCTCCGAAACCAAAATCAAAATATGATTAAAGCTACTTAAGATAAGAAACAGTAAATATCAGGACTTATTCACTCTTTCTTTTCTTTCTACAACTCAACACAATGATGCAATAATGATCAAAAACATACGGGGGAGTAACTAACTACCACTGTGATGGGTAATTTATTGCCAATATCTTTCTAGTTATTGAAAAATAATCACATACATCATAACCAACAGCTGTCTGCGAGGTATTAAAAAAAAATCTATAAAGCATGTTTTGGGAAACAGTTAACAGTAACATAAAACAGTAGATAAGGCTAATACCTGTAAAAACACCAGTGTGCTCCATTAAGAAAGCACTGCTATCTCTGTTATACAGAATTTAAAATGAAATAAAAAGTACTGTGTGCACCAGCTGATCATTCTTTGGTTATTTTGACGTGATTTGCTGAATGATACAATAATCTAGATAATGAAGATTTTCAAAACAAGTGCAGCATTTTGAACTTCTGCAGAAGCTCCTGTAATGTAACAAAACATCTAGTGAGCTGGTTTTTAGTGAGTTAGCTGCTATGTCTGGCCCTGGAAAAGTATAAGCATGAACAACGCTGAAGTATCAAGCTACTGGTGATGATTCAGACGCTCTCTAAGCAAGAAAATGCACTACTGGACTGCAGTCAAAAACATTATGAGAGGAAAAGACACAATTTATTGAGCATATTATATTTCTGTTTAGACAGACAGCATAAGTACATTTAGGGCAGGATGCCCAATAGTTTAAAAGCAGGGTAAATCTTGAGTATCAGGCATCGCTGCCTAATGGCCAAAATAGGCTGAGGCTGTTACTGTCAAAAGAACTGCTCCAGGAAAGAGGTTCACTCATGATATACACCGAGTGACCTATTCCGGGTATGAATGCATGAACTGCAATACAGCCTGTACACAATGTACAACCACTGGTTTTTAATAATATATAGATATAGTCTGAAATAAACTCCAGTGCAACAGACAAATGTAAGATGGAAACATAGACAGTCTGTGTTTGCTGCATCATCCTTAAAGTGTTTTCATTTGTGATTTAAAGCAGCAGCAGCTGCTTGGGGAGGGGGGGGGGGCATTTAGGTTTAACTCAACATCTCTCATCATTCATGAACGTGCAAAACAAAACTGAATATCAGTATTTGTAATAAATCAGCTGAGCTCAAAGCACGTTAACTGGCAAACACTTGAAACAGCGGGTGACACCTAAGTGCATGACAACCACAGAGCACTGTTCTGGCGACCAGCAATCCTGCTGAGAAGTGCACAGGCTGCTGGGAAACGACTGAATAATCATGGATCTACTCCATCTGCAAAAGAGGCTGATTTCATGCTTGCACTGATGAGCATTAAAGAAAGGCAGTTTGTGCTTCTAAAGTTAAGTATTACCAATGCATTTGAGTCACAGAGACAAGCATTTGTTCTAGTTTTTAAAATACGAATGGCGTGCAATGTTAGAAAAATGAATGTAAAAATATTCAGTCTGCTGCAGGACAAAAACAAAGATGCAGCTGAAAATAACATGTGTCTTTCTTCATCTTGAGCATCACAAGAAAACTATGGACGGATTACTCCGCTTGAATATATAAAATAAATAACATAGTAACATCAATATAGATTAAAAATAATGAATAAAACTTTTGGTTCACTTTGCACAGGTATTTATTTTACAGAAGAAACAGATGTGTAGCTCTGTGACTCCAGCGTAGAGGTAATACTTGACAGGCACAAACTGAGGCTTCATTATATCCATATCCAAACACAGATCATTCAAAACACCAAAGATAAGCTCCTTGTTATGGGGAAATGGGAAAAATACAAAAGCCTCTTTTAAAAAAATTAACTGTCTAATTCTGCCGCCTCATCTGTCAATACTAAACTTTGCCCTGACAGAAAATAAACTGTGTTGTGGCTGCAGACCACACAGGAACTGTTTCCTCTGTTAGAGCTGTATGCCTCATTAAGGGAAAGTGTAACAACTTCACTGTCAGCTTGCTGAGCCCACTTATTCTCTGCTGGCTGAAATACATTTTAGGATGTACAACCCCGGACGTGTGATTGCAGAACTGCTGCAGAAACTAAGCAAAAGTGATTCACACTTTTAGAATTTTTTAAAACCACCACCATTTATGCGAGTGTGTCTTTAAGCCCTGCCAGTTATACAAATAGAAGAAAAAAAACTGTGCGGCCTCAAAATAGCGCCGCCATCAAACACATACTGTCGGTTTGGTTTGCTGTGGACAACCAGCTTACATTGGTTAGCATGCTAACTAGCAATACTAACTAAACCGGGGCAGGCTAAAGTGGCTAGCAGCTAGCTCAAGCTAATTTGGTCCGTGTGGAGCTTAATTTAATAAACCAATATGGGATCGTTACTTGCGCCGTCTACATTATACTGTGTTGTTAGTGGAATGGATGAGTGGTGGAAATGCATTTTGCTGCATTTTGGATAAAAAGAGGTAAAGGACCAGCTACTTAGCTTCCAATAGCATACTTGGCTAGCTGCGCGTCAGCTAGCCGAGTCAAACTCTTTGATAACGTTACAGAAAAAGGCAGCCCCTTTCCGGAAGTGCGATGCTTATTTTGATTCGCACAGCTGCCCGAGTACCCCCTAAAACATACTTATTCGTACCACATAATGTACACTGCTTTTCTGTTCAATGCAAATATAATGTTTAGCGAAGTAGAATGTAATATAAACACCAATGTTTTAATTCCTACCCACCGCTCATGACGACATTCGCTCTCCGCGAGCCTTGAAGACCGAGCCCAGGGAGGAGCCCGCCCGCGCCGCTGCACCAATCCGCAGACAGTGGAGCGTTGAGCGGCGGCCGCGCTGACCAATCGCCTGGAGCTTTCTCTGTGATTGAAATTCAAGCGAACCAATCGTGACGTGTCGCTCAGATACGTCGGTTATGGAATGACGATTCAACCAATGGGATGTCGAGATTGTGCTCGACAGGGGAGGTTCCGAAGCGTAAACCCCCGAACAGGCGTTTGCCCTATAAAAGCAGGAGGTTTGTTTCACTGACGTCCATAACGGCCAATGTGATGTCTGAGGGGCTGTTCGGTCAAAACAAGAATGACAACCGAGCTGATCAATGAGCTTTAAGTCGCTGCTGCCTGACCCGTTTAAAATGTCCCGTGGTTTATTATGAGGAGCAGCCCGTTATGTGGGATAACACAGTATGTTCTAAGCCAGTGTAAACGGATTAAAAGTTTATTTTAAATCTGCAATACAATATTTCTTACTCTGTTTATGTATAAAAGTTCAAGATGGACAGAATAAAATAGAATTGACTGCGTTTATTATCACTGCACAATTGTACAACGAAAAGTAAACTGCTACCCTTGGGTGCAACAGTAAAACACCTTATATATAATAATAATGATATAAAACAAATATGATAAGCTCATAAAAAAATGCATTGTTCCAAGATCAACCCCATGGATCCCAGCCTTTCCTTTTTGGTTTTTGATCCCTTACAAGAGAAGTAGAGGCCCCGTTCACATTTCAGGTGACTGTGAGCTCCACTGTTTAATGGTCACAAATAGTTTCATTTAAATAATTGTTCAAGATCAAGACCCACAGACACAAAACTGTCCAATATTTCATATTCTTGTTGATACTTTTGCACTTTTACTTTTACTTAAGTAGAAATTTGAACACGAGACTTTTACTTGTAATGGGATATTTTATATGCCTGTATATGTATTTTTACCCAAGTAAAGGATCTGAATACTTCTTCCATCCCTGCTGGTGACACCTGGCTCAAACATGTACGGTATGCAAGCTGCTGTCTATTAAATCCCATTCTATTCAATATAACCTGCACAACAGGCTGTATGACCTTCAAAGGCTCTTCGACCTATTGTTTGGCCTCTAGGCTTGTGTAAGAACAGCTACAACAGATATAGTGCTGAAGTCATCAGGTTAAATAATTGTAAGCGCCACGAATCAATATCTGTTCACTATGTTAAAACTCGTTGTGTTTTCTCTTTAACAGACGCAATAAAACAAGTAGTGTGAGTGTGAAAGTGTGAAAGTGTTCAACACAAGGACTCGAAACACACACAGAAACATGGACACTGACCTGGACGACATTACAAAAGCAGAACACAGTTTTTAGCTACAAAAAAAACCCCATACTGAACATATGAAGAGTGGTGTGTTGTGGATAAGTTTGAATAAGATAGCAGTAGCAGTCTTATGCTCTCCCTGTTACAGATGATCAATATACCAGGAATTAAAATTGAAAATAGAAAATTAAGAAAAAGGCAAATAAACTCCTTTATTTTAGCATTCGGGCTAACGAGGGCATAAATAATGTTAAAAAGAAAAAGGAAAATTAAAAAGGAAAGTGGGAATATTTTGGAATCACTAGTTGAAGTTTAACTTTTTTAAAAAGTTAAATCTTTATCTGAAGTGACTGTAGCTGTCAAATAAAAATAAAATAAACAGCAAAAAATATAGTGGAGTAAAAAGATTTCACTCTAGAATTGCGAGAGTGGAGAAGGGTTTCAGGTCGAGTTCAGATTTGGTTATTTTCAAAATGTAATTTACAGAGAAGTTTCTGTCTTTTTTTTCTGACTTTGCCAATCATCGTCTGCAAGCCTGGCAAACAAAAGTTATTATTATAGTGGATTATAGTGAAATAAAGCCTCAGGAGGGCAGGTTGGGGTCATAAACTTGATGAGTTCAGCTGGGGTTGGGTCTTAGAAATGTACAGACAGAGATAGCAAGTGGAACATAATGGGAATATTGGATTTAAATTTATTAGCCGATCAAAATTCCAACAATTTTTAGAGCCTTTAACCAGAAGCCTGATGTTTTTAATGACTCCGACTGGTGTTGGACTGACTCGCTTTTTTTGGTCACAACATGATCCAAAGAATTGGCCTCAAGTGTGTTCTGCTGTTCTTTTTAGTGCAGCTCATTCAGTCTCACACTGGTGACTTGGACTCTGACCAGATCTGAACACTGAAGTCTTGGTCCTTGTCTTTTTGGTTTGGTGTTGGTCACAACCCAGAAGAGAGAGGCTGACACGATCCCGGCTCTGCCTCCGCGGGGCCTCTCGCCCTGTAGAGAAATGTTCCAGTCGCGGCTGTCAGTCCCATCTTAGGCGACATCCGCTGAGCTGGCCCCCAGCACTTTCAGGCAGCATGTAGGCTACCATGAGCGTGTCCCTCTTTCTCACCGGATCGCTCCTCTTGACTCTATTCACATCCACAATGCATGCGGCTCTTTTCATATAGGCTTTTCCCAAAGAGTGCACTTGACCTTATTCACATGCAGTCGTCTGTGTTTCTCCCCAGCATGTTACCTCTCTCTCTCTCTCTCTCTCTCTCTCTCTCTCTCTCTCTCTCTCTCTCTCTCTCTCTCTCTCTCTCTCTCTCTCTCTCTCTCTCTCTCTCTCTCTCTCTCTCTCTCTCTCTCTCTCTCTCTCTCTCTCTCTCTCTCTCTCTCTCTCTCTCTCTCTCTCTCTCTCTCTCTCTCTCTCTCTCTCTCTCTCTCTCTCTCTCTCTCTCTCTCTCTCTCTCTCTCTCTCTCTCTCTCTCTCTCTCTCTCTCTCTCTCTCTCTCTCTCTCTCTCTCTCTCTCTCTCTCTCTCTCTCTCTCTCTCTCTCTCTCTCTCTCTCTCTCTCTCTCTCTCTCTCTCTCTCTCCCTCTCCCTGCACGGCTGCATGGGTTTGTAAAGTGCTCGGGAAACGAGAGTCCTGCTTTTAGCTGAAGCATTTCCTCCCTCTTCACCTCGAGTGGGCTGCAGTTGGCGGTGGAGGATGCTGATCCTGTCTATCACCTGGTCCCCAGGCACCTCTGTGGAGAGCCTCAGAGAGAAAGAGCTGCATAATTCAACTGAGATATCTCACTCTTTTTTTTTTTTACTTAACAGGCTTCTCGAATGAGCCAAAGCGTCAGCCGCAGAGTTTTAAGCCTTAAACATTTAGGAGCGAATAGCTGACGTTAAAAAATTAAACACTTTCAATGAAGAGAACTCAGCAGCAGAAACTATTAAACATCTTTACACCGTTAACTCACAGAAATAGATACCACAGCTGCTTTTATAGCTCGTAGTCATGTCAAGTGCTGCTTTCACCTTTCTGTTGCCTGGAAAATAAACATTCATACTTGATCGATTAGTTAGAAAATTAATCTGCAGCAATTTTGATAATCAGTGAAACATTTAAATAACTTTTAATGGGAAAAAGATGCTGTTTCCAGCTTCTTAAATATGAAATTCGCTGTTTTTATTTGTCTTATATGATAGTAAACGGAATATGTTTGGGTTTTATAATTGCTGTGTGGCCCTGTGATATATTATTTTTCCAGCACATTCTGAGTTCAGTATCTTTGAAGGCTGAGTTCAGTATCTTTTAGACTCAGCATATTCAGTTTGGACTATACGTTCCCAAAAATAAATATTTACTCCTAAGAACTTTATTCCTGGGAGTGTGCACAGTCGCTGTCCAGAGAAAACCATGTATCTCCAAATTTGGTGTTTTTGAATTTTTCAGATGAATCCAAAGATCCAGTGTTTAGGCTAAAATAACGTTTAAAATCCAATTTGAGAATCTGAATAATAATTTTTTCCAAAGCTGAAAACCTGCTGGAAACAGCAGCTTGAAAAAAAAAACAAAGTCCAACTTACTGGTTGTTCCAGAAGCTCTCAGCCACCTCTCCTGGTCTTCCTCAGCAGGTGGAGTTTCAGCGAGATGACCTGAGAATTTCAGTTACATAACAACACAATATGCAGTATATTAAAACAGTATATCACTGTTCATCCACCGATTGATCACAAAACAACAACAAATCATCTCCATGTCAACTCAGCAGCTCCATCCAATGAGGAAGCCCATGGATGGGGTTGAAAGCTTTAGAAAAAACAAGTAAGTTGGACCTACACGTTGAAGGCTTTTTGTCAAGGGCCATGAAAAGTTTTGGAGATACATGTTTTTTTTTTTTTCTACAGAAAATACATATATATATATTTTTTTTAAAATCTAAATGATTTAGTAAAATATTGAAACTATTTTTGGTGTCTGCTCAGATTTATCTGGAGGGTGAAGGATTTTTAATTCATGACTTTTAATTTGTAAATTCCTGCTGCAGCTTTTAATTTCCTGCACTCTTTTCTATGATAAGTCTAATTATTATTATTATTATTTCACAGCTATCAGACTTGACATATTTTCACTTTCAGACTTTGAATGTTCAGTTGAAATGCCTCCATACTTTTCTCAACCACTTCAACATCAATCTCAAATTAAAAATATTCAAATGTAAAAAATTACGACACAAACCAATATTTATTTATATTTTCTTTTTCTTTTTTTTACTGAAAATGCTGAGCCAGCGGCCAGCGTCAGGGAGCTGAGAAACAGAATGAGCAAAATACACCTGGGCATCTCGACAAATAAAACTGACAGGTAGAGATCAGTCGTGGCAGAAACACACACTGAGGCAGGGCATCATGGGAAAATGAGGCATCTGGGAATAATCGGAAAAACTTGCAGTGCTCTGACACCAAATTCAAACAAACATCTCAACATTAATTTCATGTTTAATTAACTCCGTCATTCTTTTGCCTTCAGTTCCTCTGAGCCATCTGACTGTAAACGTCTGTTTAAATCATCTTTTTTTCTTCTTCTAAATTGAATTTCTGAGGGTATTTTTTTTTTCTTTGGTGTATTTTTTCTTCTCCTGTGAATATCTGTCTGAAGAAATACAAATTTAAGGATTTAAATCTCTTGTAAAAGCGCCAAGTATCTCCCACCAGTGGCCTCAATAGACCAGCTTCACGCAGCTCTGGGACATGTCGTGCTACAAGAACGAAGCAGACGAGATCAAGGACACCTCTCATGCTAATGAAGTTCATGAACTCGATATATTCATAGCCTGGCTTGATAACAAGTGCATTACCTCAATCTCTAGGCTGTCAAAAGGCATTCTGGGAAATGTAACTGAAAAGAAATCAGCAACATGAGAGGATGAGCTTATAATCATAAAAGTGATGATATTACAATATTGTCAAATTAAACTTGGGACATCCAGATGTTCGGTCTTTGAATGTTCAGCAGGTTCAGTTACAGACTTCCTGTAAAACAAGGTGGTGCTCCAGTGACATTTGTGAACCACTGAAGGATGCTGCTGCTAATAGCGACGGGTCTATGGGATGTCACAGCCACCAACTGTGACATCACTGATTTGGGCGTGGCCCGAAGTGCTAGACGCTAGCAGGTTTCAGCCATGGATGTACGATAGGAACTGGGTAACTGGATGCAAAGACGGCATCCAGTGACCTGAATGGAAACTGATGAATTGCTGCATGAGCCAAAAAAGACGTTCGGACCACTGCACATGCACATTAGCATTTCACCGCATGTTCCCGCTCGGGATGACGTCATGAAAATAAAGCTGACTTTTCTATTCTGTGGGGAAGTTTTACAAATATAAAACTTCCATGGATTAGAAATTCACCAGCTCTGTCAACAGTTTTACAGACGTCTCTTTTATGATTTTCTGGGGATTTTTGTTTGTTTGTTGCAAACCCACAAGTGACCACTAGGGGGATATTGGCACTAAATGGCTCTTTAAATACATCCATGGTCCCGACCCACAGAGGGCGGTGAAGCACGGCCTGTTTCCAGACCTCTGAATCACCACCAACACCTCCGAGTTGTTCAGTAATTCAAATATATCTGGTGCTGCTCATTAACGGTTGTTTCTTACAGTTGTAGAAACATTTGATCGATCAGAACTTTGTGACATGATTAAAAATGGAGAGGTCATCTTCCTGCACAGCCGGCAGAAAATAAAAACATTGCATGTGAACATTTTACTGATATGTTCAGAATCAACATGTTTGCATTTTGCCAAATATTTAAATTAACAATACATTCGCATTACTGTGGTTTAATAGAAAATGTAATCTGACTGCAATTACATTTCCTATAAAATGAGTTTCCTGCTGCAGTTTAGTTGTATAAAAAAGTCATTTTTAGGGGAGAGAGTTGAAGTTGACAACAGTGTTAAGATAACTGCTCCTGTGTTCATGTTTGGTTCGAGCAAAGTGAAACTAAATGACGCTGCTTTCAGACAAAAATCAGCGAACATGAACACAACGTCAGGTTGAAAGAGAAATAAAACAGTAATTCAGTGTGAGCATCGGCTACAGAAACACAACTGAAACATTCAGGGGTTCAGGTGTTTGTAGGAAAGTAGACCTTCATGTTCATGGGTAAGTTGGTGCAACAAGCACTTCTGATGAAATAGAATTAAGTTTTGATTTTGATCTTTAGCTTAAGCATTAGCATTGTAGATAACAATGGGAACGTATCCTTTGTTTTAACCCAACATGGCAGCACGACTCTCTTGTACCTCCGCTGTCTGAATGCTGAGTGACGGGCCTCAGCGTCCTGCCTCAGTGTGTATATCAAACCCTGAGGGCAACTTTTAATCCAAAAACCCTCTTTTTGACAGAATGGAAGGAAAAACAAGAAAACGGCAGCAAACAACAGTTGTACAAATTGACCAGTGTATTTGTGTTTTAAAAGTCCAGTTCAGCAGGTTCAGGAAATTTGCAAATCGAGTTCAAAGTCAACGCTGTCCCTCTGTTCCCATCGACATGTTTGCAGGCGAGAGCATCTCTGCAGTCCCTCCGAAGACGAGGCTGAGTCCTCTGCATCTGCTCTTCTCGTCGACGGTTTTCCCACCGTCCAACTGCAAACACTTTCCCTCCTTTCATTAGTCCAAATCAACAGAGAGGCAGGTCCATCCCCGTCCAGCTGGACACACAGATTTCCAGGGACTCTGATCGGCTGATGCTGGAAGACTGGCAGACCAGTACAGATCAGTCCTCCACACAGAAACCTGGGCAGAGAGGAAGGTTTGGAGGAAGGTTAGGGGACCGCCACATCAGGCGCTAACTGGTTTCAAATACTGCGCTGCATATAGAAGATTAAATAATGATAATAATGACATATTATATATGTATAGGACATGTATATTTCAGAAAATGTTAAACTGTCCCTTTAATCACTTGGCAAAAGAGAGACCACTGCTTTCTCTGCAAAGGCTCTTCAGTTGTTTAGTATCAAATGTAACAACAGTTTACATTTTTATGTTATGTTTTCACCTGCGTCTGTTTGTTTGTTTGTTTGTTTGTTTATTTGTTTGTCAGCAGGATTATGCACTGAGCCGATTTGTGCCAAACTCGGTGGAGGGATGGAGCCTGGGCCAGAGGAGAGCCCATTAACTTTTGGTGTGGATCCAGGATTTATTTTTTATCACTTTATGAGATCAGACATTTTTCAACACTTTTGCCAAATTCTTAGGAAATGATGTTTGGATGTTGACGTAAATAATCAGACATATTAATGGTGTTGACATCTTTGACTTTGTACAATTTGGTGCAGATTCAGATAATAATCTGGATCTGGATTGTTTGGCCTTGGTGGAGGTTTTCACTTATAACAAACCCTTTTTCATCGCTGCTTTGTACATTTCTTTTTCTTCAAGTTTGTAAATGCAAGTGAAGGATGAAAGTATCAGAAAAATGTCGACCTCCTGTCTTTGTCTGTCCTTCAAACATGTGGTGAATTAAGTGTGACAGCTAAAATATGGTGATGAAAAACGAACTCACTTTGAGCTGAGAAGAACTCTGCTGCTACGTCTGCGACTCGGCCTCCTGCTCTGCTCCCACCACCCTCCGGATGCTCTTGATTGACAGGTACATCTCCTCCTCTGGGTCGTAGTAATAAAACTTACTCAAGTAGGAGATCAGCGGTCTGGAAAGAGGTGAAGATCCGACACAGAGAAATCAACAGTCAAAAGTCATTCGGATTCATCTGGGAACCATTAATATTCTACTGGAGCTTGAACCAGTCCATCAGGTAGATCTCAGGATATTTCACTGGATAAGTGAGAACTTTGACCTGTGATTAAAAGTCAGAGCATCATCAAATGCATTAGGATTCATCCTCTGGGGGATCATGAACATCCCCACAAAATCTCATGACACTCCATCCAATAATTCTTGAGATATTATCAGTCTGGACCGAAGTGGTGCACCAACAGGTATTGTCAGAGAGACATTGATAACATGGCTGAACAACTGAGACGCCACCACGAACAGATTCTCCCAAAGATAATTTTATCATTTTGCATAATTTTAAGAATAACAACAAGCTTGCTGTATTTCCATCCTTCTCTAACTGATTTATGTGCTTGAATTTGTCCAGATCTGTTTGATCTGACACATACCATGTCCATTTAAACTGTGGATGACACCTTGAAGAAGAAGGGTTCAGTTTTGTGTTTTTAAAAGATTGTCACAGTTCTGTCATGGTTTACGACGGCTTCACGTTTCAGCGGGAGGATATTTAAAAAGGTCACGTGACTGACAGAGGTGATGAGTACCTGGGCAGTGGAAGCTCCTGGATGTGGTCGATGCGGACTATCTGTCGGATGCAGAAGCGACAGAGGTGTTGCAGTGACTTCACGTTGCTGAAGCGAGATACAGGATACAGCAGCTGAACTGGGGTGGGAGGAAGCCCTGAAACACACACACACACACACACACACACACACACACATTTGTGTTACTGCTCTTGATCTTGTTTAACATTATCTCCTGTGTTATTTCATATGTTTCTTAATGTCAACTAATTCCACCAAAATCAACAACGTGTTCGTCTGTCTCTCAATATTTTCCCGCTGAGTCTGTGACTCTCAGCTTGAGGCCACTCAACCCTAACCCTAACCCCACAGCACAAAAATATAAAGTTTCACTTATATAAAAAGCTCAGTAATTTGCTGAAGCAGCTTCACACTGTAGTCGATCAAACTGGAGGAAATGGTGGACTATTTTCACCTGTGGAGTAAAACACATTTGCTGCTCTAGTGAACATTTATAGCAGCAAATTGAGTCATTTAGAATCAGGTCTTCCTGCTGTACATGTAAGAAAATCACTGATAAAAGAACATCATGATATTTAATATTCATTTTGACAATGTCCGTCTCATGATGGAAAGATTTTCAGCATTAAAGGAGCTACTTGAAAGTTTTGCCATTGCTACATAGCTAACGTTAGCATTGACAGCTATTTATCTACGAGTCTAAAAGAAATGTGAGTGAGTTCAGCATCAAACTTCTTTTACCTGCCAAGAGCCGTCTCCAGAGGTGGAAAGTTACACCAATGTCAACTCTTGCTTTGCTTCTATTTCTATCACTTCGTTTCATCTACTGAGGTTAGCATGCTAACCAGCTAGATCCAGCCTGCTCGGACTGTCTCGTCACTTTCCGATACCGAGTCAATGTAGCCTTGAAGAAGTAACGCTGCCCAGAGGACGCGTTATAACCTCATGTACTGTAAACACAACAATGGCTGGAGCTCTTACCAAAATTAGGAAGTAAACAGATGTTAATGCTAACATTGGCTATGTAGCTATAGCAAAACTTACAAATAGCTCCTTTAATTAGGCCTAATAGCGACTTCTAGCAGCCCGGCTTTGACTGTGTGAAGTTGAAATATGAAGTCCAGACAACAGCTGGATTGGTGTGTCATAGTGGACTGTGGTGAATTGTGGGATACACTTGGTGCAACAAATGTGGGTTAAATGTACTACGTGGGTTTTTCCAGACGTGGGTCACACTTGTGTAGTACCTGATGAAACATAAACATAAGTGCTCAGAACTGCTACACTGTGGGTAACTGAACAGACACCGGAAATGCAAATACACATGCTTATTTATACATATCCAAGACAAAAACATGGACAGCATGTCTTCAACATTCGAACATACTTCATGCCATAAATGCCTTACCAGGACCCCGTCATACTTACTGTATGTTGAGGTGAAAACACTCACATATTTAGGTGCATTCTCACAATCATAAATCATTCACAGGCTGAACGCAGACATACAGACAGTCAGATATATTCCTGCTCTCCTCCGTCTCTCAGGCACTTCTCGCTAAGTGGTAGCTCACATCCATTTTTGATCGGCTGGAGCTGCATGTGGATATATGACCTATATTTTACCTGGGACTCTGGAGCGGAGGAAGTAGAGGAATTTGCCGTTCTTGGAGTGCATGATGGCTCGCTCGATGAACTCCACCACCGAGTGGCAGCGGTCCTCAAACTTCGGGTGACACCACAAGCTGAACGTCCCTGGAGGCAGAGAGAAATGTTTTTTTCTTTATGTATCGCATGTAGTATTTTATCATCTATAAATCATTCCCACATTAATTATGAAACATGTGTATCATTAAACATGTCTGATCATCCTGTGCGTGTTGGCTGGTTTTTCTGGATTTGGATTGGATTTTTCTGATTGAGGCAGACATTCAAAGTCAGGTCCACATGTTCCCCCAGTTTTACAAAATTTTGTTGCTCCTCTACTCTTGAACACATGACTTAAATTAAGAGCTTAAATCTGATTGGCTGAGCAGTGCAAAAAAAAAAAAAAAAGAGGGGGGCGTGCAAAAGTAGAGCTGCAAAAAAAGGAAATTTTATTGGCTGGTTATTTACACCGACTTTGTGTTTGAACATCAGGCCATGACTATGACTTCCTGGAAAATGTTTACCTCTGGGAAAACATGCATGCATCTTTAATGGTGACGTCACGCTTCACATAGAAGCATATATAAACACTTCCACAAATGAAACCTCACATCTCCATTATTCTCTCCAGGCCTGGATTTACATCAGAGCGGACAAAGTTTGTTTTTTAGCTGTAAAACATCTTTGTTTGTTACAGTATTACATTGTATTATTTATAGTAGTAGTATTATAGTATTATTTGTTTTGTTACAGTGTGAATGTAAAATACCTAAATATATGATATTGGTATCAATTTCAAAAATCCATAACTGGTTTTTGCAATTGAAGTTACATTTCATGACATTACGGTCATCATCCATCACATAATGGAATTACAATAAACCCCATTTCATGACATGTTCTGTTCCAGGATTTTTTGCGTTTACATACGCAGCTGTGTCTCAGGTAAGTATAGTCTCAGAGGACTTCTTATATCTGTGACTTAAGTCAGCTCTCTGGGGTGGCTTAAATGTGCACACACACAAAGCAACTTGTTAAACAAAGCTTTTTAAAATGGGAATCTCTCAACCATCTAAAAACACACATTTACACATCAAATCATTCCTGTGTGTTTTACCAACACGCCTTGGATTCATCCTTTGGCGTCCTTGAATATCTGCATTAAATTTAATGGCGATCCATCCAATAACTGCTGTGATATTTGAGCCTGTGCCACACTGACCAACCGACACGATGCTAACATGATGCTAACATGGCTAAAGAGAAGATTTTACGAATAAAAACCCTATAATTTGCAGAGAAAGCCGCCCAAATACAACCAGCCACTCTGTTTTTACACACACACACACACTCAGCGTGAGCAGAGACATCTGAACGTGTTGGTGTGTGTGAGTTGACTTCCCGTTGACCGCTCAGAGGTTGTTTATCTCGAAGCCATTCTGCTCTCGATTCATATCAGGCCACAACGCGTTCATGCAGACGTGATCGCGTTGATGTGAATGTGTTGTGTCAGTCGGGGCTGCACGTCTGAATAATGAATGTGTTTCCAGGCATGACTCTATAGCTTCATGATGGTGACTCATTAATGTAGAACCCCATTCGTGTGTGTGTGTGTGTGTGTGTGTGTGTGTGTGTGTGTGCCCGGTCACACATGTATTTTTCACAAGTCACCTTGTTAGTTTGTCACACATGTGGCGTGTGTACAAATACACACGAGGTGTTATGTGAGTTATTCATGTGTCAGTACTGTACTGTGACCTTATTGGAAGGTTGTGTTTATTCCTAATTTATTTATGCTCTTTTCTGCCCTCGTGTACGCTGACATTTTAGTTTAATTTGTCTCACAGACTTCTTTTGTTTTCCTGTTGCTATGCTCTAATTATGGTCAGTCTGATTTGTGCATTGTTCTGTCCGAAACTGACGTGACCAATATAACTAATATACTGTACTGTACATGTTTATTATAGAAATATAAAGTACTGTGTAAAAATAGAGGCGCACTTTGGCGAGAAGCATATTTCAAACCCCGACGCCTTTAAAAAACAGTGTAGTGGCACTTTTGTTGGATACAAATCAAAGAAAAGTTTCATGAACTTTGGAGGTTGTCACCATTTTCTCTTTTATCTGAATGTTGCTTTAAGTATTAATTCAAGATCACACCACACTGCCCCATTTTGTTCGCACAAATTCTACTGCTACGGTTAGATGTTAACGTTAGCCTAGCTGTAAGCTAAAGGACATTTTCTCAGGTGCTGTACTTAAACTGCTTTGCTTACTTTGTGCTTCACTACATGTATTTGACAGTTTGAGTTACTAGTTATTTTACAGATTTTCCATTAAGGACAGATTATGAGGTTATAAAATACGATGCAATGTGGAGCTTGTCGTAGGTTTTGCTATTGCAACATAGCTAGCATTAGCATTAACAGCTGTTTACTCGCCCAGTCTTGCCAAAAGCTTTAACTTTGAATCTGTGTCCTTTTTCACTGTTTTCTGATGTTTTATGGAATAAAAGCTTAATGAAGAATATAACTGGCAGATTCATCAGTTATGACAATAATGTTGCAGCCATAAAAGTTTCCTCCACCTCAACCAGCCAAAACACGTAAATGCTACTTACGCATGAATACATCAGTGTTAATTACAAAAGGCCGTTATTCTGCTGGGTACTTTTACTTCTGATACTTTAAGTACACATTGGTATAAAAGGCTTACATACTTTAACTTAAGTGACATTTACTTGTAATGGAGTATTTTCATATTGCAGTACTGTTACTTTTACTTATGTTAAGTATCTGAATACTTCCTACAGTCGTCAACACAGCCTCTAGATACGCAAAAGCTCTTCACTTCAGTTGAAACATTTTCAACTCTCACAGATGCATCTTCACCTCAATAGAGTAGATTCCACTTATTCTACTTATAAGACAAAGTGAACTTCAGGCTAGATGCAGGAGTACAGATTTATATGCAAACTCCTATATGTACTGTATGTTAATATAGGGTCAGTTTGAATGTGTGCATGAATGTCGTCTGTGACTCATCGTGGTAATGTGTCCCCATACATGTGGTGTGTGTCCATATTACATGCCTCGGGTGTTGGATGACCAGCATATGGATGCACATGTTTCTGTAGGCATTATGCAGCATCTTTATGTGTGTATATTTGTATGGCTATGCGTTGTGAGGACCAGTTTGACATTCTGCCCAGTCCTCACGTTCTGACACACCCTCCAGTGGCTGTTTGAGGGTTAAGAAACTGGTTTTGTGGTCGGGGTTAGAATCGGGTTCAGGTTGGGGTTAGGAGCTGAAGAGTGCACGGTGTCAATGAGTGTAGAAGCATTAACATGTGTGTGTCTGTGAGTGAGAGAGAGATTGCTGAGAGCATGTATTATGCTTGCATAGTTGCACACATATGCAACATATGCATGTCGAGTTGTGTGTGTGGATGTGTGTTTGTGTATCTTTGTGAGGACTGAGGATCTTTGTTGAATCTCTCTCTCTACGCCACACTTTGCTGTCTGTATATCCGCCACCACATGATGACAAAAGTAACCCTGACACTTTAATGTGTAGGTTTTAAGATTTTGTTTTCATCAGCATGTGTGTAGCAAAGGAGAACACATAATGTATTCATATTACAGATGTTAACACGTCTTTGTGTGTAAATTCCTGACATGGTGGTGATGTCAAATTTAACACAACAAGAACTGCCCTAAAACACACCCATAAGACAGTTTGAGTTAGTTTTAATACATCTGTTCTAAGAGTGTGTGTCGTTTCACACACATCAGGCGCCGGTTTCACAAAGACAGACTTTGACTGTGGCTTAGATACAACAAACAGTCTAAATTCATCTGTTGTGCAAGGCAAACTTTAGTTCTTGATTATCTTAAGCCGGACTATGGTACAATGAATTCTGGGTAAATTAAGACTTTTTTCAAAATAAAGAAAATGGAAATTATGAGCCATGTTTTCCTGTTTTTCTGTTTTTGGGTGCCACTGCTCAGCGCAGGTGTGACTGATAACCATGTTACCATGGTAACACTGGTCTTAGGCCCGAGTTAGCCGGGGGGTACGGTGTCTAATGTTTTTGTGATAAAATGACTCAGACAACAGTCTTTGATGCATTAGACTGATGTATGAGCAGAATTAACACTGGACCAACACTACAGACCGGCCCTGCCCCCGCTGTCTGCATCCGTGTCAGTTTGAATGTATCAGGGGTTTTAATATTAAGGTCTAGAGATGAATTATGTGAGTGACGGACGTGTGTGTGTGTGTGTGTGTGTGTGTGTGTGTGTGTGTGTGTGTGTGTGTGTGTGTGTGTGTGTGTGTGTGTGTGTGTGGGACTTTTAAACCAGGACATTCCCTCGTTAGGGTTGGGATCAGTCATTCAGCTGTGATGGATAAGACTCTGGTTGGGGGCTAGGGAAACAGTCAGGGTATAAAAACACAAACATGCGTGTGTGTGTGTGTGTGTGTGTGTTTGTGCGTCTCACCTCTGTAGTGCTCCATGCGTGTGTGGTGCGTGACGCCCTGCGACCTGAAGCTGAGGCTCAGGATGTAACGAGGGTCCGAACTGTCCCGGACCAGGAAGGATCCGTCCGGTTTCCCCTTCAGTTTCATCTCAGCGTCCTCCCAGTTCATCGGCCCCCAGTACCAGCCACACTGCAGGCAGAGACGCCAAGACACGTTCACTGTGAGAACCAGCCTTACTGCCTTTTAAATTAACCTCTTTTAAAAGATATATTTTTATAGGTGTGCTTGGGATCTGAATTTACTAATGATTTAAATCTATTATTATATTAAGTTGTCATCCTGTTTCTAATCGATTAATTTAATTATTTTAGACTGTTTTATCTCATTTTTACTGAACCTCATTCTCACTTTTCTCTCCCTAAACTTGTTTTTAATCATTTAGTGTTCATCCTCAATTTTATCTTGTCTTGTAAAGTACTTTGTAACTGTGTTTTAATTCTTATTCTTATTATTATTCTTCTTCTTCTTATTATTATTATTATTATTACTGCTCCTGCCTCCTCTCTCTCATCCTTAATATTTGGAGAAAAGCCTATACGTCTAATTTAAAGAATACATTTATTTCATTCACGTTTCAGCTAATTGTAAACTCCAAAAACACATTTCACAGGAGCTTCGATGTTTCTACTCTCATCTCAGAATTAGATTATTTAGACAGAAAAGAAAAGGAAGGCAAACATTTTACAATCTAATAGTCAACACTGGATAATGGAAAACAACACTTAAAGGTCCCATATAGTGTAAAGGTCTGTGTCCATGTGTAGTGTGATTATAGATCAGCTCTAGCTTCTATATTAATACTGTGAAAGTATCAAAGCCTCAGTCCACAGAGAAATGCACACAGCCTGTATTCAGAAACTGAGCCTTAAAACCAGCCGTCAGGACTTCTGGAACTTTGTGATGTCACAACAAAGCAGTCACCAAGCCCCACGCACCTGGACCCACCATCCAAACTTTTACAGGGTTTGGTTTCTCTGAGAGTTTTGACCTGAAATCTGCTTTATTTTTATTGGATCAATTAGAAAAGAGTCAGCCAATCAGAAGAGAGGCTCAGAGCCTCCTCTCTTCTGATTGGCTCACCGACCTGTTGTTACTAGAGCTCCAGAAAGAAGCCTGAGAGAGGAGATGTAAAACTACACTGAGATGGTTTTTGGTTCTTAAAACCACAAATATATCTTCTGATGGATCAACACTTCCACAGGTTCACTTTATATCAACTGGTTGTGCTGTTTATGAATATGAATTACTGAATCAAACATATTCTTTTTTTAGTTTTAGGACCATAATTATTTTAGTTTTGTAGTGTGCTCATGTGAATCTATATCTAATTACAGTGTGTTTTATTTAAAGTAATTATTTAAAGAGAAAACCTGACACAAGGAGTAAAAATAAAAGACTTAAACGATTAATCAAGTTATCAAAATTGCCAATTAATTTTCAGTCAAGCAACTAATTGATTAATCAGCTAATCATGTCGGCTCTGGAGTACTGGATGGCTTCTGGTTGCCTAGGGAAACAGTAAAACTGACGAGCATAGTGAGGGTTTGTTGTGATACTGTAAATGTAACTTGTTCTCGGGTCTCTCCGGTCTGTCTTACCTTCTCCAGCTCTCTCAGACTGGCGGTGAAGTTGCTGGCCTCAGACCGCCGCAGGGCACACAGCATGGGGGGTGGAGCCTGTCTGGTGGGGGGTAGCGCATCAGACGGCGATGGGGTTGAATGAGGAAGAGCCCGGAGGAAGGCGTCTAAAACAATGAATTTAAAGGTCCTATATGAAGCATTTTTAGCATCAACATGCTACTTTCATAAAATCAACATCCTGTTAGTCAATTCAAATGAGAGTGTGGAGGAGACGACTGGTCAAGCCCCTCCCCCCTCCCTCCTCCCATCCCAGCCCCGTAACGTGTCTTACCATTGAGGCTGAGACTGTGTCGGATGGTGGCATGGGAGGGAGGAGGAGGAGGAGGGAGAGGCAGGGGGAGGGACTGCAGGGAGGCGCCCATAACACTCACTAGGAAAGGCCCAGGCTGAGGCCCAGCTATGTCATCTGGAGGGGGGACAGTAAGGAAAGGAGAGAGTGAGGAGGGGAGGGAAGGGAGGAGCACAGGGGGAGGGAGGAAAGTGGGAGGAAAACGAAAACAAAGTGTCAAGAAGGGAAACAGTAAGGAAGGAAGGAAGGAAGGAAGGAAGGAAGGAAGGAAAACAGAATTTTTCAACACCATCAGACCCAGTCCACCAAACTACAAACCTACATGTTTCTCCTCTGAGCCGCTGAGCGCCATGTTTCCAAAAACTTATCAAAATTAAAAACTCATTAATGAGTCTGACTGTTACACTGGGTGACGTGTTCCTTCATCACCATGAAACACGCACACCGTCCCGCTGCCCCAAATACTCTCTAGAGCATCAAATGTGGATTAATCCACCGCTGAAAATAGACCCCCAAAAAATTTAAATTACTGAGCCTTTAAAACTATATATTTGTGAGCTGTTTTTAAAGATTTACTTCTTCAGTAGGAGCCAATGGGCTTGAACAAGAGAGAATTGAGAAATTAACTAATAAATAGTTGGGTTTGGTCTTCTCATGGGATTTGTTAAGGGTAATAAAAATACATAATATCACCAACATTATCTTAAACCTCAACCCGAGACGCTGCTTTAGTCGGCTGCATATGTGGGTCAGAAAATATCAGAGGCTCGGAGCAAAAAGAAAATGCACTTGAAAGGTCAGAGAACGGCCTTGAAATTAGAAATGAGGCGAAGAAAAATGTCCCGATACAGAGGAATATAAATTGTACAAATGTTTTCAAATTGTTTATCTTTTCTATTTATTTATCCGTCTCCTATATAAGAAATCTGTTATTGAGTGAAAACCAAGTCTGAACATCTTGATATTCAGTTTGAAGCTGTGTTAACTGTCAGTCAGTCAGTATTGTCAGTGAAGCAGCTGCACGGAGGTAAAAATAGACAAATAAGTCCCTAAAAAATCCAAACAAGAACATAAAATGTTGTTTTCTTTCCCCCCCGGTACAGATTGTTTTTCTGTGAAAGGAGGAAAAACAGTTTCCTTTTGCCATCTTACCATCGACTGAGTCATCGCGTCCAGATTTCAAATTAAATCTGTAGTTTGCAGCTGACCTTTCAAAGCTTCTCCAATCAGATTACAGCAGATTACAAAAACTTGTCTGTGTCTGAGTTTCCAGAAATGTAACGACAGAAAACAAAATTGACAAATAAGTATTTGACCAAGATAGGAATATTAAGAGAAACTGCCAGGGCTTCGCTTTCAGCCGAACTTGGACAAGCCAAAGTAAAGCCTGTAAGCAAAGGCTTAGAAAGGACGACTTGGTTTCATCGGCCTTCTTGCTGCCGTATTTATCATTTAACATATTATATTATTGTGTGTGTGTGTGTGTGTGTGTGTGTGTGTGTGTGTGTGTGTGTCTGGATGAACGAGAGGAGGAGAGAAAAAGTCGAAAAGACAAACAGGAAGGAGAAAAATGTACCTAACAGACTGAGACTTCGGCGTGGAGGAGGGGGCGGCGTGGGAGGGTGTGGTGTGTTCGCCCCTCGCCGTGAAATATCCACATCCACCAGAGAAACAGTCTCACCTGAAGCCAGAAAAAGAGTGAAAAGAAAGAAAGAAAGGAAAGGAGGGAGGGAAAAGTGAAAGAGTGAAGGAAGAAAGTGAAATAAAAGATGCAGACAGTAGCTACAAGAAAAAGTGGTTTGTGTATCTGTGATTGCCTGTTGTTTCGCCTGCGCTGCAGAGAGCCATTAAAGCTGCACCAGGCAGGATGTTTATGGAAAATTACACCCGGCTAATCAGCCTAAATCACTGCAATAAAGAAGAACATCCCATCCCCGCTAATTGAGCTGCTGCAGATTCACTGTTTACCACAGCGAGATTCTGCAGTTGGGGTCGGTTACTGCCGGGGAAAAGAAACAAAATCAAACGTTAAGAGCCAAATCCCCAACGTCTCCTCAACGGCGGAGAAAAACCGGACTCACTCACATCTACATCTCTGCCTCTATCATCTCTATAGCTCCGCTTCTTTTTCCTTTTGCTTGTGAAACATCACAGACCGGCCTCGGTTGGTAAACACGAACATGATGTGCGCAGGACTTCTGGGTTTTGAAGTCCCCAGCATTTCAAATAACTCGCCCTCGCTCTGATGGGACCGCCAATGCGAATCATCGCTCGGTGCAGCTTTAATGTTTCTGTCTAATTGGCGGTTAGCGCTGTGCAGAGCATGTGTTCATTAAACTCCAAGAACTACAGAAACTCAAGTAAATGTAGCAAAACTGAAATCTACAAGCAATGTGGGACACCAGAGCGAACCTCCGAGCCCTGTGGAGGTGTTGTGGGCTGATTCTCATAAAGTCAGCTAAATATTTTTTGCCTGCTGAGTTACAGATCTCCTCACCATCCTCACCGTACCCACAGGCCTTTCTGAGCTAAATCCGGTCTTATCTAGTCTGGTGCACCAGTTACAGAGTCTGACTGGTGAGAGCAGTTTATGGTTGCGGCGTTTTCAGCTGAAATCCTGCCCGTGCGCGTTCACGTTTATCTTTAAAGGAACAGTTTGACATCTTTAGAAATGTACACGTTTTTATCGTTTATCGTGTGGATCAAACAAACGAGACACAACGTGTTAATGAGGGAACTTTACAGAAGCTGGTGTGAGTGGATTTTGTTATCTGTGGGTAGAGCCTGGCTAGCAGGCTAGCTCCCCTTTATCTTCTTTGTGCTAAGCTAATCACCTCCTGGCGCCTCCTGCTCATCTAACCCTCAACAAGAAAGTGAACAAGCATATTCCCCAAAACTATTTCTTTATTATAAAACCTACACGTAGGTGCATGTAGGTTCCCATCGAACCATGCAACTTGTATCCTGTTTGAATTATCACCCAATAATTTTCAGTCAACTACATTCCAGCTCATTAACGTCACTTTTACACTTTTATGTTCAATACACATAATTTACCTCATTTTTGAGTTGTTGTTTGAATTATTTTGACTGTAGTTTCAATCAGAGGGATGTGTTGATAATTTAGTCAGGATACTGTTTTGAGACCATGTCAATAGTGTGACCTAGTGTCACACTGTAGTGGAGCGAAGACCACAGACGGTATACGTTTGAATAAAAACACCCAAAATTCAATGAAAATAGTGATTTTTAATTAAATTTGCAAAAAGTGCAGTAAGGAACGATCCATGTTATTTTCAGACAATTACGAGACAGAAAACCAGATTTCTGATATAAAAACTTTTGACCGGAGAACAACAGGAGGGTTAAATACTAACACGTTGGCCGTGGTTGAAGACACACTGAACACACTCTTTTCTAATATTAAACTCTATTGTATTCAAGAAAAGCTCCTGTGAGATTAGTTTGTATTAAGAGAAAATTAAACATGGAAGTTTGGTTGATTTGGTTTGAAGTATTTAACGGTTTTATAGTCTGTATTCCTCAGTGTGAGGTATCTGAAAATGAGCGGTTTTGGTATCAGCACAGATACCCAGGTATCGTATCGGCGTTAGGATAATACACCACTTGAAAACACCAGTAACGTCTAATTTTGTCACTTAATAATAATAATAATAATTAATAATAAGGTTTAGTACAGGAACACTGTTGACACTTCGGGAGATGTTTGTATGTCGCAGTAAAGAAATAGGTCCTGGGTGTGTTTAGCCTAGCTTAGCACAAAGGCTGAAAGCAGGGCTAAAACAGTTAGCCTGCATCAAACGTTTAAACCCCAACATCTTATTTTCTATTTCTTCACAAGTTAAATACTTAAATACAAAATGTAAATAGAATAAAATAGAAATAGAATAGAAAGTCTCATATTGTCATTGTAATGTACTTGTACAAAGTGCTACTCCTGGATTTGCTAAAAACAATTAAAAGATATGGCTTCACACACATGAACAAAATCCTAATATAAATAGATAAATAGATGATAAACAAGTGTTTCCCTGTGTGTTTGACATTTGTCTGCACATCCAGCAACAATGAAGTGGAACAACTTCACAAACACAACTCAGATGTTTTGTCACAACGTATTGATTTGCACTTTAAACCATCAGATATAAATATCAATTCAACCGTGCTAAATAATCACTATACGAGGTCAAAATGACAGGAAGCCTTCTGTCTCACTTTCTCCAGATGTTTGTGTCCATGACAAACATCAGTGGTGTCGTGTTTCAAAATAAAATGCAAGAGTTCATTATATGGTTTATATTTAAAATCTTAAGCTGCAAAGTAACTTTAGCTAAGTACACTTTAAGTACAAGATTTCCCTCTGACATGTGAGGGAGTAGAAATGTAAAATAGAATAAAATGGAAATAGTCAGTGCATTAAAACGGTACCACACTACTACACAGTGGTGTAACGGTCCAATACGATACAGCAGACATATTCATACAAGTGCATTTGAATATAGAGCAATAGATATTTGTCTGACCTCCAATAAACCTGTGTGAAGTTGCTTTACCGTAACTGATCAAGCCGATGCTGTTTCAAAAGTCAATCAACAGAATTATTGATAACTGATGAATTGTTTAATTTGACTATTCGGTTGACTGGAAAAGAAAAAAGCAGTCTGAGGTCATCACATTCTGGGGAAGTGTGATGGATGTTTTCCACCATTTTCTGACATTTGAAACTATTAGATTGATCTTTAGATAAATAATCTTTAGTTGCAGATCAATAAAGAGTTTGAGAGTGCTGTGGTGACAGTGAAGTGTCAGCTGGAATATTTACTGAAAGAAACCAGAGCAATGGCCCGAAGCAGCAAAGCAGGTCTTACCAGTGAAAGCAGAGAGGGAGGCAGGGGAGAAGGCACTGTGGGCCCTGGTCAGTCTGGGCTGGTTGTGACTGCAGGACAGACATCAAAACAGAGAGAAGAAGAAGAAGAAGAAGATGTGAGGAGAGTTAGAGTGCAGAGAAGAAGAAGTATTAGCAGCTGCAGAGGTGGAGAAAATGAGCTTTTCAGTATGAGTGTCTGTGTCTGCAGGTCCTGCAGCTTTCCCTTTTACTTTTTCTGTTTGATGCTCTCAGCTCTGGCAGTCAATACGTTTGAAGCAATGTTTTTTTAATCATAGCCTTCCCTCGGCGTGCTGCTGTGAATAATGACTAAGCAGTGAGGAGGATAGAAGGTGACAAGCCACAAAGGTTTGAAAAATCTCTGCGACTGATAACATGCAGCAGTGAAAAAGTTCCTGGACGTCTGAGAGAGAAGGCCGACAAGGTGCCAGCTGACGGAGTCAATCCCAGCCATTAGAAAACAATGACTGACGCGTCTGTAAAGAATGGATTGTCTGTGGCACAGTGACAGTCACTTGGAAAGAAATCAACATGACTGTGAATGAGACCTCATCAGGACACAAAACAGTGACTGGATTCACAATGTGCTGCTTCTGAATGGTTTTTTTTGCAGCCACTTCATGTCACAGACTTTTAAGTTTTTGGAAGATGGATCTTTTCTGTTTTTCTTGCTTAAACGTCCTGACCTACATCTAGAAAATCTCAACTTTGGCTTTATTCACAACTTCGAAACATGTGTTGGAGTCCAATCAATTAAAAACAGAAACTAAACAGACAGGCTGTGTGTTGAGAAAGTGATGAAGGGGCTGTTCCACATTGAAGAGCTATACTCTGCTCAGTGATGTATTAACAGCCTTGAATTCTCCCTGGGACCATTTTCATGTGTCATTCATGTAAAATTACTTTAATGTCCTTTCAGTGACAATGAGAAATGAGAATATCATTATTATTATTATTATTATTATTATTATTATTATTATTATTATTATTATTATTATTATTATTATTATTATTATTATTATTATTATTATTATTATTATTATTATTATTATTATTATTATTATTATTATTATTATTATTATTATTATTATGAGGGCCGTGTGTGGCTGCTCACCTGTCTGCGTCCTGCTCAGCACCAGCAGCGCTCGCCATGTCCACCAGACTCCCGCCAGAAGACACTGAGTAGGTCACTGAGGGCCTCTTGTCCAGCAGGTGATTGGAGCCGCTGCAGCTTTTAGTCCGGAACAGTTTACTCAGGCGGATCTTTAACGAGCCCTTTTTGGACTTCCCCGGAACTTTGAGCGTCTTTTCCGCACCTGCCGCCCGGCCTGTGGGAGTCCGCGGCGCGCTGGCGCACCGCTCCGGCCGCCTCCTGGGTGTCGACGCCAGGCTCGGATTCGGGCTCGTGGCCCAGGGCGAGTTCTGGACCGGTGTGGGTGACGGTGACATGGCGGGAACCTGGGCGACAACCTCTGAGTCCCCAGGGCTTACCTGCGACAGCCGGCTGGCTGAGCTCCCGTGGAGGCTGCACACCTGCGCGCCAAGATGCGCCGCTGCCGCTGCCTGTGTCGCCGCCGGGGACATCCCCTCCACCTGCCTCCTCAGCTCCGCCTGGAAGCTGCTGATGGAGAAAGCCCCAGACATTTTCTGAACTATTTCCCTTTTCCTGTTGAGTAAAAACTCACGGCGTCCGTTCTCATCATCAGTCTCATCCTCCGGGCACTCCTCCATGCCCAGGCCGGCAACATCCCCGCTCCCCAGCCCCTCCAGCACCAACAAAGCATCGCTGGTCTCTGTGGGGTCATCCCCGGGTTCTACTCCCCCTCCTACCGGCCCGTGTGCCCCCTGACACGAGCACTGCGGGAGCTCCCCTGCTTTGAACAGCATCTTGGGTACGGCACCGACCCCCAGCTCCCCGAACCGCCGGGCCAGCTCAAACACGGCTCCCTCTCTGTCCCTGGTGGCGCAGCCCCATTTAGAGTCAATCACGGTGAGAGGGTTGGATCTCTCTGACAACAAGGGCCACTCGGGCGGGGTAGTCATGAGTCGATGCCGGCGGCACAGCTCCGCAGCTCCTTGCATCTCCGCGGATACCGACACCGGGGGATGCGCTCCCCATGTCCGGTCCAGCAGGTTCTGCTGCTGCTGAACGTCTCCGGGACTCAGGGTGTTGTTATTGACAATCGGGCCGGAGCAGCCAGACCCCGGGCTCTGGTCCAAACCCAGGGCATCCCTCGGCTGATTCCGACGGTCTAATTCTAAAATCCCTTCTCCGTTCCGCATTATATTGGAGAAGACCAGCAGCTGAGGCCGTAGGCCAGGGCTGGGAGCGAAGTCAAAGCCCTGGGCCTCCATGGGGCTCTGCGGCGGAGGAGGCGCGGACAGCGGGGCTCGGCTCTCCGTCACCCCGGTGTCAGGTGCAGCCGTGCCCTCGCCGCTCGGCTGGGCTTTGTTCAGGCGGCTGCTGGGATGCTCGAGGCCCGCCGTCGGATCTCGGCTTATATCCAACCCCGCTTTGACGCCGCTGTGAGCCAGGACCTCCTTCCCCAGCCCTGCCACCACTCCTCCCGGCGGCAGATTCCCGTTTTCTGCGTCCAAGCGGTCATCCTCGGCCGCGGAAACCAGGCGCATCAACACGAAATCGGGCGACATATCTTGCGCGTTGTTCATAATTATTCCTCAGGATCGCGAGATGAGAATTATTAGGCGATCTGCTCTTCACATAGCTAACCGCGGAGATCTCTTCCCTATAATAAAGAAAGGGCCAAGCCGCTGCTGCCTCCCATAAACAGGCTCTGAGCGAAAATGCCAAAAAATATATCAGGCGATTTTTTCATCCTCCTCCCTTACGACAGGACAGCATCCATCTGTCAGATATAGAGGGAGATGAGTGCAGTTTGCTCCCGGCAGCAGGCGGACCCCTGGGTCAGACATGCGGTCTGATCTGAGTAGAATAAAAGCCAGTAGAGTCTCCGGTCAGTGACCACAGTCTGCCTCTGTGTTCCCAGCCAGGCCCCACCCGCTCCTCCTCCGCGCAGCCCATAATACCACTTCATGAGCACGGATGATGAGAACTAGTGTAAATTAGTCTGTGGCATTTTAATATCACAGGGGTTACCTGATTCAGCTTCACATCTGAACACCTGGTTTCTGTTTTCAGTCCTTATGAGGGGACAATGGTAAAAAACTAAACATAAAATAAGAAAAACACCCAAAGCAAAACACTGTTATCTTCTTTCAGTATTGGTCTATTCATTCATAAATCAATGGCCAGTCATGTTTCTGTGGTACTCCACTGCAGCACTACCTTTTATTGATTCACTTTATTTTTTATTTGCTATATTAATGTATTTATTTATCCTCATCCCCATATGTTTTTTACAGTATGATGTAGGGGAGCAATTTTACATTTAAAAACAAAGTGGAAAGTGAAAAATCTTAAAGACCATAACTCTTTTGCAATTCAAAGATGCATTGAAATATGAAAACACTGATTTCACTCAACGTTTTCATAGAAATTTAATGTGGGATCTGTTGTAACATGTGCATCTATTAATAATAATCGTCTATATTTACATAGCATTTTTGAAAAATAAGTTTACAACGTGCTTAATGGACAAAACAACAAGAAAATGAACAATTAAAAGAAAAATATGTAAATAAAACCAATTAATAAATGAACAAACCAGACCAGCTAAATTATAAGTCAGTGTAAAACTAATTAAAAGACAGGCAACAACAAAGAGTGGAGAGAGAGAGAAGGACAAGGCCTATCTGTGCCTTAAAAACATAAAGTTTAAAATCAATTCTGAAGGCCACAGCAGGTAGCCAGTTCAAGGAGGCCAAAACAGGAGAAATATAATCATATTTTCTAATTCTTGTAAAAATCCTGCGGCAGTATTTTGTACAAGCTGAAGCCGTTCAGTTAATTTCTGGGGCAGGAGGAAGTATAATAGTCAGAATGGCTGTAAACGAAGGCACGAATAAGGGTTTTTGTGTCCTGAAATGGAAGAAAGGTTCCAATCCTATAGCAGAAATCAGTAGAAAAGTTTAGGTGATACTCAAGAATCACCTTTAGTTTATAACCTCTTGTGCACAGTGCAAGTCCAAGGGAACTATGTGCTTTCAGGCCAAAGACCATCACTTTCGGTTTTCAAAACAACGTTACTAGCCATCAAGGATCTTATATGTTCCAGGCAGGTGGTTAGTGATGTGACAGAGGAGAGACCTGCTGGATTTATGCACAGATATAACTGAGTATTGGAAACAATAGAGGGTCAATAATAGACCCCAGGGGGATCCCTCAGGTAATCACTGCACTGGCAGATAAGGCGTCCTCTATGGACAAATAGAAAGTTCTGAATCATAAGATCTGAACCACTGAAGAGCAGAACGTGACATATTAAAAGTGAACTTCATAGTTTTTACATAAGACAATCAGTTGACTCATGATGAAAAGTAACGCTCGGCCTGTGAAAACAGTTGTAATATGATCTCTGTGTCTCTGCAGGGAGCTTCTCTCAGGTCTGAGAATATAACCCTTATGATTGGGTCCTCCAGTGTAAATATCAACATTATCATTGTTTGTTGCTTCCCTCCAAAACGATCCATATTGGCATTTTTTGATCTGACACCCTATCGGCAGGATATAGGCCCAAATAAGCTTATAACTAAACTTTGCCAGTTAGCACAAAGATTACTTGGTTAGCTTAGAAAAAGATCATGATTTGGGTTAATCACTACTTGGTTAAGGTAAGTAGGCTAACCTTTCTCATCATGGTTAAAATAAAAATGACTTGGTTAGAGGTTCTGTAAACGCTCCTCACTGCCACTAGATGTTGCACTAGATCTCCAACATCTCCCTTCACATCCTCAGTCACCAAGGTGTTAGCAGGTCCAGTGAAAGCGGCCACCAAACACACAGCAAGGAGCACAACTGAATAAAGTTAACAAAAACAACAAAGCCACAACCATTAGCACACGCTAGCATTGCCGTCATCTGCTGCATGGCGATGCTAGCAGTTAGCTAGCTGGCGATAGCAACAAATTTGGTGAACAAATTCGTAATAAGGCTAACAGCAAGTTAGCTAACATCATTGCAGCTTCTGTAGCCAGTCACTAATTAAAACAGCTGTAACATTGTGTAGCTATTAGGTTACTTACATGGAGGAGAAGTGAAGCTGGAGCCTTTAGCCGCTCTCCACCTCAGTGAGACTGTCATCTGCCGCATGGATGACACTGTCGGAGCCGGTAATAACAGTAATGTAGCTGGTGAACAGAACGACTGAGATTTGAGCTTTGAGCTCCCCGTGGCCAGTCCACCTGTGATCTGATCTTATCTCTTTCTCTGTCGGAGGCCAAAGAAAAGAGGTTTCTTCAGTGGAGGAAGTCCTGGAGGATGACTTTCACCTGGAGGCTGCACTGTGCCCTCCTACCTGTGGGCGGTCCCCGTGTTTTCTATAAATGTGATGAATACCAGCCGAGTTTAAAAGGAGGTACTCATATTCACTAACACAAACAGATACCAAAACAAACAGAGAAGCTCAGAGTACAACACACACGGAACGCCATTACTCCACTACATCTTTACAGAGAAAATACTTGTTTGCTTCTACATTATTTTATAAAATCTTAGTCATGGGTAAAATAAAAGTTAACTGTTGGTTTGCTGGAAACACACAGTCGTCTCTCACGTCAATGTCTGACACTTCAATCCATCCCTTCCACCCCAACTTCCTCCCCATGAGACTCATGCTACATATCATAGGAACGCGAGTCTGTTTTTAAAGTATACATTTAAAAATTATCATATTTATAATAATAATAAAGTCTATTTATATGGTACTTCAAAATCAGCTGTTATAAGGTGCATTTATAAGATAAATAGAGTGAAACTGTGAAATTTAAATTTAAAAAAGGGCCAATAAAATACCAGTATACATACACAAACACATTTCCCCACTATGGGACTAATAAAAGACTGATCCCACATATGAAAATCTGGCTCATGACCAAGGGAAAACACTAATCCAGGTGCATCTAATAACATTAATTACTACCTCGTGTTACAGTAATCACTGGATCCGAGTGCTCATTAATGTCATTAGTTCCACCTGTGTTTTTCCTGCTATTACAAGTCAAAATATCAGCTATAAAAAAAAAATAGTCTGTAAATCTGATTCATTTCATGCTCATCAAGTCAACACGTCAGTCAAAACCAAAGATCACTGGAGCTGACTGTTAGTAAAGCAGGAGAATCTCAACACAACAGAAACTAATGAGAAAAATTCTAAATGAAAGTCACATTGGCTCCTTTCGTTACAAGTTTCTCGTCACCACTTGGTAAAATTCAAACCATGTACAACAACTATTTGACACCAGCTCCTTTAAGTTGCTCAGAACTGTTTTATAGCTCACAGCTGATGAAGTGTTGTGAATGATGATGATGATGATGATGATGATGAGTGCAGAAGAACAGGTTTATTAACTCCTCCATCAGACGACTGTCACTTCTTCATTTGTTTATTCTTGGCTTCAATCCATCTGATTTACATGGGTCCTTTAACTTTAACGTCGAAGAAAACTGATGTTATTTCACGGAGTTTTCTATCTTTTATTTTTAAATTGTGATGTGTGTGTGTTTTGGATTGTATTGCTTAGTTTTTTTATGTTAAATGTCTTGTGCTTCTTTATGTTTCTTTGTCCTAAAATAAGTGTTTTTCACTTTAACATGTTATCCCTTGGAGTTTTGTTTGTGTCTGATAATCTGAAAGTAAAATTAAACAATCAATTCAAAACTCACAGCGCAGCACAGATGAACCACATTAGTCTGTGGCCTGAACAATAGAGTTTAGAGACAGAAACAAACACCCAGCTCACTTTCCAAAACAGTGAAATATACAGTAATAAAATCTAAATCAGATCACACTGGTCCGCCCTGCTCCTGCTGATTTCAAATGTGTATAAAACTTACTACACAGGGTGAGCGCAGTGTTACAGGGTGACTGAACATGGAGGCTGCTCACCTGACTCATCCTGGCTGTGATCGGTGATCACACACATCAAAGCGTGTTCAGGAGGAGAGAAGACGGGAATAAGACTGAGTGAAATAAAAGACAATTTAGGTAGAATGAGAGATAAGCAGAGAATCACAGTGTTAGAAAAAAAATCATCAAATATATATATATACATATATACATAAAATAAACCAGTGGAAAAGTACAACAAGGAAACAGAAAGAATGGAATATTCACATAGAATAAATAGGAAGTAAATAAAATGAAATACAGTAGAGAGAGAAGAGAACCGACAGTTCATAACAATACAGTGCAAAAAGAGACTGAAATAAAATACAAAGAATTAGAATATAATACAATATCAGTATCAGTTGACTTTGTTCAATCTGTACAACGGATACTGCAAAAAAAAACTCTGAACAACACAATAAACAACAGGGCAAGAAAGTTGAATTTGTGTTTCAGCAGGGGAGGAGAAGAAAAGAAAACCAGCACAGATATTTTTATTATTTTTGTCTGTAAGCAGCGTGTTTGAGTCATGTCGTCCATGTGTGTCAAGATTTATTTACCGTCTGTTTCCATTGCACTTTGTCACATTTTGCTTTTTGTCTGTTTGACGGTCACCTGTCAGCTGAGCGGCCTCGAGCAGCAGCTCAGTGAAAGAACAACGTCCACACCCAGCGACAGTCTGAACCATCAGCAACACTGAGCAGCAGCGCTGTAATGACGCTGTGTGACGGGCAGATGGCGCTGCAGGCCATCCAGCAGTGATGGATGAAGCTGCTGCTGAATGGGAGAGAGGATGAAGGGCCATTAATCCTTACAGTGTGTGTGTGTGTGTGTGTGTGTGTGTGTGTGTGTGTGTTTACATGTGAGCCACAGAGATGACAGCGGTGTTTGTTCATATCTGAGGTTTACGTGAAGTAATCAAACTAACAACCTGCCCTGCAGAGCTGAATATTGATGTGAGGTCAGAGGTCAGCAGCATTAATATTACACAACTGTTTCATTGTTTGGTGTTGTATGTTTTGTTTGTGTTGTCTTGCCACAGGCGTCTAATCGAATCCTCTCATCTCTCATTTTGTTTGTCTGGTTTTACTTAAATATAATATGAATAATAAATAATATTTGTATCTGTGTGGGATCCGATCAAAACATCACAGACACAAGGATGAACAACAGAGTATTTATCCCCTCTGTGCCTGTGTGCAGAGTCTATAGTGATGGCAGACTCAGTCACTGAGCACAGATTGTGGTTCTGGACCAAACCTGGCAACCTCACTGTGAATACAAGACGTCAGGAAGCTGCACACAGTCATCTGCCTGGTGATCGCCAAGAAAGAGTTCAGGCTCGTAATTCTGCATAAAAAATACAAATTGTTTCTGTACAGATGAAACAATTTGTTACTTAGTGAATTCATATGTACTGGAAATTAAAGCTCCTCCAGTGTAAAGGTCTCTGTCCATGTGTAGTGTGATTATAGATCAGGTCTAGCTTCTATATTAATACTGTGAAAGTATCAAAGCCTCAGTCCACAGAGAAATGCACACAGCCTGTATTCAGAAACTGAGCCTTAAAACCAGCCGTCAGGACTTCTGGAACTTTGTGATGTCACAACAAAGCAGTCACCAAGCCCCGCCCACCTGGACCCACCATCCAAACCTTGCAGGATTTGGTTTCTCTGAGTGTTTTTACCTGAAATCTGCTGTGTTTTTATTGGATCACTCAGAAAACAGTCAGCCAATCAGAAGAGAGGCTCAGAGCCTCTCAAGGGGGGGTGTAGCTCATTTTCACCCTGAGGTCGTCTATTAGATTGATCCAGACATTATCAGATATTAGAAAGTAGACACAAAATAAAGAGGTCAAAGGTTAAAGTTGGTGTTTCCTGACAACATGATGGTAAGAACAAGAATAAAGGTTCATCTGTGATGAGTTTCTTTATGAATGAAGATAAAAAAAACCCAACAAGCTTGAGTTCTGGTCGAGCCTTTTTCGTGTCAGATTTTGGTGACGTTTTAGTTTTAGTGAAGAACAACAAAGTAGAGAAACACAGTGAGACTGAAGGAGCAGCACGTGACTCATGTCGTGTTTAACTGACGGCATCCATCACAGCTACATGAGAAGAGACAGGAAGATGATTAGACTGCAACACAACATGCATGCACGGGTGACACACACACACACACACACACACACACACACACACACACACACTGTGCCTTATTGTCTCCCTCAGGCTCGACTGCAGCACCTTTGCTGCTCTGCAGTGAAGTCCCAGGGTGGGAGGTGGGAGTGGTGTTTGAGTACATGTTTGTGTGTGTGTGTGTGTGTGTGTGTGTGTGTGTGTGTGTGTGTGTGGAGGGTGGAGTGGTGGGGGTGATTCTCAGAAACCTGTTGCCATGGCCACCAAAACAAGGATTCTTGCCTGCATCACTCCTCCCAGCGAGTGAGCTTCCTCTCTCTCTTTCTTCCCTTTTTTTTTCTGCTCACGCTTCTCATGCAGCATCTCTCCCTCATCCAGACCTTGCTGCACACACACACACACACACACATACACACACACACACATACAAGTGGGGAATTCCCTGACATTGCAAAAATGAGAAACAATGAGAAAATTCATATCTCTTTTTGTTGTTTTCTGTCTGTAATCTGCATACATCAACTCTGTGCATTTATAATATCATCCAGTGTGTGTGTGTGTGTGTGTGTGTGTGTGTGTGTGTGTGTGTGTGTGCGTGCGTGTGTGCGTATGTGCAGTTAAAGAGCATCCTCATCTCCATCCACTCTAGGAGGGGTTAATCCATCCATCCATCCAGCAGGGGGATTCTTGATTCTTGATGGAAGCCAAAATGCAGCAGAGCTTAACCCTCATCTCTGACTGACTGCATCATCCTCACACACGCACACACACACACACACGCACACACACACACCAGATGTACCACTCTCATCACCTTTCAGCGTTGGTGAGCGTCCCTGTCGATACGCAGGAGGGAGGCACAGGGTGAATGAAGGGATGAAGGGAAGGGAGGGGAGGAGGAGGGAGTGATGGGAGAGAGGGGATGGTGCGGGCTGGGGTGGGAGCGGGGGGAGTGGTGAGGGGAGGGAGGATGTTGGAGCATCACAAGCCTCCGTCAGATGGGCTGAAGCTCTTTGGAGCAACAGATATCTGAGCGGGAGACAGGAGAAGAAGAAGAAGGAGAGAGGGGATAAAGAAAGAAAGAAAGAAAGGGAGGAAATCTGCTCTTCTCTCTTCATCCCTCCATCTCCACAACACGCCGCTCACCTCCCACCTCCTCCCACCAGACACGGGGATCCCCCAACTTTGAGGCTTTTCCCTCCTCTTCTTCCTCCTCCTCCCCCTCCTCCCTCTTGCGCACGCTGCGTTTATTTTGCCCCGGAGGTTGGCGCGCGCGGCTTCGCGACTTCAAACCACGACAGCGGAGAGTGAGCGGCACCGCGGGCTGGAGACCCCGGACTGACCGCAGAGATGCGGGGACTGCTCCCCTTGTCAGCCGCCTCTTCCCACCACCCCCGCCGGGGACACGCAGCTTTGACGAGATTCACTTGCGACTGGGTGCGTGAACGCAGGAGAGCGCGTGCATGTGCCAGTGCGGCGCACAGATGGAGCTGTGCGCTCCGAGTGTGAGCGCGAGCGCCGCAGACCGAGTGGCCGCGCTCCTCCCGGCCCCCCGCCGCCCCCACCTCCACCCCTACCACCACCACCACCACCACCACCACCACCGCCGCTGCAGCGCCTCCCTGATGTGAAGAAGAAGAAACCTCCGCGGAAAGTCCAGACCCCCGCCACCATGTGACGATTCTGTCTCCTCAAGGGAATCACAGAGGGGTCAAGAGCCGAGAAGAGACGGTGTTGTGGGTGTATGACCCCCGCCCCCCCCTCCCCTCCCCCTCCTCCTCCTCAGAGTGAATCCAGGATGGGTCCTGTTTGGCTTCTTCTTCTGCTCCCCCCTCTCCTCAGAGCCCAGGTGACTCCAGACTTCACCTCAGGAGTCCTGGTGGAGGCAGACAACACCACTGACTCTTTAATCAACAGCACAGGAACTTCAGACACCTCCACCCTCCCCTCCACCTCTCTCACACCCCCACCGCCTTCTGGGTTTGCAGCCACACCTTCAGAAGCTCCCACAGAGCAGGAGGATGACTGGTCACCAGCCGAGACCTTCATGTACACCGGAGACCCTTCCACTCTGGAGGAGGCTCGCTGCTCACGGGCGTACAGCTCACCGGGGCAGACCGGGTCCCTGCCCCCCAGCTTCAACGCCCCCCTCCGTCCGGCTCTGGACGCACTTGCCAGCACTGCCAACTTCCTCAACATGATCTTCCAGGCCAGCGACCTGCGGGAGAGCACGGTGCAGGAGGACATGGAGTGGTACCACGCCCTGGTCCGTGCCCTCCTGGAGGCCAACATTCTCATCCAGCGGGCCCTGCTCACCTTCGACGCTGACCCCACCGCCTCAGTGCCACAGCTGGTGCTCCGCGCCACCCGCAACCCCGCGGCCAAGGTGCAGACCATCATCCTTCAGGACTTATCCAAGGCCTGGGAGAGCCTGCACCCGCCTGCCCCGGCCCCCGACGACAGCTGGTTCACAAGCTTTAAATTCCCAGAGTCCAACCAGCCGGTGGCAGCCCTGTCCAAGCGGGTGCTCCTCAATGACCTCAGCACCTTGGACACGCCCAAGTGGGGGCAGGGTGACAGTTACGTGACCAATCGCAGCGGGGTGCGCTGGGGCAGCGCCCCCTTTCTGGACTGTAAGGACGGACGCTTTGTGCCAGGATGGATCCTCACGCTGTCCACGTCTTTCTACGGCCTCAAGCCCGACCTGACACCTGAGTTCAGGTTAGGGCACACACACACACACACACACACACACACACACACACACACACACAAACGCTCACATACAGGATGAGCCATTACAAATACTTTAAGACACCGATACACAGACCGTTACAACAAAGACACAAACACAACCAAGCTGTCTCATGCTGATGATGTCACTTATTTTACACAGGTGTATTGTTGTAATTGGTGACTCCAAGATATGACCAATATCTGCACGTTATCAGTTATTGGCGCTGATCAATATCAACAAGCTCAACCAACAACATCGTCCACTGGCAGACTGGCTATCAGCCTGTGAGACATTTTCTTAAAGCTCCGACATGTTTACTATTTATTTTTAAATCTGGCTTGCATATTAATCGCCCCCCCTCCCCCCCCAACACACACTCTTTTATTTTAGAGCAATTGTTTAATCTTCTAGCAGATTTCAGCAAAACTGGAGCATTCAGTTTGGCTTTTTATTTTACGTGAATGTTTCCTGCCAGCTGGAAGGAGAACGCTGAAATTCTCCAAGAATGAAATAAAGCAGCTTCACTCGACTAAATATGCAGAGCAGTACGTTAGATAGAGGAGAGGACGAGCCCAGTGGCTCATCTCCATTTAGTCTCTGCTGTTCAAGTGTCAAGTCATGTGTAGAACGAGACATCACAGACGTGTAAACGATGACTTGTCTGGTAGACGTGTGCGAGGACCTGATCCATCACATGTTGAAGATGTTATTGTAGGTAGACAGACGCGGTTAATGAAACATCTCTGATCTGATCTTTGCTGATAAAACTTGGCTGAAAACTGGACTTGTGTCGTGATTCTAAACAGAGAACTTTTAAACTTAACAGAAATCTTTACATGGAAGAGTTTCAGGAAAATGTTACAAGAACATAAATGCATGAAACGCTGCAGGTGGTGCGCTGCTGTCTGGACCGACTGTCTGCTGTGAGCCGTTTCTGCAGCTCTGTTGTTTCTCAAACTCATCTTTAAATATATCAAAATAACTTCTTGTATTATTTTTCATTCAGCTCCTGAACTTATGGCAAGGTCTTTGACTATGACATCAGAGCTCACCTGTCCAGGTGTCTCTGTTTTTCAGGCTGCTGCTAACGGGATTTTCAGAATAAAATGAAGCCTGACATAAACAAACAAATCTGTTGGACCAGCTGTGCTTAATTTACTTTATAAACAACGTTCATGTCTTAATTATCCACATGCTGCAAGAACTCTGCTCTCGATCCACTCATTAAAATGGTGAGGGAGGCAATAAATAGTAAATATTTCTCCAGCTAATTTCAAAGGAGATCAATGTTTGGATTGATTACAGAACTTTCTTATTAGCTGAGCTCAGCTGTTACTTAGTTAAGTTCTTCTTTAACAAAGGACCTCGTGTCTTTATTTGCTTTAGGAGGAGTTTTTGTTTCACAATTTATCGAATACTTAACCACTGAATTTAAATCAATATCAGCTGATGCTCATTTTGTCCAGTGTCCAGTCAATTCTGTGACATTTGAGACTATACTATAAAACTAAACTATAAATACTGACCCTTTCAGATTCACCATCGCTCATCACCAGCTCCAGTATCCCCCATATCCCAATATTTCATTGATAACCAACATTTGGCAGGAAACACACAAATCTCACAGTCCTCCGACCTAAACAACCACATGGGTCGTTTCCTCAACCCTCTGATACGACCCATGGGAGTGTCTCCTGAAACACCTACCCTACCAGGCATCGGTTGTCATGGTTACCGTAATAAACACACCGAGCGGTGTACCCAACGTTGCCGTGGTTACTATAATAACGGTCATGGCTTGGTTAGGTTCAGGCATTAAAACTACTTGGTTAGGGGTTAGGAAAAGATCATGATTTGGGATAAAATAAGTACTTCCTCAATATCAGACGATCTTTGTTGTCATGGTTACAATAATAACAACGAATGGTCATGGCTAATAGGAAACGATATAAACCACTGGTTTCACATGGGAAGCGAACACTCATCTCCTGTGTCATATTCCCGTTTTTTGTTGACCCATCCATCCACCCCAACCTAAACTACGTCACTCCACTTTTCCCTTAGTTAAAATGGTATGAGCGTTTGAGATGGGTAAATATATTGGTCAGGACAATTCAGCAACACCTTCACATTGGGGCGTAGATTTGGATATGGACTGTCAATAAATAAAACCTTTTGTTTTCAAAGTACCTGAAAAGGATAAAGGCTTTGAAACGTACAGCAGCAGTATTTGTATTTCACCTGCCTCTCTAGTTCTGTGTTGGCCTCTGTGACCTTTCCTCCAGCACTCTGCAGAAACGTTTGATAAGCGTTCGGGATAAAAGGTGTTTTTGAATCAACAGACTTGGATAAAATCTGACATTTGCAAAAGGAATCCACTTAAAGGCCACACAGAGGAAATGTGGAGCTGCAGGAGAAAAACAGATTATTGTAATGAGTCTGATGATATTCTGAACCACTCTTGTTTGTTTACTCTGACACTCACCTGTCTCTTGTGTGTGTCTTTGTCTTTCTGCATCAGAGGTGTGATCCGTGTGGACGTCAACATTCAAGACATCGACTTAAACCAGTGTACAACAGGAGACAGCTGGTTTGCTGATACACATCAATGCAACCGCACCACCATGGAGGTAAACACAACGATACAAGGACCTGGTTCTTATGAGCTGAAACAGAGCAGAGAAATGTACTCTTATGTAGTTTTGAATTCTGTTCATTTAGCACCAAACTGCTCATTAACCAACCCTTTCTAACAAAAGTCACTAATGCCTGGTTTCCTACTTCTATCAAGGAGGTTATATTTCAGTTGTTGTTTGGTATTGTATTTAAAAATCTATTCATGGTTCAGTAAGCTGGCTAAAGAATAGATAATAGGGTAGCTTGACGGATCAATAGTTAGCTTAAAGTAAAACAGTTAACTGAAAATAAAGGATGAATTGTTTAGTAAGCTAGCTAAACAATAGGTAGGCTAAATGGTTAGCTAAAGTAACAGATCAATAGTTAGTTTAAAGTAACTATAAACAGTTAAAAAAGTTAGCTAAAAATACAGGATGAATTGATTAGTAAGCTAGCTAAACAATATGTAGGCTAAATGGTTAGCTATTAAATGGATCAATAGTTAGCTTAGAATAAATGATAAACAGTTGAAATAGTTAGCTAAAAATAAAGGATGAATTGTTTCGTAAGCTAGCTAAACAATAGGTAGGCTAAATGGTTAGCTTATAAACGGATCAACAGTTAGCTTAATGTGATGAATAGACAGTTAAAATAGATAAAAGTACTGGATAAACAGTGAAAAACCTAAACATTTTGATTAAATGATTGAGACAGTCGGATAAAAGTAAAGGATAAATGGGGAAATAGCTAACAATAAGGGATAAGTAGTAATTATAAATGGTTAATAGATAGCTAAAATTAATGGATAAGAAGAAGAATATGAACTGTTGAAAAAGTTTGCTAAAGCTAATACAGTGAAATAAGTAGTAGTGTCGGTGCAGGAGTACTTGAGCTCCTCTTGTGGTCTACCTGACAAAATGGTTGGGAACCACTGGTCTGAACTGAGACAGTTACATCACGCAAATACACTCTGTCTAAACTGTTTGCGACCTCTCAAAATGGTTTAAACCCTCTCTGTCTGTACTCATTACTCTCTTTTTGCCTTTTTATCCTTTCACCCATTCCCACTTCCACTGTTCTGTCTGCTCCCCCCCACCACCACCACCACCACCACCAGTCTTTATGTTTCAGTCTCCCTTTTCCCTGCCGGCCCGTCTGTCCAGACCCAATCCCCTACCTCTCATCTCAGCCGTCTATTTAAGGATGGCTGTGCTGGGTGGCGGGCTGCGGGATGATCTGATGGATTATGGTGATAATCCAGCCCGTTGACATACTTCCCCTTTATGCGCCGCACTCACAGAGGTCTGAAACACAAGAGAAGAATGGTCCCAAAAAATCCCCAAATCCACATGGCACCTTTTGTCCTGTCCTTCCTGTCCTACCTTGGCTTAGAGGATTCAAACCCTTTGGCTGAGAAGAGCATGTAGTGGGTCACCCACTTTCTTCTGTCCTGGCTCAAGTGTCCTGGTTGTGGTCTTCTACTCTCTCATTTTTTTTTAACATGTCTAGTCTCTTATTACCTTGTCATGTATCGTCCCATGTCATGTAGTCTTGCTTTGTCCATTCATACCGTATCACTTCCTGTTCTGTTCCGTCTTCTCTTATATCTCATCATCTCGTCTTGCCTCGCTTCATCTCATGGTTTGCCCTCCCCTGTCCTGCGTTGACTTGTCTTATTTGACTTTGTCCTGCCCTGTCATGTTTTCTCACCCATCTTGTCTTGTCATGTCCTTCCTTGCTTCCTCTTGTCTTGTCATTTCATCTTCAGTCATTTCCTGTAACCTATACGTCCTTCTTGTCTCATCATTTGTCTCCTCTCATTGCCTCATGTTGTCTCATTTTGTCATGTGTCATTTCCTCTTGCTGTGTCCTGTCTTGCAGTGCGCTGTCTTATGTCTCACCCTGCATTCATGTGGTGTTGGAAAATTAGAAAAATCAGTTTCCGACTGGTAAAATTCACGTAAAACTTTTGGACCAACAAGCCGGAAATTTGGCGAAACTTTTTGGTGCACAACTTGCCGAGTTGTTTACGTTTTATATGCAGAAACATGGCGGACAGAAGTAAATGTTTGGTTGATGGTGAGAAACTTGCTAACATTAAATTTGTAATATGGTATTTAGTTGTAACTGTTAGTTAGAAAAGTTATTTATTAGCATCAACCCTGTAAAACAATTCCTGGAAACGGCAACAAACGTGTTGTTTTAACGCTCTGATCAATGAAATACAGCACATCTTTGTAGCATCCATGTTGTTTCCACCCTCTGACTTAAAGCACATGGACAAACCGAAGTTGGAAGAACGACTTTCCAACTCGGGACCAATCCGAGGAGCATGTGAATGCAGCATTATTTTACACTCTTGTCGTTTTCTCTTCCTTCATTTTCTGTTTTAATTTCCTTTTTGTTTCTGTCTAGTCCAACACTTTCACACTTAGAGCTCCTGAATAGAAAAAAACAGCCTTACACTGGTCATTGTTGATCAACTTTCTGTAGTGCAGTGAGATCTGTTTTCAATGTTTCTGCATGGACATACTTTCCTTGCTCACCATGCACGAGTGGAAAATTACCTCAGGCAGGTAGAATATATTAATAAGGAGGAATTTCCAGTGTTAGACATGTCAACGATGAGCAGGAGCACCTTAACATGAAATCCTACAGCAGTTAATCAGATACACTTTGATCCTCAGTGAAATTTTTGGTTCAGGTGATCTGTAATAATACATTTGGTCTATTGGGGCTTAATTTCCTGAATGCACTGAATGCACTAAAGTGTGACGACCCGCGGGTTCAACTTAAACATGACGGATGAGTGAATCCACTGATTTACTACGACTGCTGAATTGAGATGCAACCGTGAAGAGAATTAAGTTGAGCGCTGCGTATAATCCATATCACATTAATGTTCAGCCTGTGCCATTAGGTCTTTGAGCATCTGATAAGGGGGTTGTGAATCTGTATATACGTCTGTGAGGCCAGCGGTGTGTGTGTGTGTGTGTGTGTGTGTGTGTGTACATGGGAACAGGATTTCTCTAGAAAAGGATAATGCTCTCAGTAGAGGCATTATGTATCCATTTAGCTTTTAACTTAGATTAACACACAGAGCATCCCTGTGTGTATGTGTGTGTGTGTGTGTGTGTGTGTGTGTGTGTGTGTGTGTGTGTATCTGTCTCTCTGTCCCGACTGACTAAAGTGAGGCTAGCATCAGCAGGAAATAGAGTGAGAGAGTAATGTGACCCCGTTTTTAACCTTTATTCATTCAGCTACAGTTAGCTTCACAGCAGCAGCAGAAATGTGACACAGCTTCTCGTCCTCACAGTTCAACATCATCTGAACCTGCGACACACTTACTGTTGCCCTTGGTGTTGGTTTGCTAACCTTGTTTGGTTTTAATCTATTCATTTTTTATGTTTCAGATTTTTTTTCTGTTCATTTAAATGCCATTTAATTTTATATGTTTATACACAGACGGATTATGAATCAATGGGCCCCTGGACATAGACATATAAAAGGCCCCCTCCCCTCCCACATAGGAGCAAGATTCATTTTATGTCCGTTTGTGATCGTGTTGCATCTCTTTTGTCCACAAACATTTCTTACTCTTTGTCATTTTGTGTTTCCCTGTAGTAGTTTTGTACGTCTTTGTAATAATGTTGTGTCTCTCTGGTGTTTTGCCTGTTTGAAACTGTTTTACGTTACGTTTTGCATCTCTTTGTAGTTGTCTGTTTGCTTTCCTCGTCTCTTTGCAGTCGTTTTGTGTCTCTGTGTAGCTGTTTTACGTTGCTTTGCTGTCTTTTTTTGTCTCTTCGTGGCCATTGTTTCTATTTGGAGTCGTTTTGTATCTCCCTCTTTCGCCTCTTTTTAGTTGTTTTGCATCTCTTTGTAATTCTTATGTTGCTTTGTTGCCGTTTTGTGTCTCTTTGTAGTTGTTTTGCATTTCTTTGTTGTTATTTTGTGTCTTTGCTGTTATTTTGTGAATCTTTGTAGTTGTTTTGTGAATTTTTGTAGTCATGTCCCGTGTCTTTGTAGTGTCTTTAAGATCATTTTGTGTCTCTTCGTATTTGTGTGTTTGACTTTCCAATAAATGTCACTATCAAACAGATTCAGGTCCAGGGACCGTGTGACCTCTTGTGCCTGGTAGGCCTGTTCAGTGATCCATCTATGTGTTTACACCCTGAGACCGTTGGATGCATGTTAATGTAAATACCACCATGTCTGTTCAATGTTAATGCGACATGTAAAACCTACTTAGTGCATGATATCCATTACTAATAATCCATGGGTTGATCAAATACTGTTACATCCTATGATCATGAGATGATACAGAAAAGTGAGAGCAACACTCTGAGGAATTAGAGTCATAAAATGCGATTAATGCAAAGATTCAACACAAAAGTATTAAAGGGTTGTGGCTCAGATGGCACAGCGGGTCCTCTGATAGTTGAGGTGGTTGGTAGTTTGATCCCCTCTCTTCCTGCCCACATGTCCTTTAGTAAAACATTGAACTCCTATACGTCAAGGATGAAAATTTAAGTTGTTGTGGGAAATTCTTCTTCCATATTAAATGAATAATATTATTTAAAGGCTTTGGATCATATTCATGTCACCTGTTTTAATTTTTTGCACCCTCAGCACTAACAAAGTCCATCTTTCCTGCCTTGCTCAGTGACAGCAGAGACAGTGGGAGATGTTAAATGGCCAGTGGTAGAAAGCCTTCACTGTAACTGGGCAGTTGTCAAGTGGGCATGTGTTTAACTGTGCGTAACAAAGCTTTCCTGAATGGGTTGACTGATGTTAACACTTTTCCAGTTTAGTTTGATTAGGATGTTTACCTGGGACACTGTTTCCATCACGAGGACTCAAACCTGAAGCTCTGCAAGAAGTAAAAGTAAAATTAAAGGGAGACAATGTAGGAAAAACAAGTAGATAAAAAAAAACATGAATTGTGGTATTTTTGTTATTCAAAGGAAAAAGAATAAAACCTTAAACACCCCACACAACAGAAAAAAAATAAAAAATTCTCATGTTTCTCTGCAGTGCATGCCAATTCCAGGCCGGGGCTTTCGACTGGGTCAGTACTGCTGCCGCTGTAAAGAGGGCTACTACAACCCTGATATAGCCCCTGAGGACGCAGGTAAGTGGATCACTAACCTCTGTCCACAACAGGTGAAATAACTTAAAGAGGCTCTCCTGAGGTTTCTGCTTCAACTATTGGGCTTCTTCAAAATCCTATACAACATACAAAGTCCATTTAAACAAAACAAAGACTCACAGAAATTAGATTTTCAAAGTTTTAATAGCTAATTGATGAAACTAGAGTCTTTTCTTCCATCAAGAGGTTAGTATCGTCTTATTTAAAATTCTGTTTATTCTTTACTAAATGCAGGATATGACATATGAGGTATGTTGTTTCCCTGTATTTGTTTCTTTTATGATGGAAATGTACAACTTGACCTAATGAGAATAAATGAACTCACCTTGTAGCTCAGATTTGCAGAAATGAAAGTGAAGCCAGGACAATACAGTTTTCAGTCCATCATTAACAGAATCTTTAGCCTCTTTTAGCCTATAGTTTTGGTTTTACAGACCATGCATTTACTATAAAGTTGAATCTTCCACAGAAAGCCATGTCCAGCTAAAATCTAAAGTAAACCCACTGTACTCCTGCTCAGCACAGCAGACAGACACAGTTAGCAACAACTAGCATTTAGCATCTGAGGAACCAGACCAAAACAGAGCTAAAAGGAGGAGGAGAAACACAACTCCAAATGAATGCTAATGTTGCTACATGACTGGATGTAAAAGTAGGTAAATGTTAGCTAACACACTAACTAACACATTAACTAACACTAGCTAACATACGTGGAAGAAGTGAAGAAGTTATCCCACAGTCTACAATGGACTTCACACGACAATATTCACAAACTTTTATGAAAAATGCTTTTGATTCTTTTGATCTGTCGACCCTTACGAACTAAAGGAATATAAATAATCAAGGAATAGATAGACAATTGGACCTCACAACTGCTTCAAAGGTAGGGAGTCGTCATTTTATCAGTCGTCCTTCACCATAGTTTATTACAGTACAACTGTTACCGTGGTCAAAATACATAAAACCGGGACTGTTCCTTACATAGATAAAACATCGGATATATTATTGATATATTGACCATTTTCATTTCATAAATCTGGTCACTGTAACCTAGAAGCTAATGATGTGGTGGCAATTGCATCATTTTACGTTTGCTTTGAAATTTGGCTCACTTTATAGCTAGTAGCAATTAAGCAATTTCTAGCTTTACCTTTAAAGAATGATTGATTAAAAGACTTGATAAACTAAGCAAACATGTGTCATGATATTTAGGGGAGGGTTGTAGGAGTCTTGGCTCATAAAAATTCAAAAATGCTCATTAACTGGAACTTTTAAAGACATAACTTTTACTCAGTTTTCTCCCAGTGTGAAATGTCCGGTTGTGCTGATCTACCTCGTCCTACCTGGCAGGTTGTCACATGTCAGAAGCTTACAGTAGGTTTGCTACCCTCCCAGTCACCAGTGCAGCAACAAGGACATGATCCCTCACTGGCTTCCCTCATGTGAACACTTGGGAATCAGATTCAAAGTTGTGAGCCTGAAATTAATTCCAGACTTCCTGTGATTGGAGAAAAAATCCTTTAGAGACATTACATGAAAACTCTCTTGATTCCAGAGTGAGCACTCGAGGTGTAAGTCACATGTATCTGAGGTCTTCACATGGGTCTGTGTAGACGTAGATGCATGTGTCTGTTTGTGATGCAGATGGCGGCCCCGTGAACGGGACTGAAGGTGGCGGTATGTGTTACCCGAACATGCCCATCTGTCTCCCGTGCTGGCCGGGCTGTAAGAGCTGTCAGGACGGCGCCCCCTGCTGGGTGCAGGAGGACTGGCTCCTCAGGGCCGCCGTTTTGGCCATCCAGGGGGTCTTCATGCTCCTCATCTTCGTCAGCATGCTGGCGGCCTACAGGCATCGTCGGAACCGGGTGAGTCACGCCTTTTGGCTCAGCGGGGCCACCGTATGGATGGAGTTTGAGCCATAATGATGCATTGTGTTAAAATGTAAAATTCTGCTGTTTCTTCAGCGAAAATGTCTCAAGTCTTATGAGTAATGTTTTTTATCAGTTGATCTTTGAATCTAAAACGTTTATATCAATCACAGATGGGACAAAAAGGGTAATTTGATATTGATTGTATCTTGCAATAATTTCTAGAAAGTCGAAACATGATGCTGGGGTTTTTCTTTTCATACTTTTCATACATGTGCACTGTAAATAAATTTAAGCTGATTCATCTTAAAAGCATAAATTCCTTTGCTGCCTGAAAAATATGAGTTAACTGAACTTATGTTTAATCAAAGTAGTTTTAACAAGCTTACGATATTAAGTTGAATCAACAACTGTTTAGTCTCGCTGACAAACACACTACAGATTCACATTTTCACAGTTCAAACACTCAGTTCTTCATATGACATGAAAAACTTTGCACCAGAGTCGGTACAGTCAACATGTGAGGCTGCTCCCAGTGACAGCGTTAAATTATAAATGTGCAGGACACAGGGACTGAATTAAACATCACGGTCTGCTTTGTTTTCATTGTCAGCGGTTCATTCATTCAACGCACTTATTTCGTTTAAGTCAAAGAGCTTAAGACAACACAACGGCTCATATTTATAAGTCGTCTGAAAGAAGTTTAAAAGTATCAAGGTGAAATAACTTGAATTTAAGGTTTATGGTAAATCGTGACTCTAAATTACCTGTAGGTGAACGTGGTGTCGCGCCTCTTGTCCTGTGTCAGCTGGGATTGGCTCCCATGAAAACCCTCAAATACAATGTCCCTGAGAGCTCGACGCACTGCGACCTCACATGCAAATACTGCAAATACACGAACACGCTGCAAATTCAGTTGTACAACTCAACAGAAGTGTTTCCAAGGGACACTAAAAAGTGAGGAACCTGCTGGGACGCACTTGTAATTCAAAGCTTTTAACGTCAGAAGTCACAGTTGGGCATTGTACAACAAAGTCCCAGGCAGGTCCGTCAGTATTTGGTGTCCCCTGGAAACATTTCCTTTGAGTTGTAGGACTGAATTTGCAGCGTGTTTGTGTCTCTGCATGTGTTTTCTTAAGCGTCGGTGCGTTGAGCTCTCAGGGCCACCGTAAGGGAAGGATGGATAAGGCCTTGAGTGGATACCTATTTAATTTAAACCCCAGTATCATGTCTTAGATTTTCAGAAAGAGAGATGAAACAACCCTCAGTGAGAAACTACATTAGAAACTGTCAGCCGGTTAATGTGAAATTACACTGGTATGGTCCTTTAACATCTCAACCAGCTCCACATCTTCTCTTATCTGTTGTTTTCTTCCTCCTCAGAGGATCCGGGCGTCCGGCCTCCTGCTGCTGGAGACGATCCTGTTCGGCTCTCTGCTCCTCTACTTCCCGGTGAGTGTGTGGCGGTGGCGGCAGCGGCGGCGGCTGACAGTGTGGCAGATTAGAGCTCTTTACAGATCACTGCGCAGCACAGAGCCACGGATTATATCATAATGGACGATTTGTGGAAGGGTGAATGGGGTGAGGGCGTGCGTGCGTGTGAGTGAGTGTGTGTGTGTGTGTGTGTGTGTGTGTGTGTATATAAGTGGAAATGGGGTGGGTGGGCCGTAGACAGTTTTCATAACGTCTCTGTGCTCCAGTGATTGATTATCAATCAATCTTTAGATTCATTTTACCAATTAAAGAGCCATTAACGCAAGTCAGCCGTGACTTTATATCCATCAGTGTGAAAGCATCAGTCGATGTGAGCTCGTTCCTGCTGACGCCGGGTGATTCTCTCACACACACACACACACACACACACACACACACACACACACACACACACACACACACACACACACACACACACACACACACACAGCACATAATTAATCAATGGTTTAGTTTAATGTGATGTGTGGACATGTTAATGGGCTCTGCTCCTCTTAACTGCTCGCTGGTGGCATAAGTTTCAACATATAAAAAAGATCCTGTTCAAGACGAATGTTTATATGTTTATATGTTTATTTATTTAGTGAGCGGTGGAAGAAGTAAAAGTAGTACTACTCTGTCTGGCATTTCAAATTTTATTCCAGTAAAAAGAATAAACTTTAAGTACCAAAAATAAGTGTTCATCATGTACTATCAGAATAGTATTATTTTACAATTATTGATAATTCATGTGTACATCAGTTTAGTGTTGCAGCTGGTAAATAGGGGGTTAATTTTAATTACTTTACGTACTGCTGAGTGGCTTAAATTTCAATATTCAAATCAAAATTTGTATCTAATAATAACACGTCATGATTCATTTGTTATTTGTTGATTATATTTTGTGTTATTAATGTGTTTTGATGGGCAGAGCAGTGATTCGGTTCATCTGCATTACAGAAAATAAGGACTTGTGTTTTTTTTCACATAAATATCAGTAAGTGAACAGACCAGACTGTAGATTTAAAGATAAAGCACGGATATAACGTTGGTGACAACACCACAGGATTTCTGACGGGGCCTGGATTTGATTTTCCCTCTCGCTGCCATGCTGGCAGGTACAGGAGACAATCCACATTCATTTGCCTGAATTAGGATTTTTTTGGGATTACGATTAGGAAAGTTCATCTGAGGTGGGATGACTGTGATAGGCTGAGACACCTGTCACTCAAGCAAAAGTGGGGATGCGCTTCTCTAATCTGTGGTTATCGGCCCTGATGCTGATTTTATCGGTTTGATATCAGACGTGATCGATCCACATTAAAAACCATCTGTTTGTCTGTGTCGTCCACAGCCAGTTTACAGACCCTCAGAGTGACTTTCAGCTCATCGTTTATCTGCCCAGACGTGCTTCAAAAACTTCCTGTTCAGCAGCTAACGACAGAGACACAGTCAGAGAGCCGCCGGTGAAATACAGTGGAGCATTTAGCAGCTGAAGAGCCAGATATTTCCCTCAGGAGCTGGAGGAGACCAAACACAGAGCTAAAAGAAAGAGAGGGAACACTGGACTTACATTTGTCAGAAAGACACAAACACTACTTTAATTTAATGCTAATGTTGCTCTGTAACTGATGGATTCATAAATACGCAACAGTTTATTGACTTAAAGTGTGAAAAATAAGAATTAGAACATATATATATATAGGATAGAAATTCAAACGTAATGATTATAAACAAATTTAAAAATGTTAAATGTATACTTATCACAATTATAAACAGATTAAACAATAAAATCAAGTCTTTATTTTGAAGTGGTGACGTTGTGAGATAAAGGTAAACACAGCAGGTATTTCAGGTAGATTCAAACAGTGTTGTGAAACAGCTTTTAAATCCAAAGGTGAACGGCAGCCCACTTACCTGACTGTAGATCCAAAAGCCAAAGCCCCAGATGAAAGGTCAGAGGTCACTCTCTCATCTCCGTTTGATCTACAAACAGTCGCCTGCTGCACGGCTGGTTGTTTGGTGTGAACATGGAGGAAGGTCACATAGTGTTAAAAAGCCTGATTGTCTCTTTATCGATACAGTTACATTGATTTCATTGATTGAAAATAATTAAAGAGAGAAAAGAAGAAACACGTTCAGGCAAAGAGCTCGTTACAGTAAAGAAAAGGACGTTTTCCCATGAGCCTCTAGTAATTGACCCGATCAGTAGCTCGTACTCAGATCACAGTACGTGTCTCTAAACGTCTCTGAGAACGAAGTTAAATAACATTTTGGCGCTGCGACAGTGACCCAAAAAGTTTAGAATTAAAGTAAATTAGATAGAATTAAATGGAAAATTAAATAGAATTAGTGAACGTCGTCTCGTTTTACTGCCAGTTAAAAATCAGAAGAGATGAAAATCAGATGAATATAAATCGTCTCCCTGCGGAAGCTTTTTCCTCTAATGTGTAAAATATTGGCAGTTCAACGGGGAGGATTAACAGACATTGAACTGAAAAACAGATTCTAAAAATCCATTATTTTGGCAGCAAGTGCGACAATTCAAATCACTCTTCTTCTGTGGTGTCCTGATTTCGGAGTCTGCTGCTGTTTCCCTGCAGAGCTGATGAATATAATGAGTAGGATCTAAGAGTAAGAGTAGATGAGCCTCAGACCCAGTTTTTGATTTTATTTTTTTCACTTTTTGTGCGAGAAAATTGTGTGAAACAAAACATTATTCACAGCAGAGGATTTAAAACTTTAGAGGAACTTTAAAGTGTTGTGGTGTGTGTGAAGAGACTCGACACAAAAACTTAACAGATAATTAAACCCATCAATGCTGCAGATTCTGTGTGTTAAAGGAAGAATTAAATAAACATCTGTAAGAGTAAATTAAAAATTAAAAACACATAGAAACTTCAAAACTTGCTTTTATGCGAAAAGTAGAATCACCTCCTCGTGGTTGTATCCCTCCGCCACTCAGACTAGTTCCAGGTCACATCCCAGTTTAATATATAAAGTATGAAACATTTGTGTGAAACTTTGTCCTGATTTCTGCGTGAAGTCTTGAGTGATGGCTAAAAAGTGTTTTCTGAGGTCACCATGACCTTTGAACTTTGACCTTTAGCCGCTAAAGTCTAATCAGTTCGTCCTTTAGTCCAAGTGAATGTTTGCGTCAAATTTGAAGAAGTTCCTTGAAGGAGATATCGTGTCCACGAGAAAGAGACGGACGGACGGACGTAGAGAAGGACGACTTGAGAACAATCATAATAATCATAATAATACACACCAGGCATGTGACTTTCCACACGTTACCGATGCGTTTTGACCCTCCTCGCTCCCCGTAGCTTTAGATCAAGCAGTCAGATTACTTCCTCCTATAACTCCCATCTGCCTCTTCAGCTGATTAAACCCGCCCTCCTCTGGATGTTGGCTGCACATTGTCTCTGATTCTATACCAGCTCGCTCTGAGTGGTTTATCCGTCATGAGTGGTTTGAACACAATGATGTAAATTTGCGTTCACATTTTAGGGCTTTAGCTGATGCTCTTACCCAGAGGGACTGACACTGACTGTCGCAGCGGAATGAGCTTTAATTCCTGGATTACAGTCATCCACTCGACTGTTACACACTGAGCAGAGGCGAAGGTACAACCTGTTGTTGAGTGTGACCGGCTCAAAGCATTAACTATGTCAAAAACCTGAGAGCGCATCGAGCTCAGACGTCCTGCTTTATCTATACAGCTTTGTTTCCCTTACAGAAGGTTTTGAGGTCATTGAACTCATCACATGAGCGGATAGTGTTGCACCTGAGGAGCCACTTCACCTGTCTGCAGCACGTCTTTGTTTTTACTCAAGCGCGACAAAATGTATTTTAATGAATGTGCCATCAAATGGAAATAATCTGCATGTGTGACATTTTTATTTTTATTTATTTTACTTGTTTATTTATTTTCTTGGCTTTAAACAAGGTGTGGATTCACAGCGTTAGTCTCGTTAACACTGATGAGACGTGTAATTAAGTGTCTGTTGGTAAAATTAGTGATAATAGCAGCTGTAGTATTTTAGTGGTAGTAAAAAGTAAGTAGTAATAGTAGTTATACCAGCTGTTGCAGTAGTAGTAGCTAGTAGTACTAGTAATAGTAGCAGCGGTAGTAGCACTGCTAGTAACAGTTAGTGGGAGCAGGAGTATTAATTAGGAATGCAAGTAATGATTATTTTCACTATTGATTAATTGATTATTGATCATTTGTTTGTCAGAAAATCAAAGAAAATCAGGTCAAAAGCTTAAAATGTTTATTTATTCAATTTATTTCAATTTAAAACAAAACAAACAGTAAATTCTCCCTGTTGAGAAGCTGAAACTGGAGAATGTAATTTTTACTTGAAAACGATCAATTGATTTTCATAATGATTGACTTTTTTCGTTCATGTAGAAATAGCAGTAGTAACAGTTTCACTACAATCGGTAGAAACAGTACTTGTAATGAAACAGCATTAGTAGTATAAGTGCAGTAGTTAGTATACTAGTAGTTCTAGTGATAACACCAGTAACTGCAGCTGAGGTTGTGGTGGTAGTTTTACTATAAGAAGTATTTATGAAGATAATATGAGCAGTAATAGTACAAGCAGAAGCAGTAGTTGTGGTTTCAGCAGTAATAGTACGTGTACACAGCTATAGATGTACTACTATAGCTGTTTCTGGCACTTGAACAGCAATATCATAGTAGTACACACAGTAATGGCAGTACTTGTGAGCAGTAGTAGTGGTAGAAGAGGCGCAGTATTAGTGATAGTACTTACACCAACACAAACTGACGTCCAACACTGTGTGAGTGAGTGTCTCTCTCTCTCTCTCTCTCTCTCTCCTGCAGGTGTTCATCATGTACTTCAAGCCGAGCACCTTCAGGTGTATCCTGCTGCGCTGGGTCCGGATGCTCGGCTTCTCCATCGTCTACGGCACCGTCACTCTGAAAATGTACAGGTAGGTTCACACGTCACCCTGTCTTTCATTTCACAGGAGAATAAGTCGACGGACATCGAGTTGATCAGAAACTTGAATAAAGGTTTTTATTCAAACAAATCAATCAATAAATCTTTATTTGTACGACACTTTTCTACAGGTTAGAGCAATGCATTTTTACAGATGACTGAGACGCTGATGAGACAGTTCAAACAATGCACAAGAAATAAAACGATGTTAAATATAATGATAAAACCAATAAATTAGATTTAAAAAATAAACAAATAAATTAAAAAAATTGATAAAATAGATTTAAGAAATTAATAAAATAAATAAATGATGGAATGAAAATAAATAATCGCTATAAAACAAAATCTAATCAAAAACCAAATGAATTTCAACTGTAAAGAAACATTTTGTGGCTGAAACAAACAGCTGATTGAAGTTTCCAAAATCAACTAAACTGCTTGTTTTTGATTCAGTAATAAATGTAGAATTAAATTTACACATTTCCGACCAAGTCACAACACAAACTGAATAAATTATAAACTGACTGAACTAATTCACGGCCTCTTTTAGAAGTCTACATTCCTCGACAGTTTCCCTCCAACACTGACTCTCACCTGTGCGCAGGGTGCTGAAGGTGTTCCTCTCTCGCACGGCCCAGAGAGTGCCCTACATGTCCAGCCTGCACTTGCTGAGGATTCTGGGAGTGATGCTGATGACGGTCAGCTGGTTCCTGTGCGCGTGGACGGTGGGCGTCCTCCAGAACCGCGACAGGAACATCCCCGTGTTCGTCACCACCACCACGTCTGACGGACAGGGCTTCAACCTGTGCTACCTGGACCGCTGGGACTACATGATGGCCGTGGGTGAGTGGAGGCGGAGAAACGGCGTGTGATGACGGAGGCTTTTCATTTTCAATTTTATAATTCAAATGTTTTATTTATGGCAGTTTTTGCTGCGTTAATTGAAACTAAAACTTGAACTGAACTTTTAAATCCTCTGAGGTCTTCAAGATGTTTCTGTTAATATCTTTGTGAATTTGTAGACTGTCCAATCTCCGGTTCATATTATTGCAAGATCATATGTCATGTTATGTTATGTTATGTTATGTTACGCAAGTACCTTTTAAAAATGGAGAAATTACCTTTAAAACTCAGAGGGTTAAAGCTCTAAATATAAAGTACAGTAGGTGTGGCATATTGTTTCCTCTTAAACCTCAGTGTTATTCAGAAGTAAAAACACAAATCAACTTATATTCGACTCTACTTTTAACTGACTAGTTTCAGGTCACATCCCTGTTTGTCCAGAGTCAGAGAAAATATGAACCATCTGTGTGAAATCTTGAGTGTCGCCGTCCTGGAGGAATAAAAAGTCTGACGAGGCAGGTTGTAAACAAGCCGACAGTTCAGTCTGATTATCTTAATACTTCAAGGTAAAATCAAAAATGAGCATACCTGAGATGTCAGTAATAATCCCTCAGTACACAGGACAACTGTGTACACGACTACAGTGAGTATGGAAGGTCAAAGTTGAACCGAGAAACAAGAAATATTAATATATAATATATAATATAGTAAATTCCTTACTGATATCAGATTAAACCCAGACTGTCTTTTACACAGTTTATACATTATTTAGCATTTAAACAGTGTTATATTAATAAAAACAAAGTGAAAACATCCCATCGTTCCCTCTGTCCTCACCTTCCTCTGCCACAGCTGAGCTCCTGTTCCTGTGCTGGGGCAGCTCCCTGTGGACCGCCGTCAGGCCCGTCCCCTCGGCCTTCCACGAACCTCGCTACATGGGCATCGCCATCCACAACGAGCTGCTCCTCTCCTCCATGTTCCACCTGTTCCGGTAAACGGCGAGCACAACCGGCGTGTCTGAAGCTGTAAGAGTGCAGGACAAGCTAACGCCTTTGTGTTCTCTGTCCCCGTCAGGTTCACCTTTCCCTCTCTGCATCCTGATTGGATGTTGCTGCTCTCCTTCACGCACACCCACGTCACCATCACGGTGACGCTCGCCCTGCTCTTCATCCCCAAGGTACTCGGCATCTTAGTTAAATCAACTGTGTGTTACTTTAAGAAGTCAAAGCAGAAAAAAGGTTGTCAAATAAGTATTGATGAGTAAATCTCAATCTCTTAATGGGACATTCTTACTTATACAGATATAGATATATACTTACCTCAATGCAAGTTTATTTAAATGACATTAATGTGCAAGTAAACTCAGTAGAAGTGATATATTTGCACCTTGTAAACACTGCGTTGATGTTTGTAGACGGGAATATACTGTATATGTGATATGTAATTTCTACATTTTTGGAGACCACGAACATCTCAAGGTTTCATGAAAATTCATCCATTAATTCTGGAGGAATTTCATGGACTCGAATGTTGGACCAACAGTTTAGCAGATCAAAGGACCCAACACACATCTAAGATTGTGTTTACATGGACATGAGTATCCCAGTTATGAGGTTTATCCAGGTTTTAAAATCTAGTATTTACAGCAATCTCAACACTGCATGCACTTTTTGACGGCGCTTGTGATGTTCACAAACACAAACCGGCAATTTTGAAATGGTTAATCTGACATCCCTACAACCATTAACTCACTAAATAAAGATGGACGTAGCCTCCGTGATGTCACCCACAGGTTTCTGAAGAGCGGTTTTGAAGCTCAGAGTGAGCTGTTCCACTGCCACCATCTTGGCAGTGTATGACTCCGCCCCCTTAACTCCCGGCTAATCCAAAAATGGGCAAAGAGAAGGAGCGTGTTTCTGCTGTAAATTTGAACAAAGCAGCCAGTAGAGGACGTTCAGTTTTTGGTACTTCTGTGTTGGATTCATTTGTCAGCCTCGGATGTTGCCGCTAGATTGGAAAACTGTAACCTGTCTACTACAGACTTGAGTAAATTTCTCCCATCTGAACTACCAGGTATTTTTTGAACGCTTTTTACCAATGCATAAAATTTTATCTCTTAAATGATCCACAAGTGAGACGCTGTCTTTGCCGCCATTGTTTGTCTTCCTGTCAATCACTTGGCCGAAGGTAATCGATAGCGTTCAGAGAATTGATTACTCCAGCTAGCAAATCCAGGTTTTTTCCAGACACAAAAACGTGATGCTTCAAAGACTAACTTAATCCATACACGCACAATCGACGTTGTTTCCCAATGCGAAGTGTTTACGTGTGAATTGTATGCTTGTGTGTGTGTTGCACAGTTTCTCCATGTGTCTAAGCCTGGGAGGGAGGAGATTGCGGCAGAGGTGTACGAAGACGAAGTGGACTTGCGGCGCTCGGGCTCGTACCTCAACAGCAGTTTTCACTCAGCTTGGAGTGAGCACAGTGTGGACCCGGATGACTTTCGGGTAAACTCTCTTGTCCCCTCAGAACGATGTAATCACTTTGCATTGGGACATAATTTACAAAAGGTGGAAGAAATTCCAAACGTCACATTTAAATAAGAAAAATAAATGTCCCTTAATTTCAGTTATGACCACAAGTAGACTCACTTAAACAAATCTTAAATGTATTATAATTAAATCATAAATTAACATGAAATACTCTGGCCCATAGAAAAGAGATATGTTGTATGACCTCTCTCCAACCCTTATCCTTTTCTTATCCTCAACTGTCTTCTACCTTTCCTCTGACTTGTTACTGTCGTTGTCTTTTCCTCTCATCAACCATTTCAACCACCTCCTGAATCCCGTCATCAATTTCCCCCCCTTCTTCACATGCACCAGGATGAACTGAAGAAGTTATATACCCAGTTAGAAGTCCACAAGACGAAGAAGATGACCGCAAACAACCCTCATCTGTCAAAGAAGCGAAGTTCTCGCTGTACACTGGGGAGGTCTATTATCAGACGCATTGCTGAGATCCCAGAAACCATGAGCCGTCAGTGCAGCCGTGAAGAGAAAGACGGATCCTTCCGCAGTAGAAGTGTGAATATGTCCGACTCTTTCAGGCGGACGCCAGATACCATCAGTATCAGTTACAAGAGTTCAATGAAATCCCGAACACCATCACCAAGCATGCGCAAGTCCCAGAGTGATCATCACTATGTCAGGGAAAGAGACTCTTCGTTGCGTGACTCCATGTTGAAGGCAAACGCTGTGAAGAGATCCTCTCAGCGGTCGGAGACGGACTCCTTGGATATTCCACCGGGGGTCTGTAAGTCAGCCAGTGCCCAGAATCTGACAATTGATACCAATCTCCTGCATCCTGATCACACCAGGCTTCATAAGTCCTGGAGTCTCACCTCCACGACCACCCACTCTATGGAAAACATACCTAAAGTTAACAGAGCCAGCACAGTGCTGACGAGGTCCAGGCAGAGCATTTCCATCAGCGACCAGACCAGGAGCGCTCTCCAGTCAGAGTCATTCGACAAGGCCGAGGTCTGTCCTTGGGAGGTGGAGCAGGAACCATCAGGCGACAAGAACCAGAAGCATGTCACCTACGCAAACTCTGAGGATGGTGAGGAAAAAAGGCCGCCATCTCCACAGGCGCTTATCTGTCCCTGGGACCATTTACCACCCGTAGAAAGGACTCCTTCTGAGGACAAAGGACTACAAGGTGAAACCGAGTCGCCCAAACCGCAAGCTCCCGTGTCTGCGAGCGCACCGGGCTCTCCGAGACCGAAGATCACAAAGGATCAACGTGTCTTCTCCTTCCGCACCACCAGCAGCAAGTGGCTCTCGGTGAAATCAATCATGGGATCCATGGATGCAGGAAGCAGATCCAGTAAGGAGGGGAATTTAAACAGAGAGGATTCTGTCTCACAAAAAAGTCAGGAAAGTGCTTCCACAACACCAAGATCAGGGAGATCTAGTAGACGTCCAAGCGTGGAGAAGAGGTCGCTGCAGAAAAGAAGTATGACGACAATAGACGGAAAACCATGCCTTGTGAAGCAGAACGCAATCAGACTGTCCTCTACGGATTCCTCGGACAGAAGCCCAAGAAGGCTTGTGATCGTAAAATCTGCCGTCTACCCATGGGACGTGGACGATGTGCAAAAAGATGGCACCTATGAAAACGTGTTTTTATCAAGGCAGAACAGCAAACGTAGCAGTATAAGTTCGTGGGAAACTGCTAGCAGTTCGAGAACACCTTCAACCCACAGGAGAGGAAGTAATCGAATTACACCGGTCCGTAACGTTTCTCACGCAGATGTGTGTCCATGGGAAGGAGCTGGTACTATGCAGCAAGGGGAGGGACCAAAGAAGCAGCAGAGCATTAAAGCAGATGTTTGCCCTTGGGAATCCCAGGCATCGGTGTCTAATGTATGTCCATGGGAATCTCAAGAGCAAGGGAATGTGAAAAGACAAGGAAGTGGTCGTGGTGACGTGTGTCCTTGGGATTCGCAAGATATTCCCGTTATTTCTCGTACGACTTTGTCCAGAGATTCACAGAAACAAAAGTCTTTGAAACGTGCAGCAGACGTATGTCCCTGGGAGACGGCAGAGACTCCCCAACCCAACCTAAGGCAAGATAGTGAATACGTGAACGTGTGTCCTTGGGATGTTCAGGACAAGGCTGAAGTTGTATATGAAAACCTTAATCCTACAGAGACCAAGGGAGCGCTGGGGGTGCCACTTCGACAGGAGGTCATGAAACCTGCCATCTATCCTGGTGCATCAAAAGAAATGCCAAGTAGTGAGCAACAATATGCAAAATCACCTGCCCTTAACTGGGGTAAACAAGTGAACAGGACAGTAGAAAGTTGTCCATGGGAGTTCCCTGATCCTCCAAAAATCACGGAAAACATTTGTCCATGGGAAGAGGGAAGCAAAGAGCCAACAAATACAGACCCAACTTCACAAATGACCATCAAGGTAGATGTTTGTCCCTGGGAAACTGGAAATCAAGACAAACCCGAAGACTCACAAGGAGGTGTCTCGCCTTTGAAAGCTGTGTCGGTACAGTCTGAAGGGAAGGACAACACAAGAGTAAACGTATGCCCCTGGGAAACTGAAGCTACCAAGACGGTGTCAGCAGATGTTTGTCCGTGGGAAACCGGGGAACCAGAAACAGGAAAGCCGGAGACCCCGAAAATATCTGACAGTCATATGAGGCAAGACACAGCTCGGGAAAATGTTTGTCCATGGGAGTCGGATGAAGCAGGGGCAGTCAAATCTGAAATCTCAAAATCAGAGGAACTGCAAAGACAGGGGAATTCCCGCGAAAGTGTCTGTCCATGGGAAACAGACGCTCCGAAAGTTCTTCAAAAACAAGACAGCGCTCGGGCAGATGTTTGTCCGTGGGAGACTGAAGAACCAAAAGTTCTGAAGAAGCAAGACGGTAGTTGGGCAGATGTTTGTCCATGGGAAACAGAGGAACCAAAAGTTCTCCAGAAGCAAGATAGCGCTCGGGCAGACGTTTGTCCGTGGGAGACCGAAGAACCAGGAGTCCAAGACAGTACGGGAACAGATGTTTATTTGACAGATCCACAAACGTCAAGCGAAGGCAGACTCGAAATTCCCAACAGTGAGCAAGAACTCGTCGCAGAAAACCAGGACCCGCGAAGTGTAGAAGAGTTTCCGGCTGACATCAGCACAGAGGACATAGATGAGACTAAAGCGAACTTAGCCCTGGGCCGGCGTGACGCTATGTGTCCCTGGGAGATGGTGAGGAGCAGATCGGGTTCCTTCACAGACAATGCCTCGGACGTTTTTACATGGGAGCCTGAGAATATTCCAGAGGAGGATGAAGAGGACGATGCAGAATGTGCCGCTGAGGCTCTTGTATTCCCACCCGACTTGTGACCTGAATCTAACCAATCGTTTATTTGACCCACCCCCCTGCTGAATCAAGGGGAATGAGAACTCTATTGAACCATTTTGGCAGTACCCTGGGCTCAGGGAGGTCAGAGTGCAGGGGCAGCTCCAGGAACAGCTCCCTTTGCAGCTGAAAGCCCCTTTCTGATGGACAAGTACTGGAGTTAATGAAACATAAAACACAGGGTTGTTTTATTTTAGGTTGGACCACGACACAGTCCAACTAAAACACCTGTAGTAGAGACTTGATGAGCTGGACACTTTGAGTTGTGCAACCCTGACTGAAAAGCACATGTTGCAGACTCTTTACGTCCGTCGTTGATCCAGCTGTGACCTACGAACAGACGTTTTTCTGAACGACAGAAGGGCATCTAAGGCAATTAGATGAAGTCCCTTTTCTTCCTGCTTCTACCCCCCATTATAAAGTAAAATGTCTTGGTTTTTTTTGTGTCTTTGTATGTTTTTTGGTGACAATTAACATATTTGCCATGTACATGCAATATGTTGGACACATGGCCCGGGGCGACTGTATCACGAAATCTGAACTCAACAAGTCAACAGTGCTCGCAAACAAATATTTCACAGGACCTGTGAGACGAAACTAATCTCAACCAGCATACAAACGATAAATTCAGTCTGATTTTACTTCTTTTGTGGAAAAATATATTTTCAAAGTTTTAAAGAAAGCGTTAAGTGTCAAGCAGTGCCACCAGGATTACACTACGGATGTCAAATTATATTTCAATCAGGTATTAATGATTGATAAAACTATGCATACCTGTTTGCTTAAGTGGACTGATTACTCTCTCTCTCTTTTGATTCAGTCATAATAATGTGAAAATAACATTCATCCACACACAAAAAAAATGCCAAAAACTGCATAATTCACCATAAACTCAGACTTATGCCCTAATAATTGTACCGTTACAGCGGAGTTAATACTGCATATTTCTTTTATATCCGACATCTGTAGAAAATCATTTCACTGTTTTTTTTTTTAACATGGATGCAGTTAACTGGAAACCACTTTCAGAGGGATGGGACAGTGAGATTAAAATAAAGTAGAAACAGGCTGTGAAGATTACAGATTTTTTAAATGTCAAATTGAATTTTGCTCAATCCAAATGTCGCAAATAATGCACGTCACAGATGTCAGGCCTCAGCTTTAATGAAAAACAGGGCTGTTTCCCCATTAGTTGATCAGTTAAATAATTTCTAGTTAAGGTTTTCATCAGGGTTCTCTAAGCAGATATATTGATATTTGTCATTGGGAGTCGCTGCTAGAAATAGATATCCTTTGGTTTTAGATGATAAGATGTCCTCTCAGAACCCATTCATACGCAGAGAGACGGCAACACTGGAGACATTTTTTGTTTAATTAAATCAGCTCATGGATTAGTCAAAGATTTCTTATGACTATCAGACATCTATCTTTATTATTAGCTAATAATTTCTTTGCATCAGAGGAGCCCCACATTTCCACGTCTGCCATTATTGAGTTAGTATTTTATACAGTTTTGAATCATTACACAACGTTTCAGATGCTGCAACTTTCTGAAAGCAGCATTACTTTAACAAAAGGTTTCACGGTGAATACATTTTAGGATGTTGGCGTTTTTTTGTTTTTGTGTTGGTGTAATTACATCACACGTCTGTGCCGGCGATTGTTCTGCGAGATCGACGGCCAGTTGTCACTTCTGTTCCTTCAGTCTCTCACGAGCTTCAGGTTTCTTTTCATTCGGCGATCTCATTGTTAACGCTGCGCCAAGTTGTCTGTCGGTGGAGTGACCTAGTTTTGTGAGCATTGTTGCATGTTAGTGTGTTTTTGAATGAGCGTGCTGTAATTTGTCGTGCTGTAAATCTACTGTAGTTGTAACACACCCTTTGTTTTGCATAGAGGAACAGCCTATGTACTGCTTGTACTGTTTCAATTTTGTCTGTATCTTCTATGAAAGATTATTCTGGGGGAAAAAAAAAAGAAAAAGTCTATTGAAATCTATTGGTGTGAAGTAAAAGCAGATGGGACACTTTATTTTTGTATTTCCTGGAGGTCAACATGCAGTATATCCATCACAGAAATAAACCATACAATTTTCTGGAGATCTGTATATTTTATTTTTTACATGTTACACATTAAATTAGTCTCATAAAGAAAAACTGAGTTGAAGTCATGAGAAGAGCTGTTGTTGTTGTTGTTGTTGTTATTATTCCAGACTGTTGTGTAATGGTTTACCATGGAGTAAGAAGCAGCTTTATTGGCTTCGGGACAGAGCGGTTTGTTCGTCCTACAACTCACCTGCTGCTTCCTCCGTCTGAACAGCCAAACAGAAAAGAGCCTCCCCAAAGGAAGCCTGTTCTGCTGCCAGAGTGGACAAACTGTCCAACCACAGCCAGATTTTAAACTGCATTTGGCTGGTGACTGGTGACAACGTCCTACTGAGGTTTAATGGAAAGAGCGGCGCCATCTGGTGGCCTATTTGTACCACTGAACCGCCTCCGGTTTGGGAACTTCAATGCTGCTGGCGTCGAACTCTTCCCCTACGCTCAGCTTGGGACCGGGAATCATGACAGTCTGGAAGACAACAAGGAGCAGATGAGTGTCATTTTGTTAATTATAATCAACACATAATCACATTATACATAAACATCTCCAGTGCCATTTTGTTCCAAGGGTAATTAACCTGCAGGACCAAGACGGGCATCATTCAAAACAGCAGGAAGTCACCGGAAAACAACTTCAACCACGACATCACTGCAAAAGAAGCGTCCTAGTTCTCTTCCTAATTCTTTGCTTCTGCGTTACTTTATATGTTTTTTATCAATACAGAAGATATAGTCCGCAACATTTTCTTAGAATTAGGAGATATTTACTATTTAACTTAATTTTTTTAACTAAATACAAAGAACAAAGAGCAGCAGATTGAGCTGGAGTTGTGTAAAATCTGTTATTTTAAATTGCTATTATAATTTCATAGACTACGGCTGGTGACAGTGTCCTGCTGTCATTGGTCAGGTGGCTTGACAGAGTGTGATTGACAGGTGGCAGAGCCTGAAGTAACCAGAGAACAAGTCAAACCTTTCAGTAACTAAAAGCTGTGAGGAAACTCGCTGCTTTGCTGCTCATTTACAACGAGGTCCGCTGCGAATGAGGATGAAAGTGACACGAGCGGAGACCGTGTCATTGCTTTTACCTTCATTTGACAAAAGTGAAAAACACGTCTGCGGAGCGCTGAAGCTTTTTTTAGATTCTGTCAGAGAAGAGTAAGAAACACCTTGTGACATCATCGCTGCTCCATCTGTCAGGTATATCTGACACACAGCAGGGGCTGACTCACAGATTTAAGGTGATTATGTTCTACGTTTTGCACTGATCATCTTCTATTCCAGTCTTACGCGCTCACCGAGCACTTTATTAGGAACACCAGACTAACACTGGGTAGTTCCTGTCTCAGCCTCAGTTCTTCATGTCACGGATCCACAAGATTGTTTGAAACCTTCCTTTGTGATCCTGCTCCATGTCGACATGATGCATCACATCATGTCTGCAGATTCGTCAGCTGCACATTCATGCTGCCGATCTCCTGCTCTACCACATCACTAAGCTGCTCTACTGGATCCTGATCTGGAGACTGAGGTGAAGTTCACTGAACTCACTGTCATGTTGATGAAACCAGTTTGTGACATGGAGCAGTTTCCTGCTGGAAGTAGATATTAGAAGATGTTGAACTGTGGCCATGAAGGGAGGAACATGGTCAGTGACAATCCTCAGAGAGACTGAAACAGTCACACCATGATTCACTGGTATTAAAAGGCCCCAAAATGTGACAAGAAAACACCAGCAGCCTGGACTGTTGACACAAGGTCGGATCCATGGATTCATTCTGTCGACGCCAGATTCTGACCAACAAGCTGTTTCCTCCACAGAAGCTGCAGCTACCAGGAGGTTTTTTATTTTGTTTGTTTCTGGCTCCATTCACAGAAAAAAACTCAAGAGTCACTGAGATTCTGATGTTTGAAGTGAACGTTAACTGAAGCTCCTGACCTGTATCACTGCTGCCACATGATTGTCTGAGATGTGAAACAGTCTGAAGCATTAATAGAAATAATGGTGTTCACACTCGGCTTTAAATTCTGTGCAACACAGTCAAATCAGCAGGAGTTGGACCAGAGCTCAGTCACGTGCCCGACTTGGTTAAAGGGTTTGTTAACATAAATTACACAGATTTTCCTTCTGGTTGATTCTAACTACGTCGACGGCTTTGGTTGCATTCCAGAGGTGACAGGAATTTGTTTGTGGAGCTCAGAGCATCAAAACATATTTTATATTTCCAGAATCAATGTCACGATCAAACTGAGGGTCTGCAGATCATCCAGAGGAACAGGGACTATTACTACTATGCTCCAAAACTATGGAAAAACCCTGCCACCAGCTCTAAGAGACGCACAGTGGAAAACCAGTTTATTTCATTTTGGTCTTTAATCAATTATCTTGTATTTTACTTTTCTTCTGGTTTCTGATTTTATTTTCATTTCTGTTGTGTCATTTCATTGTCCTTCTATTCACCCTTATTTTATTGTACTATTTTATTTTTTATTGGACAGCACTGAGCTCCATCTCTTGTATGAAAAGTGTTCTATAAATAAAGTTTATTATCATTATTAATATTATCAATATATTTATAATAAAGGCTACTCCTGTCCTGATCATCTGGAGGCTGCAGGTTGAGATGCTGTTGAACAGAGGTGTTTCTGTGATGCGGCCGACCGTCACTGATATAAATGGCGTGGACAAAATAACAGAAACACCCGTCCTTATAAGGCAACAGCACAACAACCTGCAGCCTCCGAAACGAGCGTAGAGTCGAATCAGCACCAGTTTCAGGTTTATAACCTTCATGTGGGGGGGGGGGGGGTTGTTGCAGGAGTGTTTTATTAGACTGCATTAGTTTCAGCTAGCTGTAACTAATAACTGGGTGTAAGTCAATGAGGAGCTCAGACACTTTAATAAACAAGGGCTGGAGCTGAATTTGGACTGTAATCAAACACCAGATATTTCACTCTCTTATTTTATGAGGAAAAAGTGGCAGCCATTAAAGGAGGGGCGGGGGGGACAGCTGGAGAGGACAGAAGGCTCTGTCTGGGGTCAACGACCTCCGTGAAGAGGAGCGACAGGTGTAAGCAAGTTATTACGAGAGGACTGCGAAGAAAAGAAGATAATCTTGAAACATATCGGTCCATCAGCCTCGTTCATCTGGTCGTTAAAGTGAAGTATGAAGTGGCCAGTTAATAAAGGCCGTTTAATTTCCTTTATACAGGGAGAGCAGCTTGGACCTCTGCCTCTTCCTTTGCTAAAGAGATAAATGTTGGCCGGTGCAGAGACGAGCGTCACCTTAATAATTGGATCTTTGGCGGGAGCCCAGGATGGCACTATTTTCCCGTGTAGCCTCCATCGGCCGTAGGGGTTGACGAGGTGACGCTCTATAACCAGGTACTCCAGGACGTCCTTCGGCTGCTCCTCGCCGCCCAGCATCAGCCTCCCGAAGCGGTCGTAGACGGCCAGAGTCTGCGGGACCAACGCGCATGAAAGAGGGTTCGTTAAGATCAACTCAGTCTTGATTGTAACCCTGGGTGCATCCGCTTTGTGTCACTGCTGCAAGTAACTGTGTGCAAACTAAATATAATCACATTAACAACTGCTCAGGTTTATTTTGTTTTTTTTTTTAATCCAGCACCTGCACAACCTGAGATGTGACTTTGTTCAGTTCACTTTAAAAGACTTTATCCGTCCCTCAAGGGCCAATTTGAGGCGAGGGAGTTTGCAAACAGAAATACACATTAACAACTTATTTACACACGATCAAAAAATACAAATATGACAATATTAGTATGAGCTGAAATACACAAGGATTAATGGCAGCAGCCAGTTCAGCAAACAGACGATGAATATGAGCCTTTCTTCAAATGTCAGAGGTTACTGCACTGCTCCTTTGTATTTCATGGAAAAAAACAGCAATCTATATATATTTAAAAGGAGCTATTTCTAGGTTTTTCTAATGCTACACAGCCTGTGTTAGCATTAACAGCTGTTTACTAAGCCGTCTAGAAAAAACACTGCGAGTTCAGCATCATCACCACAAGCTGCTCCCGGCAAGAAACCCGACTCAGCTCAGAGAAAACTCACAAACAGCCCTTTTAAAGTCAGTAACTGCTCCTTTGGCAGGTATCACCACGCTCTGTGCAGCAGCTACGAGTCTTTCTATTCTTAATTTAGACGTTTTCACCCACTGATCTCTTTACATTCGGAGATATTTTTAGGCTGCGGCTAAATTTACTGTTTGAATGTCTGTTGGCTGCAGTGTTTGTATTTCACTTCACCTCCTTTCACTTCGAAAATCAACAAAAATCTGTCATTCTTCCCAAAACATCTGCATAAAACTGAAGCTGGAAAACGAAATGCATTCATGACAGTAGCTGAAATAACAATAATAATAATGATCTCAATAAACAGGGAAACTAACACACTTTGAGAGAGCGCTCTGCACACAAACAGTTCACACTCGTAGCCAAACACATGGATCGTACCTGTTTGGAGTGCATGCGGACCGTCACCTGGCCGTACAGGTTCCCTTTGCTGACCATGTCGGGGCAGCGGGCGTGGACCACCCTGGGCGGCTCCAGGGACTCGACGAACCTCCAGCGGATCGTCTTGAAGCGGTTCCCCCTCGTCATCTCCTGAGCAGGACAGAGGAGTTGAGTATATGTGAGACTGAGTGTAACGCAGCGTTGAGGTGGAGTTCTTCACAACAGGACAGAACTTACCGGATAACACCTCTCTGTTACTAGAGAGTGAAGCTTCTCCTTGTTGAACCTGCAACAACAACCACAGGTTCATCTTTCTCTCCGGACTTTAAACTTTAAAGAATATATCTTGCGTGTTAATGTTTCATTTAGCAAAATGAATTATTAAACGCTGCATTTGTTTTGGATCTGCTTCATGTCAGTCACCTCACACACAACTTCTCACCTCCACAATAAAACCTTTACTGTGGCAGGAAAAACTGTTCATTTCAGGCTGATCTTGAACTTCAGTGTTTAGAGCTGAAACAAGTCACTGATTAATTGGTCAGCTGATTATTGTCATAAGTCAGTTTCATGTGTTCCAGCTTCAAGTGTGTAAAAAATTTGGTGCTTTTTCTCTTCATTTTTTAGACCAAACGATTGGTATTAAAACTAATTAAAGACACGTTACTGGATGTTTACGGGACTGGGGAGACGTGGCCTAGATATCAAGGTATTTTAGATATTTTGTTTCTAAGAAAGTAACAAACTTAAAAGACATGTAGAGAAGTCATTCAATAATTGAATGTGTCAACAATGTAGAGGATCTTCTTGTTTTGCAGCAGAGCTGATGCAGCAAGAGTCTTATTCTCACGTCTGCAATGAATGTCTGTTTATTTCTCCCTGACGATGAGGCTGAACTGAGTGGAGTGAAGGACACAAGTTCATTTTCTTACTGTGTCAGAGCGTTGTGAGCCTCAATGAAGATTTCTTGAGCTCGTTCTGCAAAATCCTTTGTTGAGAACAGAGAGTCGTGCTCTTTGATTTTACGAATCCTGTGAAGACAAAATGAAAAAACATTTGCACGTTTATCACACAGCTCATATCAAAATGTTTTGGATTAAATCCTGTGAAACAGCTGTAATAAAATGACACACCCACACAAACTCAATTCTCGCCTGCGAGACTCAGACATGTCTGACAAGAAAAACAATCTTACGCTAGCTGTGAGCCAGCGCTCTGTCGTATCTGTTCCGTTCGTTGCTTCAGGCCTTCTTTAGACAGAGTGGAGAGACGAGCGTCGCCCTCCGGGGGGATGTAGGCGTCGAAGATTCCCGCTGGTAAAGACAGCAGACAGGACTGATCAATCAGCGCCTTCCCTCCAACCACGGAAACTTTTCAAAATAGATCATTTCAATACACAGCCACCGTCCGATTAATGAAGAGCAGCTGCACACAAAGACTCTTTTGAGGGGTTGTAAACTGACATTTATTATAAAATGTTCTGGTGCAGAATTTATCTCAATACTAATGCACCCGTTTGTTTACCTGCTGCTGTACCAGTTTCTGTAACTAGCAGTAAGAAATATCAACATCTTTTTCTGTGCGACCATTTTTTATTTAACAAATTAAACGTTAAATTTTGATTCAGCACAGGAACCTGAACAGTAGCGTCTTTCCAGACCACTCAACACCTGCCAACATCTGTGATGGTTTTCAGCGATTCAAATGAAGACAAGGTGAAAATGAAACATGAAACGGCAACACAGTCTGATTATCTGGTTTAAATAAACAAGACAAAACGATTATCTGAATCAGAAACAGTCTGATTAAAGAATATAGAAATAGAAATATGAATTTTGACCACACAATAAATGCCAAACTTTCATTTCTTGACAGCCTTTGAAAACAAAACTACATTTAAGTGGGCACCAAAAACTTCAGAGTACCTAGAGACTTTTAACAGGTAACCTACTGGTTACCTGTTAAAAGTCACTGGTTAAGTGGTAAAACTGCTGTTTTAAACTTACTAACCATCATCTTAAATCTACTTGCATTAACCTGAATGGAAACAATGAGCCTCTCCTGAAAGATATGTATTGATTATTCACTTAAACTGTTCAAGTTTCTAGTTTTTAGTTCCTATTTTGTAACATTTCCTAAGTCAGATATTGAACGCCTCCTTTAACTCTCTTGATAAAAGGTTGGAAGACTGTGAAAACACTTGGGACGAGGACAGAAATAATAACAACCAATAACTAATTAATAATATTAATAACAACCTAGGTGTCAGGTGACTAAAGTTGTGCAATCCTGCTTTGTCCTGCTGAGATATTTTAACCAAGATCAGGTCATTGCTTTCATCTGCAGATCTAGAAAAGCTCGTCCATGCTTTTATCTCCCCCAGACTGAACAACTGCAATGCTCTTTATTCTGGTATCAACATCCACAGACTACAGCTGATACGAAACGCTGCTGCCAGGTTGTTGACACGCTCTGAGAGAAGCAACCTCATCACACCGACCCCTGCTGCCCTTCACTGGTCACCTGTGAACAGGTCTGAGGATTTTACTGCTCGTCAGCAGCTGAGACACTGTGGCTGATTGTTTTAACATTGTGAGTCTCTGTGTGCACGTGTGCGTCTCATCATGACAAAATGTTCTTGTGGAGACACCCACTGCAGCAGGAACGACCACAGAGGTATTTTGGCAGGTCTTTATATGTCTGTGGACAGATTTTGTCACCGTGACAATAGCGTCACAACCTGCAAGATGCAGTAACAAAACTTTACAGGTGTGTAGTTCAGATCCAAATGAAGACCAGGTTTGAAGATGGGCATGGTCCAAACCATGAATACCAAGAACTAATGTATTAATGTAGTGCTGAGTGCTCATGGGTCGGATCGTGAACATGTGGTTGGGTGTCACAGCTGGTGTGATCCCACCTCTAGTTGTAATTGCTTTAATTATTATTAACTTGTGATAGATATATGTTGCTTTTTAATGTAAAGCACTTTGTAACTGTGTTTTTAAACGGTGCTCTTTAAATGAATTATCATTATAAATAAGGTGACATTATATTTTACCAGTGCAGGCGATGTTGATGGGCCTCTCAAGGTACTCCTGCCTGATGACAACGCCTGCTGCTCGGCCCCTGTCCTCTGCGTTCGCCTCAATCTTCCCCTTCATCCCCACTGCTGGAGGGATAAAGTACCGCTTCTTGGTCCGAACTGGCAGGAAAAATGGGCCTGGGTGGCGCACATCCAGAGAGGCCTCTGCGTTCTGAGGGAAGGAGCATGAATAAGTGCTTTTAAATGTGGTGGACAGAATATTTGAAACACCTTTCAATATAATGTAGTCCACAGACATCCACTACATCTCTAAATAATGAGATAAGAAGTAAAAAATATGACTTTTACAGTTACACTATGTCACCCAAGAATTACACTACCATAATTTTGACTGAGTAACACAATTACTACATAATATCCCATGATTTTATTAGAATTAAACTTCTTATATATTTTGTTTTGATTGTCATAGTGGACACGATCTGCTATGTCCTGACAGTTAGCTAATGTTAGCTAAGCTAGCCCCGGGCAGAACTGTGTAGAGCGTAGCGCGTTCAGAACAAAACAAACGAACTGTTTCTTCATCATATTCATCGTCTAACACTGTTTCAAAACAGTAACCTGTTATCAAATGGTTCTTTACCATCAAACTGCTGCATGTTGCTCTGTGAAGGACCACCAGCGTCCTCCTCATGGGCATCGCCATCTTTCCACCCTTTACCGGAAACTAGAAAACAACACTTCCGTTCATCCCTTTTCAAAATAAAACTTTCCTTGTATTTCCGCAAATAAAAAATAAGTAAATAAAGAGTGAAAGTCATAAGCGAAAAAAATGCTAATGTGAGTCAATTTTAGAGACTAAGACAGAAATAGCACATAAAAAGTCAAAGTTTTGAAATAAACACTCAAATCTTACTACTAGACTTACTATTACTACTCAAAATGATGATAAAAAGTCAAAATTAGGGGATAGAAGTGAGATTTTTGATGAATTATGACAGCAAAATTCATGGTTTTGACTTACTATGCCACAATTATGAGATAAAAGAAATTAAAAAATTAGTTTAACAATTAAAATTAGAATTCATAATTTTGTCTTATTAAGTCAAATTACTGATTTACAATGAACAATTGTTTTTACAATGATAAATTTTTTCCTCTTTTTTTTTTTTTTTTTTTTTAAATTAGACTGGCACAATTGGGCTTCAACAGCTTCAATGTTCAGTAAAAGAAACGACCCAAGCGCTGATGCAATACATAACTACACGGTAACGACCAGTTATGTATTACATCCGTTATATATCAGATTACACTAATGAGCAGAGTATTATAATATATTATATTACCACCATTGTACAGCGTATACACAGCACATACATGTATATATATTACACTATAATTGTATCTTCAACTGTTCAACTTCAGTTGTTCAATAATCTTAATTGCTTTCAGAAAATAAAGGAAAACTGTAGTTGTTTTAGTCATGCTGCACGGCCATGCACACACGTTAGGCACGTACGCAGAAACGTCGTGACGCTGTGTGTGTGTGTGTGCGTGCGGACGTAGGTTAAGCGGAGTTGTTTGGGCTGTGCGGGGAGAGAGGAGTCGCTGAAGACGGTTACAGCACACGGAATCACTACCTGCTGTCCATCCCCAGTGTCGAGGCCCGGTTTGGTCAGCTCTGCATTAATAAAACTCAGAGAGATAACTACTCCCACACACACAGCAACGTCTTCGTTAGCACAGCCGGCCAAAAATACAGGAACCATGCCCGAAAGGAGGCCCTTCGTACGGTTACCAACTGACGTTTACCCCGTCAACTACGGCTTATGCCTGAAGCCCGACCTGATCGACTTCACTTTCGAGGGCAAGCTGGAGGCGGTGGTGGAGGTATGTTATGGATGGGTTTGTGTGTGCATAGTGGGGGATCTTGTTATGTAATCTGATCAGCTAACGTTTACAGTAGCTGGCTAATTTGCTGTGTTCGACGAACCTCGCTGACGGAGGTAGCTAGTGTTAACGTTAGCTGGCGGTTGCTAACTGGCTAACCGTCTCCGAGAGGCTCACGCCTGCCGAGGGAGTCCCGTGAATGGAGAACAAATAACGGCTGGGTGTTTTCGCGACTAGCCACGAGCCAAGTGAAGCTAGCTAGCACAACAGTCCCATAGACAGCCAGCAGACTTGCCCTCTCACGTTAGCTTAGCCAGCTGTCTCATACCGTGGACATTAGCCTGCCAGCAGCGCTTGGCAATGCGCTTAATGTGCTGCAAGAGCACCTTAACCCCTTATAACATCAATGCATTAATATTAGGCACCATCAGTTAATGGGATTTTTGATTACTGAAGTTGATAACTGTGGCTAAATAGCGGCTAGCAATCGCTCACTAATGTTTGCTAAATCATGGCAACATCATGTCGCCCCCTCCCACCCCCGTGCCTCACTCAGTCATTCAGTTCAGCTCGGGTTTACCTTATACACTCATTTGGCAGTTTATTAGGTACACCCAGCTAAAACCAATGCAGTCTAAAGCAGCAGCCCTGCAACAAATCCTCCCTTCATGAAGATTATAATGATCAGTTTGTGTTGGAACTGTTCTGGAGAGGTGTTGATTCAACTGTGTGAACATTTTGGAGGCTGCTGTTTGTGGCTCTGTTGGATTGTTTGGTGTCTGTGTTACACTGACAGGTGTTCCCAACCCCCTTATATCAATCAGTTTAAGCTGAATAACAGAGACACCTGTATGTATAACACAAATACAGTTTAACAGCACCACAAACTGAAGCCTCCAGAATGACAATAAAGGTGAATCAACACCTCTTTAAACCAGTTTAACTGAACATTATAACCTTCATGAAGGAGGTTTTACTGCAAGACTTTTATTTTTTTGTTTTATCTGGGTGTAGCTTATAAACTGACAACTGCGTTTGTTTTCAACTTATCAAAACTGTCCTTACTGAAAAATGATAAGTTGTGGGTGGATTTGCATTATAACTCATTATCAGTTCAGCTTTAGTTAAAGTTAAACTGTTTCTTTAAACAGTCTTCTGGTTACATGAGGAATGCACACAGTTAACTTAATAGGTCACTGGATCAGTTGGGTTCCTTATTACTAGACGCTGATGTGGTGTAGATAGTAACTGCTATAAAACTCTCACCTTAAACAGGATCAGCTCACTTTGTGTTTATGTCATGAATAGAATTACAGTTTGCAAATGCACAGTTGTGTGGACACCTGTCAGTTGAGTGTCCTAACAGCTGTGCCTGGCTGTAAACACTCACCCATCACATGATCAGAGCAATCAAGAGAGACCACATCGTTATATGTGGTAAATTTGTAAATACTGCATTTGCTTTGTTTATATGACACGTTTTACTAATGGCGTATAAACTACTTCATTATCAAGAACAGATAAAATAATAGTAATAAATGAACTATAATGTGATAGTACAAACTCAGAAGAAACATGAGTAAAGTAGACTTCTATAAAACAGATAGAATGTCCCTGGCCAGCAGTCGAGAGCTCAAAGATATACAGTTCAGTCATTTAAAACCAAGAAAAGCTGAGATTGTCCTATTGGATTAAAATCTTTTTTCAGACTAATGTGTTTATACACTGCAAAAAAAGGTATCGGGAATATTGTTTTGCATACCTCTACTAAAACACCTTGAATCTTATTGGGACCAATATTCAATCACTTGAAACGACACCTAGCACAAGAAATGTATATGAAAGATCATAAATTATCATCCTGAAAAAAACTATTAAAGCAAGGCGTTCAAACACTCTGAAACTGTATTCATCAAACATTTAAACTAGTTTTGAATATATGCAAACACTCTGTTAATCATTTAAATGTTTGCCGGCAGTAATCGCAAATCCCAATTTCAGCAAGTCTTTAAGTTGACTCCTGCTAAAAGTTTTTTTATTGCTGTGTTTGCTAGTAAGTGAAAATCGTCTGCCACACTTCAGTTTACCTTTGGTTTGTACAGAGCCTGAGTAAAATACAATAGACCAGAGGAAACTGAAGCAACGTGGCACTTTGCCATTTGTCCGGCATGTTTCATAATTGCTGCCTCTCTGTGGCTGCGTCAGCCTCCGAGTGTCTCAAGCAACAGCAGTGCCACAAACCGTGAATGTCACTATAACTGCCCTCTCTGAAAACTGCATGCCGTCCAAGTGTGCCACTGTTTCCCCCTCACATCCACTGTTTGTACATCACACGCCAGAAGCCCCTAGTTTGTCTTTCTCCCTTTCTTTTCACCATTTTCTTCATTTTTCCACTGTGTTATTCATACCTGTTTCCCGCTATCTGACCCAGGATCAGTTTGGATTTACCACCATTCACTAGTTTGACAAAACACAAACAAAACCCTGGCTTCTTCACATGCTCGCCGTCGAGTCCTGGTGACAGTTTCATCAAAGAATTCCACTTCACTGAAACTTTATCTTTCCCAGACAGATTTGGATTTGAAATTGTGGCACGGCAGAGATTATCAAAGTATAAATGATGCTGTTTAATGTCAATATTTACAGGTTACACAAGCCACAACTCAGATTGTGATGAACTGTGCTGACATCGACATCATCACGGCTTCCTTTGCACCAGAGGGAGGAGAAGGTAAGGATCAGACTTTGTCACCCTTTTCCCTTCTTTTTCTCTTTACTGCCATTGTCATGAATGAATTATTATCTATATTTATGATCTCATTTGCACATTACAATGCACAATTGTCCAAAACAAGCCGCGTATTCTCTGACTGTTTCCTCCTCTTTGTAGAAATTAACGCTACAGGATTCAACTATCAAAATGAGGATGAAAAAGTCACCCTGTCATTTCCTAGCGCTCTACAGAAAGGTAAGAAGGGACCTAACTTGGCTCTGCTGACAATGGCCCGTCGTCATTGCTGTTGAAGAATAACAGATTTTCCCCCCTTTGGTCGTGGCTGAACGAACAGTGCAACTCTCTCTGTGCACGCCTCCCCAGGCTCTGGCACGTTGAAGATCGACTTTGTTGGGGAGCTGAACGACAAAATGAAAGGATTCTATAGAAGTAAATATACAACCGCTGCTGGAGACATCCGCTACGCTGCTGTCACACAGTTTGAGGTGAGCTGATGTCCTCGGGGGTGTGGTGGTTGGATGTTTTCCTTTGGTGTGTTGCCTAACCCACTTACTTGCTTATGTTGCGACATGGGGTGTGATGGTCACGTGACTCTTGTTTGTGTTCAGAATTGTCCCAAAGATGAGTCAATCTCTCAGACGTCGTTCTATTTATACGCAGGTTTTGAAAATGCTCCTCTGTGTGTGTTAACATGTGCTTGTGGAAAGTAAAACCGGGTCAGTCTAGTCCGGACTCCGAGTCTGGACCTCTGCAGGATGTACAGTAAATCTGCTGTGCACATAGAGTGACGACACGGGGTCAAGTTGACAAATCATCTAAGTTTTGGTTTAGAGACGATCTCTCTCAGGAAAAAGAGTGAACGAGGGAGAGAGAGAGGGTCGGCTTCAAAATAAAACAAAAAAACGAAACTGAGCTTTATTTTGGCGGTCTGTCATTGTGGTTAGTTACTAATTAAAAAAACAGAAGGACTTCACAGCAACACTTGTATGTTGTGATTCATGGGTGACCTCAAGCTCTGGTCAGCCACTTTAGTTTTAGATCATTATGCTGTTGGAGCGTAACAGTTCTGTAATTACCTAAAAAAAATAGCATGTTAAGTTTTATAATTATTATTGAGCTTTTTTGCTAAATGTCATAGTTTCCTCGTGGCCACTGAACCGGAGCGTCTGCATGTCGGGAAAAGTCTGAGAAAGCTCTGAATTCACAGTCCCCTTAAAAAAAAAAAAAGGCTGTAGAAGTCATGAAAAAGTCTTCAGGTAAATTTACAAATGTCTGTCACAGTTTCTCTTGCCGGCTGTAGACAGAGACATATTTTTTTTTGTGTGTGGTTGCAGGCTGTTGCAACACATTATACATGTGTAATCTATAAATAAGACTGGTTAAAAACAGCCTCGACAGTAGCGGAGGAAGCTCAGCCACTCAGAATGGATAAGTGTCAATTTTAGCAAAATTAAATCAACTTGAATCGTCTGAGAAATGGATAAAAATCCATCTGTTGATTTTCTGCTGCTTATCTGTGTCCAGATCAGTTTAACTGAGTCATAATATAATAAGAGATTGTTGTTCTGTACAGTAGGAAGCACTGACTGTCAGTAATATCAAACACATAGTTGTTTTATTGTCTCACAGGTTCTCATCGATCTTTACTGGAATGACCCTGAAAAAAGGTTTAAATTTCATTTGGTTTGGTTTTAAAAAATCTTAAATTTAAATTCGTGAACTCTGCAGAAACTCATTTATGATGATGCAATGACAACTTTAATACTTGTGTTATAGACCTTAACACACGTTCAGCCTGCCTGTCCATCTATTGATCCATTGATTGGAGAAAATTTCTGTCATGATAAATTCTTAACAATGAAAACAGGTTTTATAAAGTCGCTTCAGAAAGAAAACATAAAAACAGCTCATTAAAAAAAAACATAATTAATGAGATTACTTTAGTACTTAATTACCCTACTTACTATTATTAATTAAAAAGTAAAATCCCTGCCACAAATTTAGTTTAGTTGTGATGTCACATGACGTGTTTCAGCACAAACTCTTACATCAGTTCCATCCGTAGGCGCTGCTTTAGTTGCTCTCACTCGGACGGTGTGAAATGAACAGCAGTTAGTGAACACCCGCCGGCTCCTGCAGACAGTAGAGAAGCTGGAGGCGGCTCGTACAGCAAATCGATCGTTGGCGTCACTTTGACTTCCAGCACACTCGGACCGGAGGGAATTTATTCGCATTGGCCACCAAAACGTTACGTTCATGGAAAATCTAGTGATGGAACGTGAAATGAAGTAGAAGGACCAAAAATAGGTCTGACAGTATGTGTGAAACAGCGAAGCTCCCCAGCAGGTAGTAAATGAGGCTGGTTGTTCTTTCTTTCATGCTCTGTTTATTTCCTTCCTCTATTTTTTTTGTTTTTCTGTGTAATTTTGAAGAATAAGCAAACCGCCTCCTCCCACTGTCTGTTGTAGCTGAGAGTAAATGTGTTTTTGTGCGAGACAGTCATTGTTTCTCACATATAGAACCGACTCTGACCCGACGAGTGACTGATTTCCAAATTGATTCCAAATGCAAAATGACGACAACTAAGGACGTGTTTCAGATGCATCTTGATTGTGTGGTGTGAGCTGAAGTCCCTCTCTCCACCGAGGTTGGATCTGAACACAGTCTGGACTCCTCTGGATTCAACACACCGAGTCTCACTGTGTGTCCTTTCTCTCTGCCCCCCCCCCCAGGCCACGGACGCTCGCAGAGCTTTCCCCTGTTGGGATGAGCCAGCTATCAAAGCCACCTTTGACATCGCTCTGATAGTTCCCAAGGACCGAGTAGCCTTGTCAAATATGGTAAGTTCACCCCTCCCTCTGAGAAGCTGAACTGCACCAGGAAACATCATCTGGTTCAGATTATTTCTAACAACGCCGCTCCAGGCGAACACGGTTCATCTGGGCGGTGATGATGATGATGAAGCTGAATTATGAATGACATGAATTCACTCTGTCGGTGTTTGATAATGTGTGTTTTTATATTCACTCCTGTTAAAATCCAAACAGCCCCTTCAACACAACAAAGCTTAACTACAGTCAGCAGAGTAAAAAGCTAATATTAGGCTGTAGGAAAAACTACACCGCGGTCACATGACTTCAACGTCACCACCACTAAACTTCAACATGTAGCTCTGACCTCTTCTACAGACGCCTGTCCTCTTACAAGAGGGAGCGTATACACAGCGACGGTGTTCAGGCGGCTGGTGAGAGGAACGTGTTCTGTGTTCAACGTGATGCTGATCGACGTCTCCGACAACATGCTAACTAATGTCTGTGCTTTATGTCTCATTCCTGCAGAAGTCTGTATTTGTAATGAACGTATTGCAGACGGTCGTGTAGCAAGACCAAGCGCTCTCTGTTGGTTCGGCTCTTGACCTTTTGCTGAAATTTATTTCCTCTGTAAGGATGCTGTGACCTTTTAAAGTCCAGTGCAAGACAATACTCCATTTAGCTTGAGCGTGGACAGATGCTGCTCAGTTGGTTGTGGAGAGACGAGGGTTTACGCTTTTAAGGTGGCTCCAGAAAGTGTTGTTGTCATGTGGCCACTGAGTGAGAATGTTTTATAGAGGAAATGAAGTGGCTGATTGTGGCTGTGCTAGATCTGGGTTCCTCCTCACTGAGTCACACAGGAGCAACAGCCAACATCACGAACAGCTTGTTCTTCTTAATTCCCTCACCCCTGTGGCTCGGCTGTTTGTGAATGTGTCTGACCAGCCGACGCTTCAGTGCAGACAGAGAAAACCAGCTCAACAACCACGGCCCAGATTGCCAAACAGCCCGGGGATATTAGTGATGTCATCATGACCAGAAATCTGGTAGTCGTACAAACGCCATTGAAATTCTATGATTCTTGACACCAAATTTGATCCGGCACACACGCTGTGTGTGGAGTGTTGCCACAACAGACAGCAGCTGTTGCAGTTCGTAAACAGTAACAGGACGTGGACGTTTTGATGATGTTGGTAATATGAAGTTAACAACTGAAACTCAACCATCCTGGATTATGTGCACAGATCAGACTGTGTGTTTCTGACCTGTTTAGATAAGATTGTTCACATATTTACTTTTGGATCTATAACTGGTCCCTGATGATGCGGCTCAAACACGTAAAGTCATGTCGCGTATTTCCCACAAGTCATGGCGGACCTTTTCCTCTACCTGTACGTGTTATTGTTGTTGTTGTTGTTTACTATATCTGCAGTCCGTCTTCTTCCTTCTGCGTTCGCCGTCAGACTACAACACTCGTAGGCTCGTTATCCTACGACATCTGCAGCAGCTTCTGTAGAAAACAAGTTCCGTCGTGTTCAGAGTTTTGCCATCGGATCTAGATGATTATCTATATTTTTCTCATTATCACCAAATCCCATAAAAAGAGCAAAACAATATGGAATGTGTTGGACTGATAAATCTTGTGTGTATCTAAAGCCTGATATATCTGATTCCTTCATCTCCGTGAACACACACCCCGTCCTGCTGCCCCAAATACTCACTAGAGCTCCAAATGTGGATTAATCCGCAGCTGAAAATAGTCCCTAACAAATTTCCATCTTTTTGAGGGATGTTTGCTAAAAACTACATGATCCAGCTGGTTTAGGAAATGACTGAGGCTCTGCATCAGTCTCACACACTTTGTAATCGTTCCACACGGTGACTTCACTACCAGAGTATTAACCACAGGCGACCGGTGACTGGAAGCGATAATGATCAGCAGCCGATCAATCGGGGCATCCCTGCTCTTTTTCATGGGATTTGTTGACAGTAAGAAAAACGCCCTTAAGTCGCCATATCTAAAAAAAATATCCTGCTGACCTTTTGCTCCGCTGACACCACTGACCCAAAGTTTCCAAGAAATGTCAAAAGCTAATGGGAGAATTAATTAGATATACCTGGGAGATTCCTGCTCTCCAGAGGATGTGCTGTCATGATTTTAATGACCCCATTACAGCTCCTGTCTTTTAGCCCCACTGCTGGTGAGACTGTGAGAGAAGCACAGTCGTCAGTGTGATGTCTGTTCTGTCAGACATCACACTCGTGGTGGGTCATGAATATTTTAACCTCCAGCAGCTGCTGGTGGCGCTTCAGACTCTTAGTCATTTTTTTTTTGTTGCATCATGTCTGTTAGCCCGCGGACATTGATAAGGGCGTGACATCACACTGTCCTTATCTCATCTGCCCTCTGTCCAGAATGTCATTGATCGAAAGCCATATCCAGAGGA